AAAGTTTTTTCTCTAAAGCTCTATCATGGTCTTGTGGGATTCACAGACGAAATTAGTGAAGGTCTGCACTCCACATCGAGCACATAGTGGAAAACCATGGGAGCAAAGCTTTTAACGTTTTCAATGTGCCGGATATGGATGGACCATGAAGCTGATTTTTTCCATACTGCGAATAGACTCCTCAATGATTGGAGTAGATTGACCTTGAAAGCTTCTTCCTCTCCAACGCGGATGTTGTGATGGATATGCAGGTATCCACCTTCATTCGGGCACAAGGCCCTAACACCTAGAACCCAGCCAGGTTCTGCGGAGGGGATTAAGCCAAGATTAACATGATGTGCCTGATTTTCGAAGCAGAAGACCCATTGTGCATTGTCGCCTGGATAGATAACTAGCTTTCCAAAGTCCCTAGGCTTTTTCTTTCTACCATTGATATTATTGTTGCTCCTACTTGTACTACTACTACTGCCACCACTCTGATCAAGCTGCCTTGCAGGGTCACATCTCTGCTGTGCATATTGCTCCTGATCCTGATCCTGATCTTGTTTTTGCTCTTGATGCTCTTGTTCATGTTCCTGTCCTTGCTCAATAGAATTTAGCTGGCTTGAGTAGATCTCCCAAGAGATTCCATTCTTTTTGGCTCCTTTAACGAGGCCTTCAACACTCCAGGGGTTCCATTCGCATGCATGGACCACTTTAGCCCCTGCATGGATCAAGTAAACTAACGAAAAATACCCAATCCCTGCATATAAATCGACGACGATTTTATCTCGAGAGTCGAACACTGATTTTGAATGGGCGATCCGTTCTTTTTCCGTAATATTTCCAGCCGAGAACATGGTAAAGAGAGGTGCCCAACAGTACCAGACATGATTCTGACAAGTCTCTGCCCAAAACGATTGAGAAAAGTTCTGCAGAGTCGGCACAGTCACATCATGTTCATGTTCATGTCCATTTTTATTATCATCCCTCTTGTTGTTCTGGATAGATATTGCCGTTGATGTGGTCACAGTTTGATGTTCCAATAATTTCTGATCCTTTTTTTCAGTCCAACACTTGAACCGGTTATGCAATTTCCAGTCTCCAGTCAAGGGTCTAATCTGTGGACGTCGGAGAACATCCTGGACTGGGATAATGGCTTTGCGCGCAATATGTGAGGACTGAAGACTCTGCTGAATTAATGACTCCCATTGACTCATCAACGTTGGCGTCATTGCCGTTGCCGTTGTCGTTATCGTTGTGGTGACAGCCTCATTGTTTCCAGTTTGATGAGACATTTGTTGTGACGTTGCTTCTAATGCTGCCTTCAATGCTTGTTCATTATCCAGAGCCTCTAGTCGTTCCAGAACTATCGGCCATGGTTCAGTCAAGAATGCTGTTGGCGGCAAGAGCGTGAAATTAGAGTAGCATTCCCATTTATGGGGAATGGATGCGATCAGTTGAGGAAGATCCTTGAGTGATAATTCCTGTTGCTTGCCGTCGTTGCTGCTACTATCTCTGCCCAAGTGATTGCTGTCAATTGACCATGACTCCAAGACGGGCGTGAGAAACTCAGCGACGTTGTGTTGTAGTTTCTCAAGGGGTGTCTGAGCGAGGAGATGTTTTGGTGTAGAGAAGGCAGAGGACTCCATCCAGGTCAGAAAGATGGTCTTTTGAACTCCAGGATCTGACAAAGAAGGAGGCCATTGAAGCCCTACTAAGGATGCTGGTAGGTTTGATGAAGATTCCTGCATCGTTTGCCAGAGTGATACTATAGAGCGATGTGGGGAAGCAGTGGTGGTGACGATTGGAGGACTGGTGAGGGCTACGGCCATGTGTTGGGCCAAATTACAGCTATCATCATGGCCCTTGTCTTTGACGGTCAAGATCTGTCCATAGCGAGTAATGAGTTTAGTCTTGTCGCGCCCACCTATCGAATCGAGAAAGACTTTGAGATGCTTGGTGAGGCTCGCAGGAGCTAGCAGTACTGGCACGACTGATGAAGAGGAACCACAAGATGCCATAATGATTCCAATATTGCAAGTAGTAGAGTAGTCATTTTTTGAATTGTACAGATCAGGAAAAAAGAATGAGCAAAGCCATCTAAAAGTGGATTTCACATAATTTTGGCATGATCGGATTTGATTTACATTTCTCCGAGACGTCAACATCCCAACAAAAGGCTCTTATCCTCCCCTCTCTTTTTTTTTCATTGCATTTTATTTCTCCTTCACACATCATGTCTGAGGCACAAATTGCTCATCGTCGTTTGGTTCAATCCCTCTACAAGCGCTCGCTCAAGACGGCCCAGGATTGGTACATCGACACGAACCTGTTCCGCCGTAAGGCAGTCGAGCTTCGCATGCAGTTCGAGGCCAATAAGAATCTTCGCCACCCTCGTCAGATCGCTCAAGCTGTTCAGGAGGCTGAACGTCAGCTTAAGGAATTGAGACATCCTGATCCTTATATTGGTATGAGATCATTAGGACGACAATGGCATTAGCTTTGATTCTTGTGTTTACACACTGACAGCAACTTGAGAATATTTGTATCGGCTCAAAAGAAAGAGGAAAGTGGAATAATAACAGGCAGGAGAATGAAGCTTTCTACTTTTATAAACTATATAAAAGAGAAAAAAAAAAAAAAAAAAAAAAAAAAAAAAAAAAGCAACTCTTTTTCCAGGATTCGTCATTTAGGATATTCAGGACGCTACGCGGCATTGAGGACATTTAAAGCACTAGGATATAGAAAAAGCACTACGCATGAAGAATGAATCATGGAAATCAAATGACAGGATAACTACAACGATAAATGTGAGAAATAATGTGCATCTGATACTCGTTTTCATTAATTCATTACCACATTGAATAATAGCCCCCACTGCTCCTGGTGGTACCAAGTTTGAGCGTAACATTCCCCCCAATCCTGCGGTACGAGAACTCTCAAAAAAAAAAAAAAAAAAAGAAAAAAGAAAAAAAAAGAAAAAAAGAGTAAGATAAAGTAAAATCCAGATTAATTAACTCCTTTCATTCAAAATCCATTAGGAGCCTGCTGATCACCATTAGAAGATTAAAAAAAAAAAGAAAAGGCAAGACAAGTCATACCTTTCTTTTTTGTTCTTCTTTTTGGAGATTATACCGACGATGGAAATATCTGGAATAGACAATAAAACATACATGTTGAAATGAAAACTTGTACCTCAATCAATTCATGTCAAGCAATAAAATTAATAAAACAATAGCTGTTTGTTAACCATGCCCATGCGCACAGCCACGGCAACGCGCCGTGTCTTTACCAATCTTGAAACAAATAGGTCAATGGACAACAGTGACTGCTCCATAATATTCTAAAAAAAAAAAAAAAAAAAAAACTACTTCTCTGCTCTTCTTCTCTTCATTCTTCATTCATCTCATTTCAAATGGAGCATACTAATCAGGAACAACCAAGCAAACTACCAGACCGAGCCAATACTCAGGGAGAGGTCAAAAGTGAAAGCGGTGGTATAATCATGGATAATGCAAAGTCTGACTACACGACTAGAGCGGACACTTCTATAAAACGACCCTCCGAGTTGGCATTAGAAGAGGACAACAAACCCATGAAGAGACAAGAGCTGGAACCATCAGATCAGAGTGAGACATTATTGAAGGAAAAAAGGGAGGGGGATATACAAGAAGCGAGAGGCAAAGATACCAAGTGCACTGATCTCGACCACAGCAGCAACAGTGGTAGAAGTAATGACATTAACAATGATGGCAAGAAGAAGGAATCTAGTTCAAGAGATGTTGACGCATCAGAGTCTAAGCCGTTTGGGGGACGTATCCTGACTGACGAATCTGCCGTTTTCGAACAGAATGCATGGTATTGTATCGTATCGTTGTTATTTATTATTATTAATAAACGAGTAACACTTTCTTTTGTCCATCGTTGCAGTAAAAGATTCTTTCAGTTGGGCTGATTGCTATTATTACCTTTATTTCCTTTTTTTGGCTTCAAACGCTCTGAAAACAACAACAAAAAATAAAAAATACACCAGGGATCATGCACCCTGGGGAGAAGAACAGGAACAACATGCATTAAAAGAGATTGCTCGCCAACGATTGGATCCTGTTCCTCCGGAGCTGATTGAGACGTATCATGAAGAAGCAGCTGAGAACTGGAACAAATTCTACACAAAGAACGAAAACCGATTCTTCAAAGATCGACATTGGCTTCGGATCGAGTTCCCAGAGCTCTTTCAAATGGTTGAAGCAGACGTAAGGATCTATATACAAGAACAGCTTTTCGCGGTATGATATAGGAAGACACAATAATAGCTGACGTTTTTTTTTTTTTTTTTTTTTTTTTTTTGAGGGATGCTTAGGCTGGGTCAAAGACTGTCATGGAGATTGGATGTGGTGCAGGAAACACAATGTTTCCATTGTTGCTAGAGAGCAAGAACCCAGAGCTATTTGTTTATGGATGTGATTTCTCATCTACGGCTGTTGAAGTTGTTCGAGGAAACATCAACTATGATGAGAAGCGATGTAAAGCCTTTGTTTGGGATTTGGGTTCCGATGATATCCCGCCAGAAGTGGAACCAGAATCTATGGATGTTCTTGTACTGATTTTCGTCCTCTCTGCGTTGCATCCAGACAAGTGGGATAATGCTATGAACAATCTATACAAGGTAAGATAAGGAAATAAACCTTGAAAAGAACTTTGGAAAGAAATATGGATGTGGAAGGAAGCGGTATAATTAAGGAGTCTAATTTAAAAATTTGTCTCTCTTGTCTCCTTTCAATTCGAATACCCTCAAGCTTCTCAAACCCGGCGGATTGATCGTATTCCGTGATTATGGTCGTTATGATATGGCGCAACTGCGGTTCAAGAAGAACCGACTCTTGTCGGATAACTTTTATGTCCGCGGAGATGGTACGCGTGTATATTTCTTCGATTCCGATGAGATTGTTAAGCTGTTTGGATCTAAATTTACGATTGAACAGAACGCTGTCGACAGACGGTTGATCGTGAACCGGTTAAGGCAGATCAAAATGTATCGTGTATGGCTCCAGGGCAAGTTTAGGAAGCCATTACCCGGCCAATCTCCTGGAGCACCTTCTGCTACTACAATTATCAACACAGATGAAGCTGGCCAACCATCATCGTCATCTCCAACCACTCCTGTAACGGCAGCAGTCACGGATACATCATCAGCGGTTGCATCAGTAGCAGATACACCATCAAATCCTTCGGGAGTAGTTACATCTGAGCAAACGACTCTGTAGAAGTGAAAGCAAAAAAAAATTATAGAAATACTATTAATCTCCGTAACAAAAGAAAAAGGACGCGTAGTGAAGATAAAGTTAAGGGGCGGTGAGTATGACTTTAATTAAAACAAAACGCGTAGTTTATTGTTGTTTATAAGTGAATTTTTTCTTAAAAGGACGTGTTTTTCTATTGTGGCTCATCAAACACGTTTTCTACAAATCCGACTCAATCTGCCTCCTTTTTTTTTTTTTTTTTTTTTTTTTTTCATTCTTCTATTTGCCACCACATTCCCGCATTCTTACAGTTATATTCATACATATAATCAACCATGCTTGAGGCTAGATTACAAACCGGTGCCCTTCTCAAGAAGGTGAGATTCTTTAACCCATTCAACTGATCCCTTTTTTCTTTTTCTTGTGATTCAAAGGAAAACGCGCTTGGAAGTTAAACAATCGCTGTCAGTGTCAAATTCAAGGACAAAGCTGCACATTTCCATCAGCAACAAAAAAATAATAATAATAATAATAATAATATCCTACGATCCGGACAAACCAAACGCTTGGTCAACATCTTCAGGAATACTAAAGCTTGATTTTATTATTATTATTATTATTATTATTATTTTCCATCTTCTAATTCCCTGCTATCCACATGTAAATATGTATTATGTACCCCAATAGATTCTTGAGGCCGTCAAGGAGTTAGTCACAGACGCCAACTTTGATTGTTCAGACAATGGTATCGCACTTCAGGCGATGGACAATTCTCATGTCGCTTTAGTCGCCTTGTTGCTTCGTCATGATGGATTTGAACCCTACAGATGTGATCGCTCACTTGCTCTTGGTGTCAACCTTGTCTCGTTGAGTAAGATCTTGCGTTGCGCTGGAAACGACGACATCATTACCCTTAAAGCCGATGATAACGCTGATGTCCTCAGCTTGACCTTTGAGAACACAGGCAAGTCCCCAAGCATACATATACACATACAAGAAAAGGGATATTTTATATATATCTGCAAACTGTTTGAATTATTCTTTCTTTCTAATGAACTTGAACCATGTCTTTTCTTTTTTAGATAATGATCGCATTTCGGAGTATGAGCTCAAGTTGATGGATATTGATAGTGAGCACTTGGGTATTCCGGAGACATCTTATGATGCAGTTGTGCAAATGTCCTCTTCAGAATTGTTGCGCATTTGCAGAGATCTCCAATCTATCTCAGATTCTGTTCTTATCGATGTTACAAAGGAAGGTATCAAGTTTGCAGCCAAGGGAGAGCTCGGTACAGGCTCTGTCACTCTCAAGCAAAGTGCTAGTGTCGATAAGGAAGATGAGGCAACATTGATTGAACTTCAGCAGAACGTTTCCTTAAATTTCTCGCTCAAATATCTTGTCAACTTTACAAAGGCCACCCCTCTGTCTTCCCGTGTTTCCTTGTCTATTTCAAGCGAGGTTCCTTTGTTGGTTGAGTACAAGATGGAGGCTGGTTATATTCGTTATTATCTGGCTCCAAAGATCGGTGAAGACAACTAAGTATAGAGATGGTATAATAACAAAGCATGAAGATTAGGATGTGATGAGTAATGACTGCTCCAACAAGAGCCGGAAACTCCATTAATGAATGCTCTGGGAAACAAATCAATAAAATAAAATAAAATAAAAATAAAATAAAAAAAAAAAAAAAAAAAAAAGTGTTTTCATAATACCGTGCTTTTGATTGAAACTCATAATCAGTTCTGGAGATTTATTTTAATTTATTATAAAATATATATTGTACAAGATTAATTTTACAAAGCGCCACAATGTCATACTCATACAATCTCGCTTAGCTTTGAAGTCTCTACTAGAACATCATCGATCTCTCCGGGTGTTGCAGTTGTCACTACATAGGTTGATCATTGAATAATGACGGCGATGACAAAGATTCGGCAGTAGACTTTGTGAAAATGGGTGCTTTTCGATGCCCAATCAAACTGTTCTGGAATTGAGCATTATCAGCCCCATCGTTACTGGTGCTGGTGGCAGTGATGGTGGTCGTGGTGGTGATGCTGCCGCCACTGCTACCAAAGAGGCTACCAGAATTGCCACTAGCAAAGAACACGATCTTCTCTAGCGGCAAAAGCAATCCCAACAAGAGACAGATCACAGAGACAGTAAAGACCTGCATTTTCGTATATTGCCGTACAGCCAGGAATCGTGTTAGAGTCTTGATGGTTTGTTTTGCATTGCTGAGTTTAGCAGTCATATAAGTTGCAGATCCAGAGATCAATACAGTGGCAGAGTTTGCAAGGCCCATTTTTTCACTGCTATTGTTATAATTACGACTATTGGAAGATGGGATCCCGCCTTTTGGAGATGAGTTTAATATAGGATACGATCCTGGTGAAGACGTGGTAGAGGATGTAGTTGAACCAGTTGACATTTTCCTGCCTGCTGCATGAACGTACGCAGCCGTAGGGATCGGAGTTTGGCCATTTCTTTGAAGATATGCACGTTGCTGACGAGCCTTTTCTGACTGTATACTAGGAGTCATGGTGACATTAGATGTAGCATGGGATGAAGTTGTCGAAGACGTGTTGGAAGATGAGGACAGGGTTCCGATGTCATCCTGAGGATCCCTCATTGATAATGTTGATGAAGATGAGCATTGAATAAAAGTCTCTATGATTCTCCTGCGATCCAAATCCTTCCACTATTTAAGATAAATATATATAAAAAAAAAAATATAAAAAAAATTAAAAAAAAAAAAAAAAAAAAAAATTAACATTGGAGTCTAATCCTCTCGAGGGAGTGAGGACAAACAGTAACAAACAGAAAAAAAAAAAAAAAAAAAAATTACAGAGGAAGCATCCAATAGCCGGCTTTCATGTTCATCAAGAGCAACACTCTGCAGGAGGAATCTATCTTGAGGATTGATCCAACTCTCACAACGGACTAGAACGGATAAATAAATAAATAAGTTATTGGTTAATAGGCTGCCAAGTGTGCCAAGGAAAGATATTCGGATAGGGATATAATGAGTGTTTCATCGTTTCACATTACCAAAGACTTCTACTGATTGTCCAGGAGCAAGGACACCAAGGGTAGGCTTCACCGAATATCTCATAAGCGCATTCGTCTTGAATTTGTATCCGACATGAATCTGCATCAAATTTTTAATCTTGAGTTTGGAGACCAATCCGGACGAGATCTTGGATGCTAAACGTTTTTAGTGTGTAACGTGCCGTGTGATCAATCAATGCATAAAATAAAAATATTAATTAAAAATAACCAATAAAAAAAAATAAAAAAAAATCAGTAAAATGTACCGATGTAGAGTGCATGCATGTTGGGTAAAGATCATTCGATTATTGCTTATTTTATTTAATGCACGGCACGTTGCTCGATGGCTCTCTTGCTCCTTTTTCGGTGAAGACACGGGTACAACATTGGGGTATGGTAGAGGGTCCACATTCCCCTACAAATCCGGCCCCATTGCAATCCATAAACCCAAATAAATCATTCCTTCCTCTCCCACCAAAAGTTATCACAAAACTGAGACAGACAGTGGCCAACCATTAAAAACCTTGGTTGTCTTTTTTATATCCTGAACCGTCGTCATCATTATGTCGATTGACACAATAACAAAGAAAAGGAAAAGGAAACGTGCAGTCGGAGTGTGGTCACAACGATCCTTCTTTGTCATTGTGTGTGACAAAAGTGAAGTGCATAAAGGGGGGAGTGGATGTGCCATGGGAATGCAAAATTAAGAAACAATAGAACATGGACTGATCGTGCTTTCCCCAACATCAAATCCATCAAATCCATCAAATCTATCAAATCCTATTATAAATCATTCCACTTCCCTCCTCCAATCCCGATATTAAAAAATAAAATATAATCTGTCCACGCTGCTTCTTATAATCTTTTTTTTTTTTTTTTTTCATCTTCTTTTTTCACCTTATGGATGTTGTCGCGTTTGCGCACAAGGATATTAAAGATTAGAGGAATGAATGAGTTGTAGCTTGGGCTATACCTGTAAACTGGAAGATCTGGGGCGAAATCCGAAGCAACCCAGGGGCTTGATCATAAGTAGAGGAGGCGGATGAAGTGGTCGAAGTTGGAGTAGAAGCACCAGCAGCATTAATAGTAACATTGGCTGAATTGGTTGTGACACCGGTCGACGCCATCTTGTAAATGATTTACGTGGTAGAATATATATAAAACTAGGTGAGAAATAAAAAAATAAAAATTGATCTGACGGTTGGATAAAAATAAAAAGGGAAAGTGAAAATGAAATGAAATGAAATAAAAGGAGGAAGAGAAAAGGGTGATAAAGACAAAGTATGGGTAAGGAATAGAAAAGAAAGAGCAATGAAGAACGATTGAATGAAGAATGAAGAATGAAGAATGAAGAATGAAGAATGAAGTGTGTGAGCAACTACAATAAATTTAATACACATATTTATACATGGGTGTTAAGAATAGGTCGTAGACCAAGTTTACAAGAAAGCATCCATAAAATGTGTGCGCAAATTCAACCACATCCATGTAACCCATGTATTCATGTTTAGAAACCATGACAACATGACATGGCATGACTTTGTCGCTGTGTGGGTTTATCGCCCATTAACTTTATTTATTCCTTTGGGGGAACATGACTGGCTGACTCTGCCTTGGCATCATTGGCATCGCTGTTGACAATGACTTTTGGCCAAATTAAGGACAGCCGGGGTATGACTCGGATACTAAGAGATCCTGTCGCCCAACTCTACTCTCAAACATCTGCGGCGGTAACAGCACTTCGTGTTCATGGCATTTTATTCATTGGATATGGGTAAGTAAGGCCATTAGTCATTGTCATGCACTTCTTTTTTTTTCTTTTTTTTTCTTTTTATTTATGGGGCGACTAAATAAAAAATAAAATCTATGGGGATGTGCTGACAGAGATGATCGATGCCCAACCCAAAAACTTCAACTTAAAGTTACCCCATGTCCATGTGGCATTTGTCGCTCTTGAAGACCTTTAAATCCTGATATATCATTGTCTCCGTTATCTGACTTCTCTTACAATACATAAACAATCTCTGGCCGAAGATTGCGAATAGTAATGCACAATTGATTCAACTCTAATAACACAAATGTTTACGCTGTTCATGCCATCCTGATGAGAAACTCTCGTCGTATGTGCCTTCAATGAGTATCTTTTTATATATTGTCATGAATATTCTAAAATAAATAGGATCTAGAGTGCTCCTATGTTGTCTGTATGCACCTTTTTTTTTTTTTTTTTTTTTTGTGATTATTATTGTTATTGTTGTTGCCTCACGTTGACATTATTACAAGACAATATGCATGCTCACCTGTCTCAATATTTTATTTTTGCGTTACTTCTTGCTCCACAAGTTCCCCACATGTCTTTTTTTTTTTTTTTTTTTTTTTTTTAAGAATGTACCTGCATGACAAAATGTTTCTTGGGGTATTTTTTTTTGGAATGTTTCCATGATGTTTGCTGCCTACTGAATATATTTTGTTACTGTTTATAATCGGAAAGAACACTAACGCTCGACTTTATTTTACAATAGTTGTTCGTTTTATCCCCATGAAAAAAAAAAAAAAAAAAAAAAAAAAAGATTCCAGGAGAAACCTCAAATGACAAGCGTTGTTGACCTAATAGATCAAAGAAAGAAACGCGTCGTGATTTGTGTAAAGTCAAGACATGTATTCGAATTGATGTTATTGTTAATTCTAATTAAATTATAATATTATATAAGATTAGAGCACTGTTACACATGTCGTGAATACAGTCTTCAAGCACCCATTGTCTTGCAGTAAAATTGGTAAAACTGTCACAGAGTGACATTCAAGACGGAATAGCGCTGCCGAATACAATTTTCAAATACAATTTTTAAGGTTTAATCGTGCATGAGAATACAATCCTAAAAAAATTCGAATTCAAATTTTTGTATTCGAAATTCCTATTCTCTAATTCGAATTACTTTTTTTCATGTTTTTTCTTCTTCTCGCTCCCACGCCCATTCTCCCACTGCTACTCTCACTGCCACTCCCACTGCTAACCCCTACTGAAACATGTCTCAACTCACCAAAAGGCAACGTCTTCTATTGACTTGTGAGGAAGAGTGCCGTGCGATCCTCCAATCTGAGATCCTTTCTCCTCAGGTTAAACTGGAGTTTATTGAGAAATACAATCAACCCCATGAAAATATAAGAGGCAGTCGATATTTGAGACCACGTCTTCGTATTCCCTTTTCTGCCGACATTCGCGATAGAGTGCTGGAGCTATACACGTCCAAGCACTTTAAGGATATTTGAGATGTTTTTCAGATATTAGAAGTCAAGGAGATCAAAAGTTGTTTTTATTATTGTCAAACGAGAGCCTTTTATCAAGGACTCTCTATGACCGTCACATGATATTCTGACCTTATGAATAAAAATGGAAGTGCACCTGAGGTGCACTCCCAAGCCTCGGTACGTAACAACTCCCCCCCAGATTTTAAGGTAAGGTTATTGCCGTTATAACTCGAGGTAAGAGGAAAAAATAGAAAAACCTCTGAATGCTAGAGAAAACTATGAGGAAAAATGGACTAAAAACCTCTCTATGAGCTACACTGTAATTGATTGGAGGAAAAAATAAACCTCTTGAGGGTAAAAAATTTAAACCTCACGTGAGACCTACTAAGGTCTGCTATAACAACCTGTCTTTCTTTTTCTCTTGTAAAGATTAAAGAGACAAATACATCATGGAAACCATAATCAGCGAATGAGTCATGGAGCCTCTACAACGTTGTGTAATTTAAAGCAGCCATTGGATAAGGATATGTTTTGCGGGGAATGCAGGCGGTTAATTGTATAGCATGTCAAAATGTAGAAATCTCATTGGACCTTTTTGTCAAACAGAGATCACAAAAGATCACGCCATCTGCCTCCCCCAGAAGGACGAATGAGGTTTCTCAAAGCGAATGATGAGGAGCAAGGAAATGAAATTAGAAATCGTCAAACGATTGCTCATTCCTTCATTCCTCATTTCAACTTTAGACACTCTCAAACGCCTTCTTACACAAACAAATATACCTTGCAATTCAGACCACAGCCTTTTGTTTTTCAAAATTACATTATTTCACCTTGGCTCCTCGGGCGTATCAATTGCTACGGTGGCGCGCGCTGTTATTCGGCGCTGGTCGTGGTAGTGTCCATGGCTATACATGGCGGGGCATAAAAGCCATTGTAGAGCTTACTTCTAAGTTTGTCGTCTGGCCCAATTCCGGGCAGAAGGAGATACGCCACTGCTTCAGGGAAAAAGGATTTCCGAAGATGCTCGGTGCAATGGACGGTGTTCTTTTTCCTCTTTTTCGCGCGCCAGCGCATGATACCAAGGCATGGATAACACGAAAGTGTAACTATACCATGGGCGCAACTGCCGTCTGCAACCACCGAGGCGTCTTCATATTTTTTCACACCGGGTATGTAGGCTCTATGCACGATTCTCAGGCATATCGTAATTCTACCCTTTTCACAGAAAGAGATTTGTTCTTTGAAAAAGGAGAATATGTACTTGCCGACAGCGCCTACGCCGTTTCTCCAACTGTTGTCCCAAGCTATAAAGATCCCCAAGGAGATCAAGTCTTATTTAATCGGAAACACAGCGTGGTCCGTGTTATCATTGAGCATGGATTTGGTATGCTTAAGAATAAGTGGCAATCTTTGACATGTCTACCAGTCTTGATCGAGTCAGAAGGGGATATGAAAGATGCATCATTTTGGATTATGGCTTGTGTAGTCCTACATAACTTTACAAGGATATACCAAGATGATGACGAAGATGTTAGAGGCTATGCTATTGGGCCATCACTCGCGGTTGCCAATGTTACTCACATCGAACCCGATGTTCACGATGCTGATATAACAAATGAGGAAAAGCGGATGGGAGAAGCAATGAGAGAAACGTTGAAAAATATCATTTTGGGCTAATGAAATGGTATTCTTTATTTAGTTCCTTGTTTCGCAAACTCCAGCTCCCTCTTCAAAACAGCATTTTCGCATAGAAGAGGAATGTATTTTTCTTCCGCAGCTTTTCTTTCTTTTTTCTCTTGTTCATACTCTTCCTTGACTTTTTGCCTATCTTTTTCTAACTCTTCCTTGATTTGCTGCTTCTCTGCAATGAATCCTTGCCTTTCTTTTTCAAACCTCTCCATGATTTCCTGAATCTCTTTTTCAAACTTATCCTTGATTTGCTGTTTCTCTTTTTCTAACTTTTCCTTGACTTGCTCCATTTCTATCGCATGCTTTACTCTCAACTCATCAATTGTATCATCTTTCTCCCTCTTTCTACGATCATAGTCATCTTCATCAATCTTCTTTTTTTTATCCATCTCCTTGTGCTTGGAGTAGAGATCAACTTCCTTGCTGAACAACACATGCTCTCGGTGGCAGACTGCACTCTCTCTATTCGAAACAATAGATTTGCGCTCGTTCGCCCATTCCTTGCTTTCGATGATATCTTTCTCAACAGCGTTCCTGGCTTTTTGCAACATCACTAACATTGATTCAGCAGATGTAGTTTCAATGGCTATTTTACGTCTCTTTGTCATTCTTCTAGCATTGATACTAGCTGTTGAAGACACTATGTTAATAGTGAATTAACTTGGCCACAATTATACGATAGGCAAACACAATATAGAATATACTATCATATACCTGTTGGTAATTTGACATTGTCCTCGCTATCAATCTCGACAATGCTATCATCATCATCATCATCATCATTACTGTCAAAGATGCTTGGATCGGTGAAATCTGTCGATTGAATTGGACGCGGAGAGTTCAAGGAAAGACTAGAAGAGTACACACAGTCAAGTTTTTCAAATGGCGGGCAGATACTGAGGATTTTGGCTTTGAGGGAAGGCTCACCGTCCATGTTGCCTTCACCAGTTTTGGTACAAAGGGACTTTGCCTTCTGATATTGTTTTTTAAGATACTGGAGCTTTGATTTTACGGTCTCCTCAGTCCAGTTCACGTCTGGATACAGTGTGTTGATATGGACGGCGATCTCTTTACGAACATCAATCGGTTTAGGACCTTGTGTCGGACGGACAGCATTAAGTCTCTTGTAATTGTCATCCACTGATACACTATCATGCAAAACTGATTCAATAATTCATTCCCATGTGCATTTCTTTTTTTCATTCCTAGAAACCGTATATGCATACACCACTCATACTTTGGTTTAATAAAGCTCCCGTCTTCTTCTACGTCATAGTGATGCGTTGTGACATTAGCTTGTCTCATTTGAATAGCTAATGACTTTTTTGTTCATGCAGGTCATTGAATCAGTTTCACATGTGCCCATTCGGTGGCCAAAGATCTTTATTCTTTTGTGAGGCATAACCTTACATCAATAGATAGTATTCCAACCATGGGCATCACTGACAGCTTGGAGTCTCTTATGGATACCTATGATGAGTTTGCGGCAGAAGCCCACTGGGATCCTGTACCATTCAACCGATATTCGCTCCCATAGTTCATCACAGCTCTTAGCTCGCTCCGGATACCTAGAGAGCCGCCTATCCAATTCTGCCCACATGTGTTCAATAGGGTTGAGGTCAGGGGATTGTGCTGGCCACTCTAGAAGTGTACCTTCCTCTTCTGTCAGATGTACTGACTCCAAATACTTCCTAACAATCTTCGCCGTGTGCTTCGAGTCATTGTCGTGCTGAAAGACGATATCGCTTTTAGTTAGGCCCCAGTCATCAAGCGATATCTGTGGATCCTCCTGCAGTAGTTTGATGTAAAGTTGTGCGTCCATATTATTGTCAATCCTTGCAATGTATCCAGGTCCGTACCATGAGAAGTATGACCACACTTTAACATTACCACCCCCAAACTTGACAGTGCCTTGCACCGACCTGCGAGTGAGGCGTCCCGGATTGTCGTCCCAGATCCACTGCACGCCATCAGAGCAGATTCGGTTTATTTTCGATTCATCTGACCAAATAACCTTTTTCCAATCTTCCAGAGTCCATTCCTTATACTAATTGATAAAATGCAAACGAGCTTTAATATGCCGTCGACGTAAAGCTGGCTTATGTACACGCCTCTTTGCTGTCAATCCTAACTCCTTGAGCCGTCGTCTAACGGTGGTCTCAGAAACAGCCGCTGGTATGAGCTGGTTGGCTCTGACGGTGGCCTCAACTGCAGACTTGAGTGTACCTCGTTTCATGTTCACCTTAAGATACTGCATGATACCTCTAGGTACTTTCCTTGGTCGACCGCCTTTATTGACTGGCATGTACTCCTTATTATGTGCATAGATCCTGGTGGCCGTCGCTATTGATATACCAACACTAGCAGCAGTTTCTCTAGTAGACATGCCTCCCATCATTAACCTCCTGGCTTCGTTGACTTTCCTTTGTGGAGTGGGTCTCATATTCTGTGAAGGTATAGTTAAGAGAGAGTTAAGCAAGTGTTCATAAAGGAAAGAGAGAAAAGTCCTTTTTTTACTGGCATTAAGTGACGTCCAAAAGTTGTCATGGGCAACATTTTAGACCACATGTGAAACTGATTCAATGACCTGCATGAACAAAAAAGTCATTAGCTATTCAAATGAGACAAGCTAATGTCACAACGCATCACTATGACGTAGAAGAAGACGGGAGCTTTATTAAACCAAAGTATGAGTGGTGTATGCATATACGGTTTCTAGGAATGAAAAAAAGAAATGCACATGGGAATGAATTATTGAATCAGTTTTGCATGATAGTGTATCCAATCCACCAATGCCAAACATGCTGGATTCGCCCAGAATGTTTTCCTCATGTCTTTTGTAGTGCCCACATCCTCGTTTTCCTCCTTCAACTCAAAGCGCCTACGTTTACTGGTGCCGGTCGTGGACGACGGTTGAGAAAGAGGAGTTTGAGAAAGAGGCCGATCATGGCGCGACGATTGGCTCATAAGGAGTTCGTGGATATTCGTACAGGGATGGAAGGTTGTAAGGGACTCGCTGATAGTATCTGTCTTGATATTGTTGTGGGTGAATAAGGGGTCCTAGTTGAAGAGAACCTTGTTGCTGGTAGCTCGTTTGGTAATACGAGATGGGAGCCTGAGGACGTGAAGATATGATTGGGGAGGGGCTAGGAGAAGCGATTCCAGTGCCTGAATAAAAGAGACGGCCCTGCTGCAGTTGAGCTTGAGGGAAAGCCGAGTGATGCGAGCTTTGTGTAGAAAACTGTTGTTTTGTTTCCAATTGAGAAGGATGAAAAGCAGCAATAGAGTTGCTAGAGTCCTCGCCAAAAAGTCATAAACTGGATATATTTTACAATACTCAATTTGAATTAAAAATTTGAAAAATAAAAATTTACGTACGAAGACAAAAATGCATATATTTTTTGAATAGAAGGAATGAATTAGATGCATGGCCACCAAACCAATTCAATCTTCGTTTTTAATTAGAAATATTAGAATTTGCGAGAAATGGGCAACATCATTCTCAATCTCATTCTCGATCTCATCCTCATTGTCAACCTACTTTATTCGCAATCTTCAGATAGTAAAATGTCTTTCCCTTTTGATATCAATAACCTACTCTCATACAACGATCTTGGTGGTTGGTATAGCGAAGGAAATATCGACCAAATGATTTCAGGCACACCCTTCACTCCGCCTCGAAGATCGCCACAACTGCCCACTGAAGCCGATCTCTCCCCTATTAGGTCTCCTACCGAATATCAATGGATTACTCCTCCCAGAAACGAGCCAAGGAGTTCTACCTCATTAGAGCAATTCGGTGAGCGTCCCAATACCCTCGATTTAAATCCATTCTTGTCAGACAAACAAACTGGAGAGAGAAAAAAGGCATTTACACGCAGTAAAGCGTCCGTTACTAAAGACGAATACGCGATAATAGCTCATACATATGGTGCGTGCCAAAACTGATGCAATAATTTGCATTTTTTAACATTCATTCCTCATTCTCCTTTTCCTTTCTAATGATCTTCCCTACCATCACCGCTTCTTATTCTCATTTGTCTCACCTTCGTAGACTGTCATCGCTGTTCTCATCAATGACGCAATTAGCGAATAATCGCCATTTGTATAGTCATGTCTCATTGCATCAGTTTTGGTAAAAAGTACATGTCAGGTTTGTCCATCCCTTACTTCTTTCTTATTCTTTATTCTTTCTTTATAGCACCATCACCACTGATACACCAAGCGACACTCTACATATCTGCCATATCTTTATCATAACATGAAATCATTATCCAAATCAACTATCCAAAATGCAACTGCTCTACTTCATCAGGGAAAGTCTTCCAGAGAAGTGTCAAAGAGTTTAGGGATATCTGTTACCTCAGCTCAAAGGATTAGGAAAAGAGGCAAAGAAAGTATTCCAGTGCTGAGAGGGGGCCGACCCTGCAAAGTTACTAAGAAAACGAAACAGCTTTTATCAAGATTTTTTGACATGGGTGTATTGGAGACCCTAAAAGATGGCCAACAACTTGTTCAATTGAGGGAAGGAGTGCAGGTTAGTAAATCGAGCATCAGGAGGTTCCTTATGCAGGATGATATGGGGGCATATGTAAAACAGAAGCAGCCTGATCTGACGAAGAAGCAAATCTATGCTCGATATAATTTTGCAAAGGATCACTTGGACTGGACTCTAGAAGACTGGAAGAACGTCATGTTCTCAGATGAGACCATCTTTAGCAGAGTTGGGTCCTGCGGAAGAAAGTACTACTACAAGCATCGATGGGATAAAACTCTACGAGCACATCATATCAAAAAGACAAGGCAAGGCGGTGGAGGCAAAATGATGTTCTGGGGTTGTATAACTTACTACGGACCAGGCGATGGCTGCTGGCTCCAAGAGAAGGTGGATTCGGTAACATACGTCGACGTTCTCAAGGATTATATCTTTAAGTCCAGGGATTACTACTTGATGGATAAGGACAAATTTATATTTCAGCAGGACAATGCTAGGATTCATACCGGAAGAATAGCAATGACCTATATCCAAAAGTCTAAGATACCTCTCATGGAATGGCCAGCAAACTCTCCTGACATCAACCCAATAGAAAACATTTGGGCATACATGAAGGTGCAGTTGGATCATTATCCAGACAAGGCAAAGAATATGGAGGATCTCTGGGAGAGAGTCCAAGACGTATGGACACATATCCCTCCTGAATTCTTACACAAACTATACTGCGGTATGCCGAAGAGGATGAGGGAGTTATATAAGGCTAAAGGAGGGAACATCGTTAGGGGAAAGGAGAAGTAACAGGAATAAATAAAAACAAGAAGTTGTTAATTGCCATAATAGATGCAATGAGATGCTGAAAGCAAATTGCAATTAAATGCTAATTAGGCCACTGATGGCGATGACGATGAGACTCCATGGAGGTGAGACAAATGAGAATGAGAAACGGTGGTGGCAGGGAAGATCATAAAGAGGAAGAAGGAGAATGAGGAATGAATGTTGAAAAATGCAATTTATTGCATCAGTTTTGGCACGCACTATAGTTTTAAATTCTTAAGACGGCGCTTCAGGTAAGTAGCTCGGAAGGCAATATTCTCCTTGGAGTCGTGCAAAAAGTTCTGTCGGATCCCTTTGCCCCAATACAGTCCCATTTTACGGAGGTCGCGAGTGATTGATCTTGCTGATCTGTCGATTTCAAAGTCTTCTTTCAGTTGGTTTGCAATTAAACCCGCAGAATTAGGAGTCCCGCTCTTGTTTGATTCAACTATGATATTCAGCACCTTCGAGTTTAAATCCTTGTCCGCTTCTTTTTTAGGGCGTCCAGTTCTTCCTCGCCCTGTCATTTCGACGATGCCTGTTTGTGCATATTTAATTGCTGCCACACAAGTGTTTCTCCCTACACCCATCAGAATCGAAAGGTCCATTGCTCTGTTGTCTGTCTTCTTAAACCAGTCTTGGACTGCTGGTGGCGCATTCATTATAGCATTATATACATAGTAGACGGCAGTTGGGTGCCTAGGACTCCAGAGGTCTTCTTGGACGAGTCTTACTGCCACATTGACCATGCTGCAGCAAGACGTTGGGTGCAAAGTGGCGGTGGTGTCATTAACGATGCAGGAAGGAAACCAATCATGGTTATATTTGCAGCCTTCATTGTATATTATGATGAAGCTGCTAAAAAGGTTGAAGGCAAATTCGTTAATGATAGCGTGTATGTTTGGCCATCAAAGGGACCAAAGCCTCAATCAAAAAAAGGCCAAGAGCAGGAGGCTGAACTGTGGGATGACGTACCTGAGGAGATCAGGAATGCAGGGGTCGTGGCAACAGATCACGATTATCATGGAAACTTCAACGCTAGTTTGTTCGATAGTATCTTTAAGCGACTTTGTGAGAATCTCAATAAGATGGGACTTGGCCCTTGTAAAATCCATCTTGATGGCGCTTCATATCACTTTCACAAGAAAAACAGGAAACCAACCAAGAGCGACACTGTGAAAACTATCAAAGAGTGGCTCACGGGCAAGGAGATTGTTATTCCAACAAGGGAAAATGGAAAAGCACTGAACAAAAACGAGCTTATGGAATTGGTTAACGCTCTTCCTGATGAGTCGTATTTCTCTATCAGTAAAATAGCCCAGGAGAATGGTGGACATGAAATCCTCAAGACTCCACCCTACCATTGCGAGCTACAACCTATTGAGAAGATCTGGGCAGTTGTGAAAAACATAATTGCCTCGAGAGCAATGGTGACAATGACATCCATCTTGCTGAAAAAAAGGCTATTAAGCTTGTTTTCCCAGATTCCGTGTAAAGTCTTTTACTCTGTATGGAAGAAGTCTGTGAAAATTGGCATGAGATACTATAACGAGAGGAGTCATGCACAGGAAGAAATAGTCGAAGAGGTTTATCAAGAGGTTTTTGATGAAAACGAGCCTATTGTGGACCTTAGTGACACTTTCAAAGTCGACAATAGTGAGTGGGATGCAGAACTCATTAGAGTACTAAATCAAGAGCGAGCTGAAGCTGTTACCCTAGGCCCTGAGATAGTGGATCTTACGCTAGATGCTGGAAGCATGTTTAATGTGATAGAGGATAGCGAGTCTGAGGACGAGCCTCTTATCAATCGAAAACGCTCTCGTAAAAATTAAAATTTTGAGTTTGTACGTATTTTTCCTGCGTCTAAAAGTGGAAGTATTCTATTCAATTTAAAAGCCTGAAAAATATATCCAGTTTATGACTTTTTGGCGAGGACTCTATGCGAGGGTGTGTTTTGGAGGTTTGTCATGGTGTAATTAATGAAAAGGAGCAAGAACAAGAAAACACGCAAGAGACAAAAAAAGGTCAGGGATGTTTAAGGGGCCGTACGTGAGAAAAAAGAAAGCAATTCAAAATTGAAAATTGTTATTCGAAATTGAATTCACCTTTTTGGAGAATACGATTTCGAATGTTTGTTTGTTTGTTTGTTTACATTCACTTCCATTGGACAACCTAAAATTTTAGACCGTATTCTCATGCACGCCAAAGCCTTAAAAAAAATTGTATTCGATGGGTCGTATTTGGTCTTGAATGTAAATATGATGATGAAAAAAGTAATTCGAATTAGAGAATAGGAATTTCGAATACAAAAATTTGAATTCGAATTATTTTTTAGGATTGTATTCTCATACACGATTAAACCTTAAAAATTGTATTCGAAAATTGTATTCGGCAGCGCTATTCCGTCTTGAATGCAGACTGAATGATTTGATTTTATTATCATATTTCGCCATCAAAAAGATGGTATATACTTCTCTTTTGGGGATAATGGCATCGACTCGGACATTAATCCGGAGTGAGCTTGCCAGCACGTACTTTGGCATTTTAAGAAGAAAGCAGCTGGCCCGTCATAGCAGCAGCAGTAGCGTCCAAGTCCGAAGCACTTTCCAATAAGGTCAAAGACCACAAGCCATCATACACAACTTTAGTACTTACAGCTACGTTCAAAGAACTAACATCGGACACGATACCAGATGAGATTTACTATTAATGGATGGATGTGGCCTTTAAAAGAAAAGACCTCATGTTTATGCCCGTACTATGCAAAGGCGTCGGAGCCGTTGATGGCGCAGAATAATCAATGGTATTAGGGAGACCAAAACCGTCATTAAGCTATTTCTCTTTTTTTTTTTTTTTTTTTTTTTTTTAATCTAGAAGCGCATTTTAGGATATTTAGGGCAATAAGACGATAGAGTCTCTTTGCAACCTTGCGTTGGATGCAATGTTTGAGAGGCAACATAGGGGTTGGGCTGGCTCAGTACGGTCAAGAAATCAATGTCAATTTCAACCTCACGAATGGCATCTTAAAAAAGTGTTTTATCGATTTGGCCTTTGCAAACATGTGAGGAAGCTCTCAAAGGAACCCGCCATTAACCAAGGTATGGTGTAGAGGCCGCATTGAAAAAGGTATTCAACGTTCGAAAGGAATGGAGCTCAGGAAGAAATTTGCATTGGTATTTGAGCAATAGTAGGAGCAGCATTGACAAAATCGAAGACCTAACATGACAGATCGGTAGGGAATGGCAGTCTGGCTATTCCCTGCTGCGCAACATAACTGTAGGCCATCGTCAGCTGAGGAGCATTATTTGCTAATGTTCCTTAAAAGCACGTTGCGACTGAGCTCTTAATTTCCCAAGGGTGATGTTGATTGAAATATAGGCACTTTAAGTCATCAAGTGGTTTCTTTAAACGGTCGGTTCAATATAATAGAACACTAGTTCATTGATTGGGTAAAACCACTGCTGTACGGAACTTGGGTCACTATACATCAACTCCAAAAGACAGCAAATAAGGCTCTTACACCTTCACCGAGTTTTTGTGTTTTATTTATCTTTTTTTTTATGTTTCTCCATTTAATTTATTATAAGCGAAATTGGTGGCGGAACTTTATTTATATCACCCCGCAGCCAATAAGCACAAATGTAACGAAAAGATCATGTATTCTCAAAATGACTATCTCTTTTTTGCCGTTGCCAAAGCCGTTGCTGGCTGAAGAACCGCTTACCCGGGATGGAGGAGGGCGCAGCCTGATCGTGGTTTTCCATTGTGATGGAGATACTTTAAAAGAGTAGTCATGGAGCTGGTTCCATGTCAACCAGATTCGTCTGACAGAGAGTGATCACCCCATCCCTCTCATTGCATACGGAATTTTTCAAGTGTTTCTAGTAGTATTACCCCGAAGGTTGAGTGGAAGCAACTACGACCCTACAAAAAGATGGATAAGTACATGTATCAATATCATTTTTTGATAGCATCTCTTCTCAAGTGAATTCGAATGACAAACCTTTTTTTTTTTTTTTTTTTTTTTTTTTTTTTCGTGATCTTCTGCTTCATTTTTGTTTGTTACACAATAAGTTTGAAATTAGTGCCTGGACAATTTGGTTTGTGCTTGGAACAATTCATGCCATGCTTATGCTTGTGCTCTCAGTCATTAATGTTTCTACAGTTTTACATGTATTGTGCAGTGGTACAAGAGGACCAATCTGGAGGATAAAAGTATAAAAAATAAAAAAAATAAAAATTAGAAAAGGTTGAGTAATGCCAAGGATTCAAGGAAGTGGGGTGAGTAACTGAGGATTAGTTATTAATGGCCTGCTTGTTCCCGACATTATATTGCATCATGAAAATGTTGTGTTACAGCTGAGTGTGGAACCAGTCATATTCATCAGCAACTATAAAGTGCGTGCTCTTGTCAATTTCATAAAGTAAAGACAGGTGGAGCTGAGCTCTCTTTTTCCTGCTCTCTTTCTGTGCCTCTTTGCCTCTTTCTTTTCCTCCATTTCCTATCCTCGATCTTCCCTCCTCTCTCTTTTCTCTTTCCTTTCTTCTTAATCACACTTTGACTCGATTGCCCCTCCACAGCACTTCTGCATCTTCTATACTCTTAAAATCAAACAGAAAAAAATAATAATAAATAAAGCACATTGAATTCCTTGTTTCTCTCATTCTTCATCTAATTCAGAATGGCATCTTCCTCGACTAGGAGCCATCGGTCTGTTACCCTGACCAACTCATCAGTGGCTCCCCCTCCTCCGCCAGGGCATCCCAATCAGTCTATTTCAGCGTTCACACAGGATGCTTTTCACCACCACCAACAACAGCAACAGCAACAAGCGGATGGATTGCATTCTCGTACACGCCCAAACACAACACATGGGAGAGAGCAGCAGCCACAAGAGAATTGGACGGACAATGGTTGGCGGAGCATATTTGATGCTGCATTGGTCAAAGCTCAGCAGGCTGTCCAGCTAGACGAACTTGGAGAGACGGCTGTGGCAGCGAACCTGTATGCCCAAGCAGCCAACGATCTCGGTCGAGTCATCCCTCTATGCGGTAGTGAAAAGAAGAAACAATCAATGCTTGCAATTGTACGTCTGTATATATTGGTTTTTTTTTTTTTTTTTTTTTTTTTTTTTTTTATTTGCTCTTTGAGTGTTTTATTCGACAGGGACAAGTGAAACTCCCCGAAAGACAGAGCCATTGTGTTTTATTCACGAACACCGACTAATCATGCAAGCAAAAAAAAAAACTTTTCTGTGTGAATTCGATTTCGTAATAGCAAGCCATTTACCTTGATAGAGTGATCCAATTAAAAGCCAGTGCAAAGTCTGGCCGTCGAAGAGACTCTTCATCGTCTTCCTCCTCACCTGCTATAAAGGCGCGAACACCAGAGAGCCGTGGCTCGTTTACAAATGGTAAAGGCATTCTCTATGGACAGGAAGACCAGTATTTGTCGCATGAGATTTACCAACAGCAGCAACACCAGTACCAACCTCCTCCACCGCAACCATCGCAATATCCCCAGCAACTATCATCACAACCATTGTTACAGCCATTATCACAAGTAGAGGATAGTGATAAAAGTAACAGCAGCAGTAGTCGTCTTTTTAGCAAGAAAAAACCCAAAACCCAACCAGCTCCACCATCTTCATCAAATTCTGTACAAGAAGAATATGGCTCCTATGGGCCTTCATATACTGACTACCGGAATAATAGCAACATCGTCCATTCTGGTAGCAACAATCATGGGTACATCTCCCCACCTTACTCCGTCCCGACTACAATCTCCCCTAATGCTTCACCGGTCGCGGCATCGCCTATTTTTATGACCCACACACCAACACACGCACCACCAACATCTCAATCCATGGAGCAGGATCCAACGCCCCCATCATCAAGCAAATCTTCTCGATGGAAGTTTGGCAAAAAGAAATCAAAGTCCTTCTCAGCTGGGGAAGCAAATGTTTCTACTCCTTACCGATCCCCTAATGGCAGCAGCTTGGAAGGGCAAGATTCGCCAGTCCCATCGATTTCTCATGCAGCCCTGGATAACGTCTTTGTTGTTGACCCAGGGATCCAAGCAGACTTATACTCCCAGCAGCAGGCTTCACAGCAACGGCCGACTAATAGCGACGCTAATATTAACAGCAATGGCCGACCGTTGGATCATTCAGAGACTCCATCTCTGATGGAAGACTATGACCATCACATTCGATATTATGATGATGATGATGATGATGTCGATCCATTTTATATCGCGGATGTCAAAGGACGTGCGCGCGCATTTGAGGGCAAGGTAAAGAAGCTAAAATGAAAACCACATTTTATACTCTGTAAATTGGCAAAGGCGCTCTATTTGGGCTAATCTATCTGCATACAAATAAAATAACATCATTGCATGCAACACAGGATACCGAGAAGATCAAAACTCCATCTAATAATACGGACACTGTCGAAGGCACGAAGAGTAAGAAAAAATCTAGTAAAAAGCCGGCTTTGAAGCACAACGCTTCCTCTTATTCGGACGAACAGCCTTTTGCTCCTACGTTTGCTCCAGGAAGTTTCTCACAAAGCACTAAGGACATGGCGGTATCGACCGGCAGTAGCAATAGTAACAACAAAAAGAAAACTTCTCATGAATATGATAAACCCCTTCCCCCAGTGAATGAGCCTGAAATTTATCTTACACGCCAGAACCCAGAATATACAGCCTCGGTCCCACATACAATGGATGTTTGCGGCGAAGTAGCGCCACAGCAGGGAGAGGCAGTTCATCCTCAAGGACCGATGCTTGGCCATGCAACTCAATTGCAACATTCTTCGTACAGTATCGATCCAAGTCTTATTCAAAACACGACAGAACCTGAACAGGAGACAGCTGAGAGGTCAAACTTAAAAAGCAAATGGTTCAGTAAAAAGAAGAAGAAGGATGGTACGACTGAGTCTTTTGATGAGGTAGCGAGGCTGATGGACGAGGCGCTCTTTGGAGGCAGCCCTTCTATACCACGAAAGAAAAACAAAAGTAAAGATAAGAGTGAGAAAGACAAGAAGAGCAAGAGCAAAAAGATGGAAACCTCCACTCCCATTGATAAAGGCAAAGAGAGGGCCAAGGATGTTGACGATTCGCTCGATACTGTACAACAGGCAGAAATCATGGATGGTTCACCAACGTTTTCTTCGCTCAGGCATGAGAGTGAAATGTCAAGAGCTGTAGTACTAGGACCTAGTGGCCAGAGGTTGGGGGTGGACCTTTCAGGAAATCGCCTGCAAGACCAATATCAAAATATGGAAGGCCCGTCGAACTGGCATCAGCAACACCAACTACAACAGATGGCGAATGCATCATTATCTGGGTCGCAATCTTCAGTGCCTCCTCCAACGCTACAAACCTCCGAAGCGTCATCTTCTCATACGCCTAATGCGCTCATTCCAGTTTCCTATGCTCCTCGAACCACCTACACATCATCATCAAAGAGGCAGCCAGCTTTATCTGATGAAACGGCCTCTCCGATCCCAATACCATCCGAAAGCGCAAATGGTTATCATGAGCCGCTGGAGTTGCAGCAGCAACACAATCCATCTGAAGCCGAGATGGAGAACCTTGCTGCGGTGGACTCTGAACCATCTTCTAAAAAATCCAAGAGCCGACCATTCAATATATTCAAGTCGAAAAAAAATAATAGCAAAGTTTCATTGGAGCAGGATAGCAATTCACTCCTGTTGTCAACAATTAGTCAGACAGGTAGTTTTGGAGAGGATGTCAAATTGGTACACAGTGATAAGGCCCAAAGGGGTTTAATCCAAAGCGGCGTTGAGAATAGCAGCAACAATAACAAAACGCTAGTGTTGGCTTCAACTATGTTTACATCAAAAGAAAAGAAGAAGCGTGAAAGTGAGGAGTACGTCCCTTACGAATACCAGGAAGAACTGGAGGGGCCTCTGATGGAAAGAGTTGAAGTCCCAGAAAACCGCGACGTCGTTGGTTTTGTTATGGTAAGTAAAAGAAGAAGAATGCACTTGGTTGTCTTTTTTTTTTTTTTTTTTTTTAAAAAAAAAAAAAATAAGAAAAAAGAAAAAAAAAATATTGACCAAAATGAGAATATTTTTCCGTGTTCCAAAAAAAAAAAAAAAAAAAAAAATAGCCTGTAAGTGAGCTTGTCGACTACAGCTTGGAGGAAAGTGATGATACTGCCGCACTTGACAACTGGGATTCCTGGGTGAGCCAACTTGAATCTTTCGAAAAAGTCCTTGTCAACAAGGGTCTGAAGAAAACGAACAGTAAGGCCAAAGAGCCAGAGACCGGAACTGCTGGACAAATAGTTGATGAGGATGAGGCAACATCCATGCATTCATCAATGTCTCCACTGAGCTCTCTCAGGGGTGGCAATCGCTCTAGTATATTCAGCGCCAGCACTTCATCCCTTCCTGGCGGCCGTCCCAGCACAAGTTCTGCTTCACATGATACGGATGACAATCGACCGCTGAATATTACTGAGGAGCTGACAGGCATTGTGACTCGCTTCGCTTTCAATCCAACGCAACCCACTGCTAGTTCTGGTCCTGGACAAGGTATGCTAGCCCAACAATTCCCCTTCCAGCAGGCGAAGAAGCGATGGTGGAGCGCTAAACGCAAAGAGGCTGTATCCCTATACACTCTTTCGGATTCCATATCGATTTCGGAGCAAGACCAAGAGAAATATTTAGCATCATTACTGGCAGGCGACCGTGATCAGACATATGATGATCAAATACATCAAATCCAACCAGATGACCACGAGCCAGAATCTGAGGTTCAAAATCAGGATCAGATGAATGAATCAAGCCTTGCACAGATGAATAATAACAAGGATAATATATCATTATCTGCGCAAATTGATTCTTTGATTGATTCGTATGCGATGAGTGTTCAGGGAATCCAAGAGATTCAATCAACCACTAGCACTGATAAAAACGGTCAGTCTGAGGTCGCAACCATAACCACGTCTGAGACTGAACTAAATCACCAAGTAGATGAACAGGCTAAGATGGAAATTACGCCGCCCAAAAAGAACAAGACCACCAGCAAGAGTAATAAACCTAAACTGATGCCAATTTCGACACCATTGGCACGACTACTTGAAATCTCCAATCCAGAGGAGCTCTGGCAATATGTCCAACAAGCCAAGTCATATGCCACCGCAAGAATGAACAAGGGAGACAAGAAATCGGCATCAATTGCCTTAAAGCGTGCTCAGGCCCTAGAGACACGATGGCAGGAAATTATGCTCGAGATGGCATCAAGTGAGGAAGACGAGGACCAGCTTCTGGATGATGACGATGACGACGATGATGACGATGACGATGACGATGACGATGACGATGATGATGATGGTGATGATAATAATAATAATAATAATAACGACAAAGTGGAAGGAACAAAGGAACAAAGAGGAAGTAATGATACCGGAGTTAAACAAACATCTGGGAGAGTTGTCAAGGCTGTAGCTGTCGTTCCCATCGATATTGCAGCAGCGAGAACTACGGATGTAACGCCTGCTTCTTCAATCACTACAATGCCAGCACCAAATAATGAGGCAGCTGATAACGATGCAGAAGATGATAATTATAGCGATGATGAAGAAATGGCTCGTCGTCGTATGGTTACCCGAAAAGCTACTAGCAGAAGTAACAATGTACCGGATATGTATTCCAAATACAAAACCAACAAGTCTGCTGGTGCTGTATCACAAGGCTCAGAGTTGCAGGTGATCGCGAGTGCGAAGGATGATGAGAATGGAATAAAAGAAGAAGAGAAGGAAGGAGGGAAGGAAAGAGTAGAAAAAGGGAAGGATGATGGGCGGCTTGGCTCAGATGCGAGCATAGATCAAATGCTGGCTACAACGGATATAGAACACTTACAATATTATATCCAGCGACTCAAGACGGATACTGTTGCGAAGGCACGAAATGGAAGTAAGCTTGCTGCTCTAGAGGGCATGAAGAATGTTAAACTGCTGCAACAGCGATTGACAGAGCTTGAAGAAGGAGGAACAGGAGGACAAGGTGAAGGTGAAGGTGAGGGTGAAGGTCAACAGAAGGCAAATGACGAAAAGGAGTCCGGCGAAAGTATTTAGAAGTATTTTTTAGGTTAATAGATGTCCCATTAATTATATGTTACTAATAATAATAACAGTTGGCTGAGATGGATACTTCTGCTGCTCTTGATCGCTTAAGGAACGCTCGTGTTCTCCATCAAGTCTCAACTTTTCACTATTGATCACTGAACGATCATTTTGATCCCTCTTCATCGTCATCATAGCTTTCAGTCTTTTAAGTAGAAGTTTCTCAGATAAGGAGCATCAAAGTCTATAGAAAAAGATATAAACAAAGATACACAGTGGGCAACACATGTGCCCGAGAGAGGCATTTGCAACTATACACTAGCATTCAATAGAGCGCCATTCCAATATGCTCGGACTGTCCAGGGACACTATGTCAAGAAAGGGCCTAAGGCAACTTTGCAATAACTCTAGAATCTGGCTCTTGTTCCGTTCAACATGCTATCTAGCCCTACTCTATCAATGAGCCTATTTGTTGTTAGCTGTCGTTGTTCTATGCTTGCTGTTCAGCACCCCACAGTCTCTGACGCGAATGTGTTTGGTATATATTTTCCATATTAGTAATTATTTTGCACTGAAAGTGGTTAATTTGCTTTGGTCTAAAGCATCCGACATTTGGTCGCCTTGCTTTCTAAAGAGCTCTTGTGAATTCAACACGAGATAGAAGTTTTATTCACACTGTCTGGAATGACACCTATCAAGGACCATGGCTCAACTAGTTGACAAATGAAAGATATTCGGATACCATAATCGAGAATGTGCTTGACATAAATGATCGTATGATATTACCAGCACACAGACCATCAAATCGATGAAACCAGTTATCCTTGTGAAAAAAGATCTTCCCAACATGGATATACCGTGACAAAGGCTGATCGCCCATGTATTCACTGTTTTATTCTCACCCATTGAAAAGTAAGCTTCACCCAAGAAAAAGGCCCAGAGCATCATTGATTTGCACCCTGATAATTCGCCACCCACTAAAATCCATACGTTACTGTTCTTACCAACGTTACCAGCTAATTGACCTCCTAAGAGATCTATATCTTCAGTGAGAAGCCTTTGGTTCTCTTCTCTTAGCTTTTTTTGCCACTTTTGGCGGGTTTGGAGATGGCCATGTCTACAAGACCCATTCCATCCTTCAAAAGATATTAAACAGCTGTTGAGAAGCCCATTGATCAATTGACCAGATGAAGGGCACTGTTAGCATTACTAAGGCCCTCTACGCTCTCTCCAAGGAGAATGTCAATCTTCTAGCTGAAACTTTTGAACTCGATTATAATGTTAACTTGACTATAGAGATCGAGACCTCAGTTCGTGAGCATGAGCAGACCAAGTAGGTCATCCATATCATCGAGAAGATCGAGGCCAATCTCTAGGATTTCAAGTTGCAATCCAGGACTTTGGAGAGGCCTAACACCCAGGTCAAAAAGGCTGATCAATAAAGGATCGCATTGGACTCAAATTAAGAAAGAAACGGCAACTAAAGAAAGCAATTGCGTAGAGTCTTAAGGGTGATCACGCGTCCTATTTGTTTCTGAGAAACGATGATGTGGAGGGTCAATTTAATTCAATTCAATTCAATTCAATTCAATTCAATTCATCTTTCTTGTTCCTCCTCATCAACCTTGTTCTCGGACCTTTTCAAGTCGCCGCAGTTACATTCTCTTTTTTATCCATTCTCTTTCTTTTCTTCCCTACATTTTTCTTTTTCTTTTCTTCTCCAGCCTTTTCTATTTTTTTTTCCTGTGCCATACCCTATTTGGCAATAACAAGTAACACAGCAATAGTAGCAGCTACAACATCATAAGCTTTTCTCTTTAGACCAACACAATACACTTGGCGCGTATACTTTTTTTTTTTCACTCGCATCATATCCACATAGACAGAGAAACCGAGATACAGCCATGGGAGTGCCAAAGTTTTTCCGATGGATGGGGTAATTCAATAATAGACATGGTGTCAATTAAGAGAGATGCTTTGACATCATAGAGTTGTGAACAGATGAATGATTAGAATAAAAAAAAATACAATTAATGAGCTTTTACCGTTGTTAGTGGGTTAATGAACATAGTCAAAACTAATCTCACATGTGAATTTGGCACACATGCAACCCATCTGCCTGCTTTTTTCTTTTTATGACTCTCTACCCAATTAATGTAGAGAGAGATATCCATTATGTTCTCAGTTGATCACCGAGAATGCCATCCCAGAATTTGGTAATCGAAGGAACATACTGTCTTAAAGTCCAGCAAAATGCTTCTTGGATATGTTGATCTGTGGGAGAGAAAAGAAGAGGAGTATAATGACATTTGTTTTTTTTTTCTTTTTTTGGGTACACTATCATTATTAGACAACCTGTATCTGGATATGAATGGAATTATCCACAACTGCTCGCTACCCAATGATACCGATGCACACTTCCGTCTATCAGAAGATAGGATCTTTCTTGCAATCTTTAACTATATTGATCACCTTTTCTTGAAGATCAGGCCACAAAAAGTCTTTTTTATGGCAGTGGATGGTAATGTAGTTTGTGATTGTTTATTGGGTCTACCTCATGGCGCAGTATCCTGTTGGTTGCCTTTTTTTTTTTGACTCACTAACAAAATCAACAACTTACCAAATACGGTCATTGGTCTATTAGGTGTTGCACCCCGTGCAAAGATGAACCAGCAGCGTTCCCGCCGCTTCCGTACTGCCAAGGATGCGGAGGATGCCAAGCGCAAGGCCATCGCCAAAGGTGAAGAGCTGCCGGAAGAGGAGCAATTTGATCGCAATTGTATCACACCAGGTATGAAGAATACAACTCTGTGTTTTTTGTTTTATTTTTGTTTTTAGTTTTGTTTTTTATTACATTTTATTGATCAATCTCTATCTTTTGCTTCGCCACTTTCCATCTGTGTGTCCGTGCTTCGCACTGATCAACAGGAACGCCTTTCATGAAGAGATTGTCGGTACAGCTGAAGTATTTCATTTCTAAAAAGATTACAGAGGATGCCAATTGGCGTAACCTCAAAGTCATCTTGTCTGGGCACGAAGTCCCTGGAGAGGGTGAACACAAGATCATGGAGTACATCCGTCTGTCCAAAGCTCAGAAGGATTATGACCCGAACACAAGGCACTGTCTATATGGTCTTGATGCGGATCTCATTATGCTGGGTCTTCTTAGCCATGAACCTCATTTTGCATTGCTACGAGAAGAAGTCACATTTGGAAAGGCAAATAAGAAGAAGGGGTAAGTTCTTTATTTACCGTAATGTCCTTGTGAATGTCCCCAGGAAGGTGCAGTTCATTTGTGCTGTGTCTGGAAAGTTTAACTGAGCCTACTCTACTGCTTGATAATATGCATTGGATTTATGTATTAATATATACCTCTGACGACTCTTTTCTATACATAATACTCAACAACTGAATTTGGTATTAGGAGCATCGACACTCAAAACTTTTTCCTGATGCATCTATCGCTACTACGAGAATATCTTGATTTAGAATTCTGTTCTCTACAAGACTCATTACCCTTCCCGTACGATCTGGAGCGGATCATTGATGATTTTGTCTTAATATGTCTGTTTGTCGGAAACGATTTCTTGCCTCATTTACCCAATCTGCACATTGCAGAAGGTGCTCTTGCCCTCTTATTTAACATCTACAAGAAGTTATTACCACAGCTAGGTGGTTATTTTCAGGACTCGGGTGTCCTGGATATGAAACGTGTCGAGGCCATGTTTCATGAACTGGCAGAGGTAATCGAGCATGAAGCTTTTGAAGCAGAATGCGATGACCTCAAATATATTGGAGGAAAGATGGCCGAGTTGATCATTACCCCTGCTCCTGGTCAGAAAGGCAAGCATAGGCAAGGAATGCGTATGGGCAAACCCGTTATAAATGCTAATGAAATTGGTAATGTTAATTTTATTTTTATTTTTGAAAGCAAATGAGTGTATCGAATTGTATTTAATACCGATAAACTGACAAGTTCATCTTTAAAAACTTGACAGTGATGACAAAGCGACAAAAAGACCTCTATGATCAAATCAAAGATTTTGTCTTAGAGCGTAAGGAAATTCTCCATTTTCCAAAAACGCTCAACTCGAGTGACAGGAGCTTTGTAAAGAAAATAGCGTCGGCAATCGAGGTTCATCACGGAATTGAGACAGAGAATGGTGATAAACACATTTTTATCGAGTTTGATGAAGAGGAGGATGAAGAGGACGTAGAATCTCAGGAAGCTCGTGCTCGTATTATGCGCAAGTACGATCAAGCCACAATTGTTGCAGATGCAATTGAGAACGAGGAGCTTCGAGATGAAAAGGCTCGTAATGTATATCAGGATCGGTTCAAACAGTGGAAACAAGATTATTATTTGGTTAGTAGTTACCCTTGGATTGACTATTTTGTCCTGTGACTTTATTACACATTTAGCTGCCTGAGATGTTGTATATCAAGACGTCGTCTCATGAAGCTTTTATTCTTATTTCTACTGTCATTTATCCTTTACTCTGAACCCGTTTCTTCATACAGACTAAGCCAGAGCTTGAAACCCCAGAAGAGATTCGTCGCATGGTGTTCAAATATGTCGAAGGTCTTCAATGGGTATTGTATTATTATTACCGAGGAGTGGCATCTTGGGCATGGTTTTATCCTTATCACTATGCTCCCAAAATATCAGGTAAAAAAAAAAAAAAAAAAAAAAATCAACCAGTAATATAATTCATCCTAATTTTTTTTTTTTTTTTTTTTTTTAAAAAAAAAAAAAAATAGATTTGGTGGATTTGGAGGAGTTCAAACTACCATTTGAACTTGGCCAGCCATTCAAGCCATACGAGCAACTAATGGGAGTATTGCCAGAGGCCAGTAAACAGCATATTCCACAAGCGTATTGGGATTTGATTGTCATGGAGTCGTCGCCTATTAAAGACTTCTATCCTAAAGATTTTGAACTGGATATGAACGGCAAGAAGCAGGATTGGGAGGCTATTGTCAAAATTCCGTTTATTGACCAGGAAAGGCTGCTAGCAGCCATGAAATCTAAAGAACATTTACTGACTGAGGAGGAACGCGAACGAAACGCCAGTGGAGAGAGCACATTGTTCATGCGCGATGAAAGTCTTTCGGAAATATATCCGTCACCGCTACCTTCATTCTTCCCTGATATCAGGGACTGCAAATGCAAGCAGTCCATCTTTCATCTTCCCACTATTGAAGGTGTATCATCCTTAAGGAAGGGTCTTTGCGAAGGAGCCTTCAAGGGCGTCGACGCACTGTTTGGATTTCCCTCATTAGACACTATCCAACATACAGGCAGCCTAGGATTCCATGGCGTCCAGGTATTCCAGGCGCCATCTCGCAATGAGACTATGGTCGTCAACATTGTCAACAGATTTGAAGGTCTTAAGCCAGAAAAACTTGCACTATCCAAAATCGGTAAACGCGTTTATGTTGGATGGCCATTCCTAAAGGAGGGTGTTGTGTCATCTATTTCGGATGAGATGTTTAAATATGAAGTGCAGCTTCAAGGTAGGAACAAGGTGGTCATCCAGACCCCTCATCGTACCAACACTTTCGATACCTGGAGGAAACGCGTGGACAAGATTGAAACTTTGTACACGAAGCGATTTGGAGTGATAATCGGAGATATTGAGTTTACGGCCGAGGTTCTGTTACTGAAGGGTCTTAAACGAGAAATGAATGGGGCCTTAGTCAAGGATTTCTGTAAGCCCGGAGAGGAGCAAGAGTTTGCAATTCAGACAATTGTCGATTCTGTCAAACATCCAGACACTAGAACCAAAGAGGAGCCTCCAAGATCACTTTGCGAAGACTTTCCAATGGAATCGCAGGTCTTCTTCTTAGGCAGAGAGGGCCACTATGGATGTCCTGCACAAGTGATCGCACACTCAGAGCATGCCTTAGCGCTTCGAGTCGCCGTAAGCATATGGTATTTAGTATGCATTGAATCTCAAATACAATACTTTTGGAGACTAACGATGCTTGTGCGATTTCCTTCTCATTTTTGTTGATATCATTAGATTCCAAGCGATTCAGCAGAAGAGCCGAAATTTGGACAAGAGATTGCTCAAAAAGCTTTGGCGGAAACAATATACATGCCATCATTCGTTGTTTGCAGAACAGTTGGTATCTCTGCGTTGATCCTGAGTAAACTGACTTCGTCGCTCTATGTCGTGTATCGATCGACGGATCGACGTGTTAATTTAGGTCTTAACCTCAAATTTGAAGCCAAGAGGCAGAAAGTACTTGGCTACACTCGCAAGACCGAAAATGGCTGGGAGTTTACTCAAAAGGCTGTAGACCTACTTGAGGAATACAAGAGATTGTTCCCAGAGTTCATCGATGCACTGGAAAAAAAGGCACGCAATGATCTTTACGTTGCCGAAGAACTGTATCCTGATGGTGATAGCACAGAGAAAATCAAACGCATTGAGGAATGGCTCAAGAAGTCCAAGGTGCGCGAGTTTGAGCGCGTTGATCTAGATGCGGTACAATTGGATAAGGTAGGTGAATTGAGCCTAACAGGAAAGTGCGTCCATGTGGATAATTTAACTTGTTACGAATGAGAAGTAACCATTTGATTCAACCTCTCCGTCTTAGGATACGATCGCACTTATCGAGGAAGCCGCTGACCACTATGTCGAGAACAGGCCAGGAATGAAGCACATCATTGTCAAGAATCTTGGTCGACAAACAATGCTCAAGCCCAGTCATGCTGCCACTTTGTTGTCTGATCAAACCTTTAATCTTGGCGATAGGGTTGTTTTTGTTCAAGATTCTGGAACGGTCCCTATTGGTGCCAAAGGCACGGTTGTTGGGATTGATCGACTGGAGATTGAAGTTCTCTTTGATGACAAATTCATGAGCGGTATGGATCTTAGCGGACGATGTTCCATGTACCGTGGCATGACTGTATTGCCACAATCAATCCTGAATTTGACCACTCCCCAGTGTAACCAAAAACATCCTGCTCCTGCTCCTGCTACTTCTGAACCCTCCCGTCCCAAGCCTGTTACTATCCTGCCACCCAAACACCACCAGCAAAAGCAGCCTGCCGATAAAAAGCCTCATGGATGGGAGATCATGGGTGTTGCTCCTACTCCCGATAATCAACGTCCCAAAAATGGGCCACGTCCACACAAAAATCAAACTAGTGGCAACAGACATCCAAGCGCTCCAGCGGCTCCTCACACTCCCGTTGATGCACGCACGACTGCTAACCAAAGCCTAGGCTTCTTCCCTCGTCCTCGTCAGGTGCCTCAGATTGCAGCTCGACCTAACTCTGTGAACAATACCTCTGTCCATGACCCATCAGCTCACTTGCTTAGTCTTCTTCACAAGAACGTTCCTTTAGAGGATGGTGCTCATAGTGTTCAACCAGGCCCCTCTATTCCTCCATTTGCGCTCCCAGCTGCTGGAACTCAAGCTGCAGCTTTGCTTGAGCACTTTCGACCTGCTCCACCACCCCAGCAACAACAGTCAAAACCCTCAGCTTGGATGAAGCCTTCACATATCCAGCAACACCATAAGCAGAATACTCATCGTGCTCAACGTCAACCTCGTCCCCCTCATGGGCCTCACAACTTTGGCCACTCACATCAAAATGTTAATAACAGCAGTGGCGGCAGCAGTAGCAATAATATAGCCACCAGCAGTAATACCTATCACCACAACAATGGACCACGTCCACAAGGAAATGCTCAGCGGGGCGGCGGTCATCATCGTAATGGACAAGGACATGTCCGTCCTCGGCCTTTACCAGCCAATGAAGATGATGTTTCAGCATCAATCCCCTCACATAAAGAGCATAAAGAGCATAAAGGCTCTAAAGAGTTGAGAGAGTCTAAGGAACCAAAAGAGCCCAAGGAACCTAAGGAGCCAAAAGAGCAAAAGGAACCAAAGGAGCCAAAAGAGCAAAAGGAACCAAAGGAACCCAAAGCACCTAAGGAATCAAAGGAATCTAAGGGACAAAGAGCAGGTAGTTCTGGCAAGCAGCAAAACCATAATGGCCAAAACAACCAAGGTGGTAATGCGCGTCGTCGCAACCGCGGAAAGGATGCAGGCGGAGGAAATACTACGTCGGCTCCTGCAACAGAAGAATCTTCTTCCTCAGCGCCAGTTCCTGCTTCCGTCTCTGCTCCTGCCCCTACTCAGATCCCCGCGCCGACTGTTTGAATGTTAAATGATAGTCGTAATAGCTTTTTGTTTGTTTGTTAGAATTAAAAACTCTATTAGTTTACAGTTATCTCGCCATTATGTGGGGGTTTTATTATTATTGCTGTTTTTCTAAATGCATTTCTTAATGCTTCTTGGCTTGCTTGCTGTCCTTATCATAGTAACGGTCCAAAACCTCTTTAGTCCATTCACCAAAATTGCGTCCATCTTCTGTAACGATGGTTTCGAGCGAGGGCTGCATAAAGACTGCAAATGTATTTCTGGCCAATGTAGCATAGTGTTTGGGATCATTTTCAGGAGGAGTTGCACCACGAACGCAGTGAGGTGTTGCGGCCAACAAGCCACGAGTAGCTAGCTGTAAAGCCTCGCCTGTTTGGAATGCCAAATGATCGCGAGGAATGGAGGCCTTAACAACTTGTTGGCCACGGTTACGGATATACAATCCAGCTTCGGGGTCAGGGCAACTGACCTCCTTCCAGCCTTCGCTTTTATCAGATTCATCGATATACATGGCGCTAGTCAGGCCAGTGAGAGAACCGTGATCCAAATGCCATCCACACCATGAATCCATATCATCCCTCTTCTCGCCCTCGATAGTTCCGGTCTGCGGATAATAATGTAACAATCTTGCCTTAGTTGTCTTGGAGTCACGGATGACATCTTGAAGATGCGTAGGCGAGAAGGAAGGTAATTTGGAGTGCACAAGTTTGTCACATTCCTTGGCGACTTGTTTTCCGAGCTCGACAATAAATTGCCCCAATTCCTTGAAGGCAACTTCAAGCTCGGGTAGATCTTCTGATGGCCAAACGTTGGGATGGCAATATTCGGGGAACTGCTCCTGGAGAATCTTGGAAGATTCAGGTTCATCCATCAATGGATTGGCATAGTAACTTCCTTTGGAGACGTCTACATTTTCCATGCCACAATATATTGTCCATGGACGTGGAGGATGTAATTAAAAGAAGAAAAAAAAAAAAAAAAAAAAAAAAAAAAAAAAAACTGGGTCAGGGCGTATTGAAAGAAATGCGGGGTGCATAAACTCTAACGTTGCACAGACATGAGCCATCTGTCATTTTCCATCCCGGAACTGTTGGCCCTCCCTCATTTCCCAAGCTCACAATAGTCTAGTTTATTTAATCCGAATTCCGAAAGCGAGTTACTCTAACATTCACGAACGACTGTTCATAGGCCGAGCCATCAATATCGTACAAGAAAAAATTCCCACGAATGCATTTCCCACAAGACTTTGCATGACTCCATTTGCTTTTTTTTTTTTTGATAATTCTTTTGCAAGTAATACACTTTACCAGGTTTTCCATTCATAATCTCCTTGCCACAACTCCATCCAAAACTGTAACGACTGGCAGCATGGACAGTCTTGTCTTTGGCCTCTTCTGGTAGGGCTGCAAAAGTGGATGCAAGCTTCAGTAGTCGCTCACGGAGAGCCAAGTACTCTTTAGGTAAGTTGCTAACCAACAATAAGCCAAGACAGTGCTCGTGTGCGCCAAATGCCTCCTCAATCTTTGCAGAGATATCAGTACCAGAGACAAGGTCTTGATAGTCAACTACGACAACTTGGTTATCCGAAGTACTCTGGTATAAAATGCATTAAAAAATATAGAAAATAACAGTGTTTAGGATGCCAAAATAACTAGAATTACTTTTAAAATAACATATGTACTATCTTTCCCTCGTCCTCCTCGGTCTTAATTTCTAAAGCATTTACCGTGGTCATAATGAAAGCGGATGGAGTAATGAGATGAAAGAAAAAAGTAAAAGAAAAAAGACAAGCAGTCAGTGCGCCTGTTTTTGGACCCTGGGAATCTTAGCTTTGCCACCAACCGAGTAGCACGTGATAGCCAGCAGGACGACCAGGTAAGCCTGGCCTAGTGGCTAAAGCTTCCCCCTCTGTAGCGGAGAGTCTGGGTTTCAAACCCGGAAGGTCCGTTTTTTCTTGGATCAAAGCAGGGGGAAGTACGGCCCCCGACCTGAGTATGGAACAGGTTAATTTTCCTTTGTACTAACCCAGTCTTTGCATCATTAAAAATGCAATTGTCCCATAAGTACCACATATTAGAAGATAGAAAGGAATTGTTTATGCGATGCACACCACTACCAAATAAAAAAAATAAAAAATAAAAAATAAAAATAAAAAAATAAAAAAACCAGGAAGGGTTCGGGAGTTTGTTATATGTATCCAAGAATGCATGTTGATCTTAGTAGCTTGCAAACTCGTAAATCAACCTCTTGCCGTCGGGAGAAAGGCCACTTTCGTACATCGCAAAAGTATTGCTGTCGGCATCAGCCCATTCGTGAGCCTTTGCTTGTGGACCCAAGGTTTGCTTCTTGTCAGCAGCAAAGTAAACTGATTCAAATTTTTTGTAAGTTCGGTTTGCATTTTCAGACATGGTAATGTGTTGATAGCTTATAATTCCTGAAAAATTAATATTTATCTAGTATAAGTATAGTTGTTTTATCTATTTTGTTATTTGAGTAGACAATTAGACTACCATTCTTAACTCTCTTGAGTTCTCAGTCTTGCTATCCTTGAGAACGAAGATGCGGTGGCTGAAATCGATTGGTGCAGCCATGTCATCTTTCACTTCTTGGAGAACCATCAAATCGCAACTCTGCAATCTCAACGGGGTTGAGGTCAGGGTTGTCAGCTATGAACTGGTCCAAGGTACGATCAACAGCCTTGCGCTGCAGCGCAAAGAGACGACAACCTCCAACAGGCAATGGCTGGGGCAGGTTTGCTCCCGTCAATTTTGCTCTCTTTCCTTTTTTTTTTTTTTTTGCCTTACTCATTTTTCATTTTCTCCCAGCATTTCAGCCATACTCAGTCTTACACATCTTTATTAACAATGGTCACCACAAGGAGACTAACACAGAAAAAAATGATTACAAATAAGCTTGAGGATGCCTCCACACCCAATAAACGAAAAAGACAAAATCAACACCCACAACGCAAAAGGCGCGCCATGCCACCGTTGCTGGAGCTGAACTGCGTTGTCGAGGGAGAAGCAACATCTTTCCCAGTGAAGGTTTTTTCGTGCAAAGTGTTGGGATACTCAAGCAAGCCATCTATTCGCCTGCCAAGTTTGGTGATATCCTACCAGAGAACCTAACTCTCTACAAGGTTTCCATCCCTGACGAAGGCAAGACCGTCGTTGAGTCAAAAATGGAACTTGTGGGTTATTTAATTCCGAACTTCCAAAGGGGACTATCCATGTTTTTGTCAAGCCACCACAGCGAGGTATGGTTGCAATTGAGTTTTTTATTTGTTATTGGAGAGATGTGTCTCGGCGGAGTGCGACTTTGGATATCATCTCTATAAAGAATTTGAGAAGTCGCCTCCAAGGTCCGCGCACATCCTCAGACTCCTACTGCTAGTTTTTCGTCCTTTCATAACGTTGTTCTTATGTTTATTTAAACGCCAATTTTCAAACCAATAATTTTATTATTCCCTCTTTTTAGCTCAGAAACGACCTCGCGAACATGAGCCCGATACTCCTCAAAAGGTTGGCATGAATATCTTGTATCCGATGGTCCAATAGCCTTGCATTCTACTTTGATCGAATTGCTCAATGATGACAGGTTCAAGTTAGAATCGCGTAAAAAATTTAAAGCCACACTAGATGGAAAAGATGTGGGCGACCAAGTCGAATTACCAAATATTGGACAAGAACCAAAACACTATGGGAAAGGCTTCCAGGGCAAATCGTTCATTATTACTGAACAGATGATGGAGCTGTGGAATAAATTCTCCGCGGATAGCAATAGATCAATCAAGAGGGTATTGGCTGGACCGATGGGCGTCTGCAAATCCTCCCTTGCAATATTCCTTGCAAGAAAAGCGTATGCAGAAGGTTGGTCAACACTTTATGTCGCGAATGCCGCTGAACTAGCTAACTTGGCTGTCGCTGTAGCAGCTAAGGAAATATGCCTCCGATCCTTTGTCCTTAATAAGGACCTGTTGGCTACTTCAGACCTTAAAAAGTTGTTACTGCACGAAAACTCTGGACGATCCCATAGTTTTTGCCGCCGAGATAATTTTGTCCAAGATACTTTGTCAAAAGAGCAAGAAAACTCTCATAATCATTGATGAACATGGCGAACTTTTCCGCAAGAACAATTGGTCATGGCCTGACCTTTTGAACCCACTAATTCACCTAACTTTATGGCCCCAGGATGTGAATGGCGTTCGGGTTGTCTTCACAGGGACGGCACATGCTTCATATGAAAGAGTCTACATCTCGGATGATATCGAGGACTGGGTGGAGTTTGTTCGGCCTTTATCGAACAATATCTTCGACAAGACCCTATCCTTGAGCACCTTGCCATCGAGGAATACCGTAAAAAAGGAGGTGAAGAGAGTAACCAATAATGTCCCAAGAGGTCGTTAAATTAATAGACTATATTAGTGATGGTAGCAGACTTGATGACGATACCTATTCAACAAAAGATCGGCAGATTTGAATCGGCGCGGTGCGAAACATTCTATAAAAAATCAAAGGAATACTTCCATATACTCACTGAGGTCCAACAAAATTCTCAGCGTTCTGCTCTTTCTGCGTTATTTCGCCCAGATGTACATGTACATGGGCCTCCGTTCATTGATCTTAGCTTGATTTATCTACGTCGGATTAATAGGAGAGTTGAGCACTATTTCTTATGTCCACCGGCAAAGGAGGCTCTCCTCGACATATATAGAAAGATGCCACTCCCTAAAGATTCTTTTAATGCCCTGAGGGGTGGGAACTTGGATCCCAACGAGTTCGAGGATTTGTTGTTCCAAACTTTCGTTTCTTACAGAGGGTTTACCCTTAATACAACAAATCTGGGAGGAGAAGATGCCGTTCCTCTGACATGGTCTTGGACCCGTCTATAGGAACTAGAGAAAATACACTCAGGAGGTTTCCAAAGGGTACTGGGAGGTTCGATTATGTCTACGACAAGACATTATTCAAGTCTCGATATCAAAATTTGATGATCATGACGACAGTTCAGCAATCATCACGAAAGCCTTTGCGCCCTCCAACCCCCCTGATCCTCGCCGCCCAGACTAAGGGAAAGACAAGACAAAATCGATCGAAAATAGAAATCAAATTGAGGTATATATGGATAGTGCGTTTGAAGGGGTGCACAGGGCCTGGATCGATTCTAACACAAATTTATTTCACTTAACAAGGGATGGAGATGAGCTTGACGACTTTAAAATTGTCTATATTTGTGGATGTTTGAATATCCCGAACCATACTGGGCTCGTTAAGAAATATCCACAATTGCTCCATGTCAATGCTACGGAACTTAAAAACAAATTTTTTGGGGCCCCTGAAGTAGCTATGCCTCCCATTAATATAGGATCATTTACCTCAAGAGAAGTTTTGGTGAATGATTTTATTAATTAGTCAGCACAGGTGTATCGGTCCCAAAGAACGCACATCCCAGGTAGCTTACTGACCTCTCAGTAAAGACGTATGCAAGTGGACGGGTGGCATAAATGTCTAGATTAGTAGCGATAAATTATACGTATTTCAGCATTGCCCCGAGTCTAAATCCTTCATAAAGTTTGCTTTTTTAAAAAAATGCCACACTGCTTGAGCATGTTCCATTTGCTGAAACGATGCCAGTGCCTGGCAGGCCATCTGCATCACAAAAGGTGTTATTTCAATTGCTATTGTCGATCCACTCAAGTGTCCATTCATTCATAGCTATGAGAGTTGTTCTGTTCAAAATTGTGAATCCGTTTCATTGTTCCACCTCGGTGAAATGTTTATCCGGTGAGTAGACTTGTAACAAAAAGGACGCTCTACCCACCAGTCTGGTCCGTGCGCAACGTGGTATTTTTTGAAAATGCATAAAACCAGTCCCTAGAAGTTGATTTTGGTCTTGGACGCACTGTTTGTAGTTGAAATGGTGCAGAGTTGCCCATGTTGCCTCAGAAACCTCAAAGCCTTTCCATTGAACCAAAAACTCCATGTCATTGTCATCTTCATGGCGGTCTAATATTCTAGCAACCTCGTACCCTTCGTGCATTGTCTCTGTCATGGTCAGTGCTCCTATTCGAACTGAAATTTTGTCAATTGATATTTATTTTTTTAATCTGAAACATCATAATTGACAAAATTTCAGTTCGAATAGGAGCACTGGTCATGGTCTCATCTGCGGTATCTAATATGTTGGGCTGCACAATAGCTGCAGATAAAAATGCCTCCTGTAGCCCTAGTAAACCTCAACCATGGTTTAGTTTGACTTTGATGCTGGAGAGCTTCTCATATGCAGCCTGGTACTCATTGCTGTCAGTTGGTTGTAGAAGTCATGCTCAAATAGCGTGAGGCCTTCTCTATAGCTAGCATGTAATTTGTCCTAAAAACCCTCTTTTTCCACTTTTCATAATGCTGTACTAGTTGATGATCTAATTACGGACACCTTGGACTGAAGTTAGTAGATTGTTTGTGGCTCTATCGAGGTGAGCCAGGTTGTGTTGGACTTGACATGCCTGACACACCGCATCATCTGTCCACATGTCTCCATATTGACTTTACTATGAGTGCTGAAGAATCCTATAACATAGTTTACACGATTCCCAACATTGTAATCAATACCCATCGAGATACTGGGAGCATGGATAAAGTAGTCAAGGTTAGCCATGTGGCTGTTGTTATTCTTGACTATGTTGTGCTTGTCAACTTCCGATGTATTCTTGGTCACGCACATCCCACGAAAACCTTTTTCCTGGAGCATTTGTTGTAGTGACTCAGTATTTTCAGCGCTATGTGTGCTCAATATCCAGATACGCTTGCGATCCTACAACAAGTCTAACACTTTAAGCTTCAACAACTCTTCTGTCTCATACATCATTACCTGGTCACCATCCTGTGCCTTGCTTGCCCTTGATGTCTCGGTAGTCAGTGAACACGAGGCGCACTGTAAGCATATCGGCTAACGTTCGTCTGCATGTGATTGCAACGAATTTGGATCCCTTATCTGCCTTGACGGGTTGCTCTTCCAATACTGTTTTTAATGTACCTATATCAGATCGAATCATCAAACTGGGGGGTTGTTTCTGCACTATATTGAACTCGCGATGGCTGCGTTTGGGAGGCGATAGATAAGTATGCTTGACATAACGCTCATTGTAAGTGGTGTCTGCATTCAATATAGTAGAAGGGTCTCCTAATGGGAGTCTGGCCATGGCCTCTATAGTCTGACAAAAGTCGAGTCTGCCTATCTCCACGGCAGTTTCTGGTATCCTCTGAGCGATGATAGTGTAGGTAAATCCTGCCGGCTATCCTAAGCTTCAAAAATGCATTGTCTCTGTCATGGATCCGTTTACACACATCACACTGACCTGCACGATCTCGTCTCAGCTTGAAAATCATACCGCCACTGTATTCCATCATCTTATACTGGCTTGCATACTTGTACTGCGCAAATATACCTTGACAGCATCAGCAACAACATGAGATAAGGACAACTGGAAGGTTTGCGTCATATCTCCAGGTGTTGTTGATGATTGTGTTATCTGATTGAGCTGGCGTTGTGAGCGTCTGTTAGCCACAGTCTGATATACCACTTTGGTACTATCAGACCGAACATTGGTGATGAAAAGTTCTCCATCCAATGCATCCATATATGCCTGGTGCCATGGGGCACGGACGAAATGTCTGACCATGTCTTTAAGTTTCGAGCTTCTGAGACATCGAATGCTTCTGCTTCTTGAGTATACACCTGAATCAATGTACTTGAGCAGCTTACCTTCATTCTGATCCTGATCAGCTTTGATATCATCGAAAGAGTCAAGCAGGAATGTTCGAAGGTGTCTGTGATTGTTCTCAAATGCACATGTTGGTATCATGACATGCAATGATATCTTTTTATGAATGGATGAAGTCAAGATTCGGCATTGATTCTCGGTGACGGGATATTCCGGTGCATATTGGTTGCGAGCAGCAAGAAACTCACCAAGCACTTATTTTTCAAGTCGCGCAATAGCATCGATGCCTTCGCTAGGGACGGGTGGGCTAGCGCCGTCTTCGAGTGAAGGGAGATCAACGTTTCCCTTGGAGGCCGTAGTAAGTTTCCAGTCAATGTCATAGTACTCACAACAGGGATGTCCTTCTCGGATTTGCTCGAAAAAGCATCTGTAATGATTTTATTCGATGGCCCAACTTCTTGACAGTTTTGGTTAATCTACTCTTTGGTCCCTCTTTGTTCATTGAAGCCTAATCAATGAATAAATGGGAACGAAACTGCAGCAATAGAGATCGAAAGGATCCAGATGATATATACTTCCAGATCATGTTCTGAAGAGGGTATTGTGGAGAACAGTCACTGGGAAGCGCAGAGTTCTGAAAGGGTAATGAGTTCAGCCGCTAATCCTTTTTTTTATTCATCATCATTTTTACGCTCAACTATTTAAACAACAATCTCATCCAGATCAGCATCATGGGTCTCCGAAGCTATGTCAAACAACTCAACTACAGCTATGAAGTCACCACTGGACTGTATATGCTCGAACCATGGGAGAAGGCTGTCTTTAGTACGTAGTTCATTTTGTTGATCCTGTAGTTAACCAGAAGACAAGATGATGAAGTGATGATGAAGTGATGAAAAAAAAAAAAAAAAAAAAACCACAAAACTCACAAGTGGATATGTGCTGTGAATGAGCAAAGGCCTTTTTCACTTTGTTCGTACAACATCAAACAACAGTGTGCTTCTGAACTTGGATTCATCCTGGCTATTGTTTACTATATCTCACGCTGTTCTCTTTCTCTCTGCTAACGTTGTATATTAGACTCTGTTGTGATGGTTGGCATTCTTTTGACCACATATGCGACGTACAACTACATCTCAAAACTGACAGGGGGACTCTTTTAGAAACAATCAAGCGATGACAGCAAGACCCATCGTATCGTAGAAAGTTGCCCTGCCAAAGGTATCTTTGGCCTTTTTTTTTTCCAGCACAATAACAACAAAGTATGCTAGTCCCTATCCCAAGTTGAGATGACAACGATTAGACAGATTGATTAATAGACAGATCTGTCTGGAATCGCCGTTTTCTCCTATCTTTACTTTTCTTCTCTATCATAATACTATTATTAATTATATACAAATATTTAAATGAATAAACCTAATAACTGCCAAGATAGCATAAACTAAGTCCTGACTCTCTATATGACGCGAAAAAGAAAAAAAAAAAAAAAAAAAAAAAAAAACATCGTTTGTTTTTCCTCTCTGATTTGCCCTCGCTCGTCTGACATTAACATGCTAGTTGCTGTGTCTTTAGTGAAGTGAATGAATACAAAGAAATAATTGGTGCCTGTGCATTATTATTATTTTCCGTAATCCAGATCACACCAACTTGTCTTTCCTTCTCCTATGCTTGGATGTACCTGAATCGAATAATGCTAAGGAAGATGCTTGGGAAAAGTGCTTGCAGACACTTTTTTTTGTCTCACCACATCCAGAGTACATGTGTATACTTCTGTGATATCAACAAAAAAAAACGATGTGCAGAGCGGTGGTATTGACTCTGCACTGTTCGATCATTGTCTTACATGTTTGTAAGCCGAGTTTTCGAATACTATTATCCTTTCAATGCATTTTAGTTTACATCTGCCATGCTAATGAACCAAAGTGACAGAAGAAAAAAGAGATGGCCAAAATGGCAATTATCAACCCTCTGTCTTTATTTATTTATTTATTTATTTTCCTCTTTTTTTAGCATAAGCAGAACTTTTTTTTACGCTTCCGGCATCATTAGAGGCGGGGCCATCCAGCATGTAGACTGGAGGGTATTTTATATATAATTATGCACATGTCATGCATATTCTATCCTCAAAAGGCAGTGCAATAATACTCTATTACACAAAAAAAATATTAAACAAGATTTGGGCTGTCTGTTGCTAAACTGAAGTTTGGATATGCAAAATACGGCGCAGGCAAAAGCTTAGCGGGAATAATATTGATCTAGTTGCCACGGGCGAAGCAAAACCAATTCGATCAAACAAGAAAAAATAAAATAAACATTGAGGGCGCGTAAAGGTGCTTAAAGTGTATCAAGCAAAAAAAAAAAAAAAAAAAAAAAAAAAAAAGTGATTGCTATCAAAGAGACAAGGAGGCAAAAAAAGACAGCGGGTGAGCTAGTCTTTATTCCCATCCTTGGTTCGCCTCCTTCCCTTCAATAAAACTGTTAGGAGTAAGGCATTCCTCTTTTATTTTTCAAACGCCCCTCTTCTTAACAGCATATAGGAAACATCCTTGCTCAGGAAACCAACTTTCTTTTTTTTTAAGAGAAAACCTTTATAAATCGCCTCAACTTCCTCTTTTTTTTTTTCTCTTCTTCTTTTTCCTTTGCTCTTCCACCGCCCTTGTCTTCTTTCTCTGATACTCCTCATACCTCTGATACACCACTTCGTTTACTCTCCTCTTATCTACACTTATTCGTCTACTCATTTATTCACTATGCACGGCACATACTTCAAGCGTCCTGCTGAGTATTACCGCAGGTCATTGTGGACATACCCAGGTATGGATTCGTATTCGTTTTTTTTTTTCTGTATTCTCATATCAATACTTTTTGCTTGTTATAAAATATAACCTACCGCAGCAGAATTGAAGGAAGGCTGCATCAAACCTGGTTTTTTATTTTTATTTTTTTGGGAAGATCTGTTGTGCCTGTGTTCATTTGTGTTGTGTCAAATGTCAAATCGCGTATCGCGTATGGCTTTTTTTGTCCAATTTTGTCCAAAAAAATCTTGTGAAATGCTCTGTTACATGACACAAAAACTAAACCGATCTTTTCTTTCAAAACTAGATACTCTTCGTTTTCGCGGATCTGTTATTCCCTCGGTGATTAAGGATGTGGTTGTCATCACCTCCTTCAGTTACTTTGTCATTTTCCTTGAAAACTCAAAGTTCTTTGACGGTTCCTTAAATATTCCCAACATGATTGGTAAGGTCCCTTTGCGCCCTCATTAATAGTATTTACCTTGGACAAAATGAACCTGTACTTCTTTGAGTATACAAGTTACTAAACTCTTCTCATTACAAAAAAAAAGTCCCTGCGTTGTCTGTCGTCGTGGGTCTTATCTTAGCCTTCCGAACCAACACAGCCTATGATCGATACTGGGAAGGCCGCAAACTGTGGGCTAGTCTTGATGTCCAGATCCGCAACTTCTCACGAATGATCTGGGTTGGCATGAAAGAGAATCGTCATGAAACCCTTGTTTCTCCAGGCGGTACTGTCCGCCTCCGAGACTACCATTTGTTCGGCCGTACCAACTCTAAAAAGTCCACAAACTCTGTTCGCAGCAGCAGCCATAATGGCCATTGTCATGGAAACACCGCAACAAGTCGCACAGAGAATGCCTCTAGCGCCACACTGATTGATATTGGTAACAGCCCACAGCAACAGCGACATCTCGATGATGATCACGAAAAGATCTTGGTCATCCGTCTATTGCTGGCATTTGCTGTCTCAGTCAAGCACCATCTGCGTCAAGAATTTGGCATTCGCCACCACGATCTCAAGAATTTGTTACCCGAAGATTTTGAACCCTGTGCCAACGAAAACGTTGAACTCAAGCCCTACCAGGACAAGGCCATAGGAGATCGCCACCGTCTACAGGACGCCGAACCCTGGAATATTGTAGCAGGCAATGAGGATGGGCAGATGTCATTACCATTGGAGATTGCACATGGGCTGTCGCTCTGGGTCATCACTGAATCTCGTGCAGGCAGGATCGAAAGCTCATTGATCGGAAACTTGCTGTCATCGATCAACTCGATGGTAGACATCTTTACAAACATGGAACGAATCGTTTACACACCCATTCCATTGGCCTACAGCATTCATCTGTAAGTCAATATCTTATTGAAATTCCTTTGTCACTGTCTGTTTTATTTCAGTTTTCTCTAAACTAATGAACATTCTAATTTGTTTGATTTACCACCTTACTTCAAAATAGTCGTCAAGTTGTTTATCTTTACTGTCTGGCCTTGCCTTTCACCTTCATCAGTGCTCTTGGCTGGTTGACAGTTCCATTGATGTGTTTAGTCTCGTTCACACTCTTTGGTGTCGAAGCCATCGGTCGTGAAATCGAGAACCCCTTCGGCAAGGACGCCAATGACTTGCATATGGATGACTTCTGTTCATCTCTCAAGCGTGAGCTCGATTACACTGTTAATCTCAAGAACACCGTTCCCGGAGCCTGTGCTTAAAGAATAACTACCGCCACAATCATCACGCTGCCAAGAGAGAAAACTATAACACGAAACAGACATATGATGTAGATGAAGGGCAGGCGAATTATAAATATTTGTAAATAAAATGAAAATTGTAGTATAATTCTGTACAGATTGATTCGTGAGCCAAAAAAAAAAAAAGTCCTGCATCGGACTTTTTTTATCTATCCATTTACTTCCATTTTTATGATCTGGCAAAAAAAGAAACTTAGGATGCGTAAGTACATTTATATATTTGTATGCATTTTTTGTATTTTATGTCATTTTTTTTCAGTCTGCACCTCAAACATCAACGAATAAATATAAATGTGTATTTTTCTTCCGTTCTTGTTTGGTTCATACTACTATTTATGATTACTTATTTATTAATAAGTTATTAAGCATGGTCATCATCACGGTAACGCTCCTGGCGTCCCGAACGCTGCGGACGGCTGTCAACCTCATCATCGTCATCCTCATCTCCAATCTCGAATGAACCATGGCCTCGATTATTGCTAGTCAAGAGGATATCACCATCGCGGCCAACCCTGTTATAAGGCAAAACACCCTTCCCCTTGTCCTCCACCAATTTCTTTCCTGCTGTCTTCCAAAAAATGATACCGCCAGCAGACAAAACGATCACACTTCCTACCACGCCTCCAAAGAATGTTGAAGATGATGAGCCTGACGTCGAATCGTCTGCATTGTTGGTGCCGTTGTTATCTCCAGTTTGATCCTTGTTGCCTGTGTTAGGAGCGGGGGCAGGTGGTGGAGTACCTCCGTTAGGGTTCACTCCACCAGGAGGTGCTTGTGTACCGCCATTTCCTCCTGTAGCGGCATCGCCTTGACCTTGAATAGGAGCCTTGTTAAAGATTTCTCCAAGTGAATCTGTGGACCAGCCAACCCACTTGAAGGAACGGGCCGCGCCCGGATAGCCACCATAGTATCCATCAAGACCAAATGTGAAATTTTGACAATTGGAATCTGTATAGAAGTTGATAGTGGCATTATTGGGTGCAAAGTTAAGGAACGAGTATTTTGAAAAGGCCAACTCAGAGGCAAAGCAAGTGTTGAAGGGGACATGTTCAGTCCCGATCGGGCCGTTGCCGTCGTTCAAGTACACAATGTCAACATAATCTGTGTTGTGAGGAGGAGCCACAGGAGTATCTTGAACTTGTGCGGAAGAGATGGCGAGAGCTGCCAATGCAGTTGCACCCAGCAATGATGATGATGATGAGAAACGCATTAGAATCTAAAGACGAAAGAAAGGAGGATTATATAGCGGAAAAAAAAAAAAAAAAAAAAAAAAAAGGTATGAGGCGTAAGATAAAAAAGAAAATGAAAGATTAGATGAAAAGGGAGAATTTAAGATGATGAAATTCACAGATTGTGAAAGGTAAGGGGATGTTGATGAAGAGAGAAAAGAATGTGTGGGTGGACAGAGTGGCTTGCCCCATTTTATCGAGACTCAGACCAGCTGGATTCCTATTTTTAGACATGTAATGCAGTTTGCAGATCCTCTCATGGGCGGGCGATGCACTTTGTGTCACCCACACTCTCACTTTCTCTGCTCGTGTGGCCATATGGCCGCATACTGCCGAGGTGCGCATATGCAGGAACGGATGACATGCGTAGATCTTGGTCTTGTCCACTCAACTCATTTATCTTTGGATGCTTCCGAGTGTGATGAGGACTATTTGCCTACACCATATAATCAATTCCTATCTTCTTCAATTATTATGCACTCTAAAATACCTATTTTTCTAATTATACTTCTCAGTGTCTTTTAAAGCTTTTCAATACCTTGCCTCAAGGCTATGCCTTTCTCTCTTTTTTACACAAGACTGTGTAGCCTTCATAACGTACTCTTTCAAGCGAACGTTGATCAGACTGTTGAAAACAATTAGGCACTGGCTCATGTAAAAGGTAAATTTAGTGATCACCCAAATACAGCTATGAGACTGAAGGCAACTTCTGTGGTATCATCGAGAGCCCGCATCTATCGTTGGCTGCCTTGCAGTCAAATACAGCATCAAAATCAAGCCCTTAAGGTAACGTTCTCATCCAAATCTGCAGATCCAACTACATTAAGGCCATTGGTTTGACTCCTATTTAAAAGTATGAATATTATTAAAAGTGTGAATATTAAAATCATGGTAAGTTAAAGCCTATAGTCTTTGATAGGCAAATTTTCCCAGGTAGTATTGTAAAAAAGAGTGCCAGTAGCACTTGAAACAAAAGTAGTTTTGCCAACCCTGAGATCTGATTGAGCAAGCTCCAGAACCCAGGTGATGAATCCAGAGATGCAAGAGGGATATGAGGGTCTACGGTACCGCCCAGGAATGCAATCTCATATAAGTACCTGATTCATGGATATGTCAGAAGTTCTTCCAGGAGGTCGAGGTATCCTCGAGATACTGTGGGTTCTAAGAGTCAAACACTTTGAAAACCAAGAGTTTTTTTTTTTTTTTTTTTTTTTTTTTTCGTCCATTCCAAAATGAAAGAGAAAAAAGGATTAATCTATTTGGCAGCCCATATCAAATATAGTAATTTTTGCCATTATTTGGCAACCTATTTTTTGGGGCTGCCACCGAACTTCACACACTTAGATGGCAGCTGGGCTGCCAAATAATGTTTTGCAAAACTAATTTGAAAAGGTTGATTGGCCACACACTACGCCTTGTTGCACTCACCATGTAATTACAAATATTAGTGTTTGTCAGAAAGAGTAAAACCCAAATGAATAAGTTGCGCTTCGATGCCTGTTAGCGGCTTCGGATGGAGCGACGACAATTGGACTTGAAATGAGTGACTTTGCTTACAGCACCGAGGTATCAACGTGTCCATAAAGAAACAACTCCGTTATAATTTTTTTTATTTATTTCCACGGGACCGTGCAAATACTATTTTTTATGAGGGCGCTATTTGGCAGCTGGGCTGCCAAAGAGAAGTTTTCAAAACTGATCATACTATTTGGTAATGGGCTGCCAAATAGATAAATCCGAGAAAAAATATACTTGCATACCAGAAAAAATGATGGTGGAAGTGGGATTTGAACCCACGCCTCTCTCGAGACCGCAACTTGAGTGCGGCGCCTTAGACCAACTCGGCCATCCCACCTTCTAAATGTGTCCTAAATCGAGGCAACTTAAGCTCACGTCCTATAACAAGTGACGTCATGGTAGGTAGGACCAGAGGTATACCTATAGTGGTACCCTCAAACCCACCCCGTCCTGCCTGGACGTCATGTTGCGACAACGTATTAGATCACCGTATGCAGTATGGTGGGCAGCTATACACAACGCATTTATTCAACAAGGATCGGAAGTCACGGTCGAGTGGGTCAAAGGACATGCCGGCAACCGAGGGAACGAAGAAGCGGACGAAGCAGCAAAACATGGACATTATGGCGAGCTATGGGATATCAACATAACGGAGCATAATGACATGTACTGCCATGCAAAGTTCAACGGTGTACCAGCGGAAGATGACTTAAGGCAGATCCTTAAGTTACAGTCAACAACTCGTACACATCACACTTGGATCGTCCAGAACAGGACGCAGGAGCATGTTAAGGATTGGACAAAAATTGATTGGCGAGCTACTATGAACATTGTTCATGATAGCAACCTACCGAAAGGACTCTTCGCCAGCCCAGCGGACTGCCAAAAGCGAGCGCACAGAATCAAGAAACTCCATGGAATGTTGCCTACAGTCATATATGAGACACTGGAGGCTGGACCTTTATGAAGACGGCAACTGCAGAGTGTGTGGGACAGAGGATGAAGACACATCGCACATCTGGAGATGTCCAAGGACGATGGAGACTCAGGCCGAGAAGTGGAAGGAGATAATCCAAAATGTGAATGTGATAGGGGAAAGAGTTGAAAGCAGTGCAGGAGCAAGCACAAAGGGCCAGGGAGAGAGGTGTAGACCCACCAAGGACAAAAGAGCCAACTTTTACTGCGGCAGAGGAGGACTACATTTGGAAAACTCTGGAGATGCATATCGATGGTGTGCGAGAAGTACGACGCCATGGTGATAGGAACGGCGATGATGAGGAAGAGAGAGCACACACCAGATTGGTCTGTGCAGGACATTTACCATGGACTTACGCCCAAGTCCATTGCTCAGAGTTGGAAAGTTGGCTTCAAGACAACAACAAGGATAGCTACATATATGGCAGGGCGCTTCGTCAAGGCCATAGAGGAATTCGGTCGTACAGAAATCTGGAACAAACGGTGTAAAGTCACCGTTGAATGGGAAAAGGCTCGTGGAATCACTGCTATGAGCAAACGCGCTAGAGGACGCAACTGTGTTGGGGAGCACAGACGTAGTAGCAATGATTTCCTTGTCCCTTCCCTCAGACAAAGACAGAAGCTGAATGTAAAAGAGATCTACAAGATCGCGGATGACCGAGTCCGGGACAGTTACCTTGGGAAAACCAAACTGGACGTGATGGAGCGGCTAGGTGGAATGAAGTTTTTGATGACTATGGATAGCGGATAATTTGTCGCGTTGCGCAACAGGCCACGTCGGAAAGGTGGACTTTGAGTACCAACCACGGCGGTCAGGGTTTATGAAATCATGGATACAGCGGTTCTTGTCGTTTGCGCAGTAATAGCTGTTTATTGACTATAGTTTCTGGAGCATTTTGTTCATAGAGTGTAGAAAATAAATCCCATGACCCTGAGGGTCCTTGTTATCAAAGAAAAAAAAAAAAAAAAAAGCAGAAGGCTTTTGTCCTTGTGGTACGGCAATGGATGCGCATCACGACAGGTGCTGTCCAGGACCTACGTTAGACCCATCCGCTGCAGACAAGGTTCTGTTGCAGAGCTTGTTAAGACAGTGACAATTGACAACCATGGAAAGGATGGGGGCGATTTCTTTCCTGTAACAGTATGTTTTCGACGTTAAACACGGTGATGAACCGTAGCAATAGTCGCGGCACCCGAAAGGCTTACCGAGGGAACGTGACTAGACTTATGGTGACTGTAAAGCGATCCTCTCTTGAGGGTGGGGCATGGAGTACATTTTAGACTGGATAGTTCTTCAGTTTTATAGCGTTGTTCGTTTAGAGAGCAAACTATTATAAAAATAATAATGATAAATAACGTATTGCTTACTGAAAATAAGTTACTTTATAATATTTTATATATTAAGTTATTGAAAGTATTAAATGATTTCCATTAACATGAACGTATAAAGAAAAGAGTTCGAGATAGCGGAACAGGTAGGCACACGTGTAGCAGGGATGAATTCTTTGTTCTCATCAGGGACAACGTCGAGCGGCAAACTACCGACAGCAGGCGGAATTGGTTATAGAGCGCTTGGAAAGTAATAAATTTTTGATGATTGAGAACTGCAGCAATAGGATTGACTCTTGGTCCTTGTTAAAAAATAAAAAAAATAAAAAAAACAACAAAAAAACTATAGTACGTATCATATATATATATATAGGTAATTAGGGCCTCTAAATATAATGCATGTTATGCGATGGGCGTCTCAGGCACACCGTTTTCTCATTGGCGTAGCCCTAGAGGTTTGTGCTCTCTGTGTATGGTCCCTGATGATTTATGTGATGTAAAAGGGACTTGGGAAAAAGAGACAAATCATGACAGGGAGGTGCGTATGAGTAAAGACAAGAATAGGGGTGGTTAGACAAAGATTATTATACATGCATTTTGACTCCTTCGTCCCTTCGTCCATAATTACGCGGTGGTCACTTGGTCCAAGAAAAAGGGGCGAATGTGTAATGGCTCAGCTTGTCAGTTGAACAACTACCCATGTTGGAATTTTTTATATCCATCGAGCAATGTCTTTCTTTCTTTTTTTTTTTTTTTTTCCTCATTGTTCCTTCACACTTTCGCTCACATCCATACCTCTTCACTCTTTTACCCTTGTATCCTTTCTTTGTCACCTAGAGAACTATTCCTCTTTCTCTCACGTCTCTTTGTTAATGACCTTAGTTTCATGACCCTTTTCTTCCTTTATTTTTAACCACAAAAAAACCTGCATCTTTCTAATATCCAATATTTCATTTTATCAATATGGATCCGATCATCACATCTCTATCGACCTCCTCAGATACATTTCACAATAATAATCTCAACGAAACAGATCAATCCCCCACTGCCATAGGAGGAGCATCATTTTACTACAAAAAGGTCAATGTACCTCTGAACTATCCATCTGAAGCGATCAGCGCCCCAAAGACTTATGTCTATCCACCTCTCATGTCCCCCTCCGATGAATACTTCAGTCCTCAACAACATAGTGACGCAACATCACCCACAACAACGTACCCTCCTCAGCCCATCAATATCCCTCAGAGTCAGGGACAAAGGCAATGGGGACGAAGTAATAGTAGGAGTAATGCACGACGAAATAGCTTACCTGTGAAGCCATTCTCTTCAACACCGATGGTGAAGCCAGGTTCAATGCCTACTCACCCAGAACTTGACTCATACATGCCATCGCCTCCGACATCACCTTGGAAAGATGCTAGAGTCAATGGTAATAAATTCACGAAGCCAGCTCGATCAGCGACTACGACGACATTGATCCTAGATGAAACGCCCTATCCGGATCTCCCGTCAGACGTGAGATCCTGGACGAGTAGCCATGTAGCTGAGTATTTAGCCTATACTTTGCGGCTTTATCCACGAGCTATCACTGAGGATCTAGGGCGATATTTCCGACAGGTAAAGTATCAAAAAAAAAAAAAAAAAATTGCTACGCCTGTTATGCTGCGCTATGCAATGCTATGCTTTTATTTATTAGATATTAACGCAGTTTTTTTTTTTTTTTTTTTTTTTTCCTCATGTAGAGTGCTAACTTGACTGGAGCACAATTTATTGACCTGCGCGAGGAAGATTTAGGTAAATTATTCTGTCCTATTCTAGGAAGAGAAAACAACAGGGTATAACAGATTTGTTAATATATCCCAAATGTCGCTCACATTCTACGATCAACGATGTCTACATTACAGAGCGCATGCAAATCAACCTCAAGTGGCGTTCCATGATCCTCAAGGCTGTGGGGATGCTCCGACGCGAGACGCTCCGTGCTAGTCGTATTGATGAAATGAATTGGGAAGATGGATACGATCCTGAGAAAGATGGGCCTATGCCCATGCCTATGACTGTGCCTGCTAGCTCCAGCTCAAGCTGTAAGTTATGAGTTTATAGTTATTTTATTTTTCAAATCCTTCTCTCCGCTTCATTTCTCTCACATTCCTTTGCTTCATTTCTTCATCGTCCCCAGCGGATGAAGATTCCTCACATTCCATTCCTCACACCCCATCCACTACTACAGAGCCAGAAGCCACGTATAGCCTGGATCAATTATCGACTACAACTACCATTATCAGTACCTCAGATATGGCCGATCCAAAACAGGTCTCCACTGCTGAACATGACAGGTCCACACCTGTGATTGACCCTCAGGAGCTACGCCGTGGCATTGTGGAGGACATCACCAGTGTACTGCTTTCATGGAAGAAGGACCAAGAAGAACGAACCAAGAAAGCTCAAGCCAAATCGAACGGGGGTCTTGGATTCATGGAGGGCGTCGTTATCGGAGGCCTGATTGTCGCCTTCATGATGCGCTTTTCGCGTTAAAATACTAGTGTGCTACAATATGTGATAATCTAGTCTTTTCTCAATCGTATTTTTTTATTTCAATTTGTACATAAAAGTACCAGTCTCCTATGTTGTTACTTTCTTTTATGTCAATGCTATGTGCAGAATAAGAATAGTTGTTACTGCTATAGCTGTCGCTTTCCTCCTGGATATAATGCGAAGACAGTTTCTTTGCCATCACCATCTTCCAAGATCTCAAGCGCAGCTAAATGTCCACCTAATTGACCAAGAGAAAAGATTTTATCTCCAGTCAGGGATAAATGCAAACATAAAAAACTTGCAAGAACAGTTATTCAGGAGATAAAGAAGTAACACGTCAAAGTACCATAGTATCTACTGATGCCAGTATCAATAACCATATAGCTTCCGTTGCAGATCGACAGGATTTTACCATTTTCATATTGTGGGGTGTGGCCTGAGATGAGACGATTTACCTGCAGAATAAAAAAAAGATGGACGACTTTCAGTAAGATGAGCAAGGTTTCCTTTAACAATATGCTCCATGATGAGTTTGAATTACCCCAAGTGTCTTTTTAACTTCTTCGATCCTCTTGCATGTCTCTTGTTCACCCCCTTCCTCTAAAGCATGCGACCTGCTCCAGATAGGACCTTAATTTTCAAAAAAAAAAAAAAAGTCATTATGAAAGCCTATTTCTGGTATGCATTTTCTTGCTCCTTGGCAATATCCTTCTACGAAATAAAGGGCTTGCCTGTGCTTTGAAAGATAGATGCCCGGTAATTAGAGTTCCAGATAGCTTCGCTTGCTAGGCGGTTCAAGGTGTCGATTCCGAGACGTGCCCACTCAGGCTCCATATCGCCATGGCTGAAAACGGTGTGTCCATGATGAATGTAGGTGATGTTGAAGTTTCGATAGATCATTTTACCTAACCAGCCCGTCCGAACATCCCAAGCTTCCTTACGTTTCACGCGTCCTCCGAAGGAAGCAAAGTCTTCTTCTGTTACATAACGCAGATCTTGACCTAAGTTCATGACTTCATGGCTACAAGGACGATGAGGTTCTCATCCCGTAATCTTCAAAACCTTTAATTCATTGAAAGTAAAAATGAAAACTTACTTTCCATAGACATTGACAACCTGTGAAGCACATTCATTTCCAATGGAGTGAGTCAGTTGACATTCCCAAGCAGTGCGAAAATCAAATTCTGTTCATACATACTGAGGAGTAAAACATCGAGTTACCTTTCCTCCAGCTTCTTGAGCTTGTTTGCGAAGTTTATCAAAGAGATTGTAAACAGCAATTGTATCTGGGCCACGATCGACAAGATCACCCTATGAGAGTGAAAGCCCGATGGCAACGGTTCAGGTTAGTCCGATCATAAACATCGATCTTTACAGCTATATATATAATAAAGGCCATCAAAAAGATAGGAGGCGAATCCAAAAGGAATGCGTGGCGTACAGTTTGGACGAGCGTGTCAGTTCCGCCGACCCAGTCGCCACTGTCGTCAATGACCTTAGCAAGCTTCAGAACCGCTAGGGTCTGAGGTAGATCGCTGTGCAGATCTCCGACAGCGACGGTGCGTTTTGTCTGGACAAAGGCTTTCTGAGGCTGGTTTTTAAGATAGACAGCTTTGGACTTTTCATAGCCGGCAGGAGAGTCAAGGTGGCGAGTTGAAGAGGGTTGCTTCAAGTAAATGACCAAAACGACTAACAAGGCCAAGAAAGCAAGAGGTCTAAGCATGATGTTGTGGGAGACAGAATATAAGACAAAATAAGAACAAGTGAGTGAGTAATGACGAAGGATTTTACAAAGTAACCCATGAATCCGAATGAAAGGTTCAAGCAAGTCTCATTCTGTAAGTTAGTTAGTAATTTGGTTAGTAATTTAGTTACTTGTTGCTAAATAAAAGCATAACTTTGTTTTGCATGATTTTGATTTGCCCAGCCCCACCATGGATCATCCATGCATGGTATTCAACAACAAACACACCATTGGACAAACAACGACAGGCTGCATGCAGTGCGCTTCTCTCCCCCTTCTGCGAGCCAGCGACCCAGCCAGGACACAGCACGCGCGCTTTTTTTATTTTTTTTTGCGTCTGTGCCTGAGTTCCTCGTTTGGTTGCTTCTATTTTCGCTCCTTTTTTTTCTTTTCTGCTTTTCTCTGCTTTTCTCCTTCTTTTTCAATTGTTCATATTCTTCCTTTCTAACTTATTCTCGACCTTCTTTCTTTCACTTACTCTCTTGCAAATCATTCCGAATTTTTTTATAAAAAAGAACTTACATTCATTGCAGACCTAGGAAACCTATATTCATTCATTGTTTCATTCCAACTTACCATACCTCGGTGTCTTCTGCTCATCAAGAGTTCATAAAAAAGGAAAAAAAGAAAACACTCTTTGTATTGTTCATTACTACAGCGTGATTCAGCATGTCCTGGTTGAATCCCAAGAGTAAGTCAGTCAATTTGCTTTTTTATATACAATAACATGGTGTTAGGGAATAGGTATTGAGTAGTGTTTGTGTGGATGAAAGTCACTTATTTTTTTTTTTCATCCCAACGGCATACATACACAAAAAAAAACGGCCTGTCTTGTCTCCGTTTTTGTTTTTGAGAGACATAAAAGTAACAAAGGAGGCGGGCAAAGAAAAAGCGCGCCATGCAACTCTCTGCATTGTGTGTGAGATTGAGGATGTGTATTGATTTTATCTTGTACACATTGTTATGTATTGTAAGATGATTATTGTGTACTCTGTGTGTACCATGTGTGCCATGCCTGGTGTTATCAATAGTGGCTAATGAAATGTTTCCCATTGCGCATGCATGTTTGGCTTGGGGATACTTAACCTCTCTATCTCATTCTCTCTAACTCAATGTCTCTTATCTCTTTCCAAAATTCAGAGCACAAGGAGAAAGAGCGTGAAAGAGAAAAAGAAACTGCAGCCCTTTCCGCCAATTTCACATCCTCCTTGCAGATAAAGTCACCTTCTCCACCCAAATCCACCGGCTTTGTTGTAGGAAATGGTCATCAAGCACAACATCTGCAATATTCCTCAGCTGGATCACTCAGCAATGCCATCCAGAATAGCTCTTCAAACATTTACAACCACAACAATAGTTACAGTACCAGCAATAATACTTCTACATCATCAGGGGCTCCCAAAACAGGTACACTCATCATTCGAGTCGTAGAAGCAAGGGGGTTGACTATCCCTTCTGGCCCTGGTAACTCTCCTTTTATTCCACAAGACCAACAACAACAGCAGCAGGCTGCTGTCAGTAATCGAGAGTCGCACCAACGCAAATGGTGGTTACCTTATGCGGTTCTAGAGTTTGACAAGAATGAAGTCCTGATCGATGCTCTTGGAGGAGAAGTATCAAATCCAGTTTGGCAATACAGAGCCAATTTGTAAGTTTCAAACCAGGAAATGTCATACTGCTCCAAGTTTATTATTAATGTTATTATTGTTCCCTAATTAACTTGTATATCATGGGGAGAGAAAAGAAGCACACAAGTTTATGGTGCTGATTCAGCCAACTGGGCGACCAATAGCCAGTTATTCATTTTCAAGCTACAGCTACTCTGGCAAGACCAGAAAAGAAAACGACAGCAACAAGAAGCAATGGGGATGAATATCGTGGTTATAATTATCTTTCCCATTTTGTTCTCACCTTTTGAGCTGTGCGTAGAAGCACATTTGTATTTTAATAAGGGCTTGGAAATTAATTTGGAACAACAAATCATATCGTGGTAGACTATTCATGCCACCTACTATTATAACGATTTCATCTTGACTCACATTCCATACGATATCCATCAGAAACATCGTTAAGCCGTCATATGTGGGTTTTGCATCATTTCACATTTCTTATACTTCATAACAATTCAGCCTCTTCATTACTCCTCTTATTTATGAGTGTGTGTCAATGTGTGTTTGTCAATTGCCCCCCTGTAATGTCAACCTTACTCGATAGGAGCCCCGAGGGTTATATATAGTGTAGATATAAAGCCTCACCACTTATAGTCCATGGTTACATAGCCCATTTTTTACTCAGATCAGACATTTCAACAAACTACTCCTTTCATTTTCATCTAACATTCTCTTTTCCACTTCTCTTTCTTTTCGCAATTATAGCGATGTATCTAGGGAGTCGGATGTGGTATTGTCACTTTATATCCGTATCCCCGATACTAATGCAATGGACGTGGATCCCAAAACAGGTGAAATCGATAGTATGAATCATGATGTGTTCCTGGGCAACCTCAAACTAGTGCCTCACTGGGAGGAGCGCATGCAGGACGAATGGTTTCTTTTACAAGGTGGTACAGGACGAGTCCGTGTGCAGCTGGCATACAGACGTAGAAATGTATGAAAGAAACATTGGGATTTGATTCTAAAAGACTAAGAACGAAACCAAATTTAGTAACGGTTGTTTTCTTTTCTATCTATTCGATTTGTTTAAATAGGCTAATACCGCATTGACCATTGACTCTTTTGACTTGCTAAAAGTTATCGGTAAAGGCAGTTTTGGGAAGGTATGTATTTTATTTTACCGGTTCTTATATACATTATCCAGGAATATAGAAGAAATCATAAATTAACATTTACATTTCCTATCCTGATGGAATGCCCTTTCTATTTTTTATTCATAGGTCATGCAGGTCCGCAAACGTGATACTTCCCGTATCTATGCAATGAAGATCCTTCGGAAAGCCCACATTATCTCACGTAGTGAAGTCAATCACACGCTCGCAGAACGAACTGTACTAGCTCAAGTCAACAATCCATTTATTGTACCGCTCAAATTCTCATTTCAATCACCAGAAAAACTATATCTTGTCCTTGCATTCGTCAATGGAGGCGAGCTCTTCCATCATCTTCAACGCGAAGGCCGCTTTAGTGAGGAGCGGTCTCGTTTCTATGCTGCAGAACTCCTATGTGCACTAGAGTGCCTACATGGATTCAATGTTGTGTACAGGGACCTCAAGCCAGAAAACATCTTGCTTGATTACACAGGTCATATTGCACTCTGTGATTTCGGTCTCTGCAAACTGGGTATGACTGAAACTGAGACAACCAACACATTTTGTGGCACACCCGAGTATCTGGCGCCAGAATTGCTTTTAGGTCAGGGCTATACAAAGACAGTGGACTGGTGGACCCTTGGAGTGTTGTTATTTGAGATGTTGACAGGTCTACCACCGTTTTATGATGAAAACATCCATGAAATGTATCGCAAGATCTTGCAGGATGAGCTCCGTTTCCCAGATGAGGTTTCATCAGATGCGCGGTCCTTGTTGATGGCACTGTTAACACGAGATCCGAACCAGCGCCTCGGTAACAGTGGATCGCTGGCTATTAAACAGCATGTATTCTTTAAGCCCATTTCGTTCCCGTTATTGATGGCTAAAAAGCTTCAACCGCCATTTAAGCCTTCAGTCTCCTCTGCAACAGATACATCCAATTTTGACGAAGAATTTACAAGTGAGGAGCCGTTGGATTCTGTAGTAGAAGAGTCATTCTTGAGTGAGACAGTTCAATTGCAGTTCAAAGGATTTACCTATAACCCAGGTCAAGACAATCTATTTGGATCAACGATTGTCAGCCCACCTGGAGGGCCAAATGGTGTAGCTACGAGATAAAAAAAAAAAAAAAAAAAAAAAAGAATATGTACAGTTATAAGAAACCATTACTTCCGTTCCTCTCTATTGTTTATTGACATCATGTTGCATGCTCGAGGACTGGTCTCTTCTTTCTTCCTTTTCTTAAGCTCACATCTCGTCCAGGCGATAAAATGCTCTTGAGAAGAGGTCCAAAGTCGAGTTCAACGTGTTTAGACTCAATGTACTCATGTTCAACATGCAAGGGGATTACCACCCAGCATTTTTAATCAGGGAGTTTCTTTTCATTGGTGGCACCAAAATCTAAAGTTAACCGCACCACCACCGGTTGACCAGTTATCGCTGGTTATAGCCAGCTTTCACCGGTTTTAATCAGTTGTAGCCGATTAGAACTATATCAGGAACAACCAATGACTTAAATTTTGGGTGGTGATTAAAATCACTGTTGGCGCCACATCGAACATAAAAATCGTCATATACTCTTGACACCATGTACTCTATGCCTGTCATAGTTAAGCCGCGAAGACAGAAGGATAGTGTCGCCTATTTCCATACTATATCCTTTGTGAGAGGTCCTCTCAGACTGTAGCAAAAATCAGTGCCAAGACCCTCACTTTTCTATCTTTTTCGTATTATGAGAGAGTAGCAGGTCGTTGACATGAAGGAATTGAACACTCAAAGACATAATCGTAAAGTGCGACGTATTTATAAGCTGGTGCTTATGTGTGTGTTTGCGAGGCAAGAATTTTAGCGTGTTTGCTATAATCATTATTACAGCCTTTCTGCATTTGACTCTGTCTCGCACCATAGCAGACATCACAGTTAGCATCTACGTCCTGGCCAATGGTGCGGAAGAAAGGGTACAACCCTTCGAGAATATACTCATCCATGTTATCTCATCCTTCTGGCAAAATTTGGGCTGGTCTGCAAGCATGCATCCACCCTTTATACCGACGAATAAGCACGGCATCCACCGACATCGTCAATGGGATCGTTGACAAGAGACTTCACTTAATTGTCTTGAAGGACTTTCCCTGACGGCGTCGATGTGTTAGAGAAACACGCGACTCTGCAGCACAAAGAGTCAAGAGATAGTAAGCCGCTACTGCGTTGCGCTCTGGATGTCTTCCAGGGCTGTGCTGCTCAACTGCGGCCGAGAACAGGACAGCAGCACGTTACAGCGAGAAAAAGCATAGAAAAGACGTTTCACTTTTCTCTTCAAGCACACATCTCGCTGGTGGGATATCTACGGCAACAAAGGTGGACTGAAGTGCTTGAAGAAGTAGAAACGGACGTTCAGGTTACACGCGATTGCGGTCCTGACGACGTAGCCCTCACCCCGACAGTGACGCTCTCACCTATGCCAACATCGAAAAGGTCTGAAGACAGATAGGATATGCTGGGCAATGTTTGTACGGCCCAGTAACAACCATCCTAGTCCTTGGCCCTGCAACATAGACGCCCAGACCATCCACTGCATCGCCGTTCGCAGTAGAGTCTCCAGCAGCATTGTCAAAAAACCATCTCGGTACAGCTATAGAGAACGCTCGCTTAAGAAGCAACATGAGGTTTCTGTAGCTTTCAAGCTGTGTAAGTACTAGCCGTACAAAGCACAAAAGATTGATGTTCCTGAAGCAGTAACTCCGTCCCTACGACTGAGGCCTTCACCGCAATTACCGCCCTGTAGACGTGACCAGTTCAGCAAAGCGTCCGCTCCCCGTAGCCCGACCAAAGAGCATCAGGTCGTAACTATGGATGTCGGGACATTGGATGCAAACATTAGGAGGTCCTCCGGGAGTGACTACTCTATAGGCGATGGAAAGCTGCTCAAAGGAGTCCAAACTATCCTAAAGAAGTCAGCAGCGCCTCCGCGGATACGAAAAGAAAGTACTAATTCCTAATCGGATTCTTTATTGAGAAAACCGGCACAATCGCAATCAGTGATTCTGGCAGGGCATTTTTTTGATATGATCTACAAAAGGGCCTCCACACACGATCGAGCCGCACAAGACGATAACCCAGTAGTAAGGGGTGATCAGCACAAGGGAGACGAGAGTAATACCAGCATGACATCCACACAAAACGGTTTCTAATAAGTCTGCTGAGATTCCTATACTCAGGAAATCTCGCAACCATGGTGGGCAGAGGAGCCGATGCCCTGTATCTCATCAAACGATTGAAAGACAAATCTTCTGAGGGAAACAGACAGAGAGCATTTGAGAACTAGGTCACGATACTCAGGAACCGCATTTCTACTTTCAACAGCATCACAGTTAAAATCGGGACTTCGTCGATATTATTTTTCAAGACGTGATTTTCCCGATAGTCCCGACATCCCATTGATGATAATCTATCCGTCGTGGGAAATTTCTTAGTCCACAACCGCTCGAGCGGAAACAAGAGGGAAACAGTGCCCATAGCTATGAGGAAAGTTCCTTTTATTTCACTAACTGAGTATCAGCTGGTTCGAGTCATGTGAAATAGCATCACGGCTCGAGAATACCTACTGAAGCTTGCTCGAAACAATCATCCAACTACACGCTCCTAGAATGGTGTGTCTAGTATCTGGCTGTCAATGAACCCCCCTGAGTCCATTAAAGCTAGGCTACCGGCAAATGTTGGCCGAGGCAAACGCACATATTCCAGAGGGTGAACACGGATAATGTTTGACTTTCCGAAATCTGATCACAGAGGAGGGAGCAGTCAACCAGCCTCACTTTAAGTTTCAGAGATGACTTAGTGCTTCCAAAGACATGGTCGCCGACGGCACAGTAAAAACGATCAATGCCATTGAGACTGAGCTGTCTCCTTTATGCGGATAGTCGGCATTGAAGCAGAACTTTGAGCATGATTTGACGAACTTTTGCGGAGGAAACAGTAGTGCCTACAAAAAGCACGGTTGGATGCCGATAAGGGCATGAAAGGTGAATATGGTATAATCTGTGATCTGCTGCTCTGAACAGCGGTGGAGTCATTGGGCATCAATGAGACCCTTAGAGCATGCTGGTAATTGCCATAAGCCTTGATAGGTTTCCCACCAACAACAAGCTGTCATCTCTTCACACAAGATTCATCTCGTTTTCCGTGAGCAAAGCTCGATCTCTTGACTATTTTGTATTCAATGTCAACGAATACTATACGAACAAGAGGTGTCCTGCATGTCACAACTTCGTAGGCAGTGTCGTCCTGCTATCTGTTTTGCGCTTACTGCAAGGCTCATGTGCACCATGACGTCCTCGGAGCCCACAACATCGTAAATGTTGTTCGCAGCTATATCATGCAGCAGGAACAGCCTCAGTATCTCCAGCCTGTTGACGAGGCAGGACAATATATTTGGTCAAAGGTATCCACGACTGCAGACTCTAATATCGCATCAGCAGCAGCAACAACATCGGACGTTAAAGATAGGTTGCTGGCTCCAATGCGGTAAAGGGATCATTTAAACGGGCGAAGTGCGGTGATGAAGCGGATCTAAGTTCTCTTACTCAATTTTCGTGTGTTTAAAAACCACGTTCCCATGACGGGGAAACACAATGGCCTGTGTGACTGCGGTTGGGTAATCTGGACCACTAGCATAGAAACCGCAGTGCTGCGGGAAATTAAGGTTTATTTAAATGATTGGCTCGTCCAATTGAGTAAGTAATAAGTTTATGCGACTAAAACTAATTGCGGATTGCGCACTGTCCATTAAAAGTAGTATAAATACTCACTCATATCCATCCAATCTCCAACACCCAACAAGTACAAGACAACAAGGACAATTATCCTCATCATTTCTCTCAATCCGATTCAACAACAACACACTTCCTCCACAATCTCCTCTCTCAAACCCACTAAAAAGCAACAAACCCAGCTCTTATCCTACATGACAATCTTGAGTGCTACCGCTTCTCAGTGCAGTTTCTTTTACCCCACTTCACCTTCATACAATTACGAAGACAACCTCTATTACTCTGTACTTCAAGACTACGAAGTCATATCCTCTGTCGACCTTTTCCACTTCTCAGATCCCGAAGCATTCAAGGAAATGAATCGTTCAAGAAGAATGCACCGCTTCTCGGGCCTTTCTCAAAAAAATAAAGATCGTGCCACACGGAATTATCTAATTAAGAAATCCAAGCAAGGCTCATTTTCACTCGAAGAAAGGCAACAGATCTATGCTAAAATGGAGTATCGCCGAAGGATAAGAAGCAGCCTTGAGGATGGCGGCAGCAGTGAGGGCGAAAGCAGTACTGTCGGAATCAGCAGCGATGATGACAGCGACAGTGATAATGATTACGAGGAGCTTCTTGAGATGAACAATGATAATGAGGAGCACTTCCGATTCAAGCATAATCTCAACTTTAAGACAAGTGACCGAAGTCGAAGAGCAAACCCGGTTACCTGGCAAGTGGACAGCCAACAATGGAAGCATGCTATGGAACAAAAGCTTGATGAGCAGGATCAAATTCGGAGGACGAAGACAAAAAAGAACAAGTCTATCAAAAAAAGTCCCGACTACTTTTAATGAGTAGGAGAATATTCTGGTCATTATTATTTCTTCTATATCCTAGTCTTTCTTTATTGATACCTCATACCTACTATCAGCTTCGTAATCATTTAATAGTAATAAATATTTTGTACATTACATAGTAAAAAGGACTTTACAAAATTTCTGGATCAGGCTCCTGATCTAAAAGGCTTACTTCAGGAACAGTCTCGCTAGTGGGGAAAATATGGAAGGCTAGATCGTTAAATATCGTATTATCTTCAAACTTGACGTCAGGAAAGGGTGATATCTGTGCAATCGAGAGCGCTGGTAAAATAAATGGCGCTTGTTTGGCTAATTGCTTGAATGATGGACTAAAACCAAAAAAAAAAAAAGTATAGCACAGGCATGAGATACCATTCCTTACCATTGGTACGTCGCCCAAATAAACATAGTAAACATCATGATTAATATATAAAGGAAACAGTGATTGGACGCTCCTACCTTTCATCATACATAGTGAACCGATTGCCAAGGATTACCATATTGTTCAGTCGTTCCCGTTCCCAGTTGGATTCCAGGACGTGGGAGTATAGTCCTTTGGGACAGTGAGGCATATATAAAAGCGTCCTTGTTTTGATCACTTTCTTGGCCTGATCATTCACCTTCAATACCTGTAGTCCCAATTTTTCGACAAGTTCCTTGTCGTACTCTGTCATAATTGGATCGAATATTGATATCGCTCCTGTGACCTAATGATCAATGTTTATCATTGTCAATACCGCTATTGTTGCAAAGAATCAACGCCCCTATATCTGTACAGGCTATTGAGGGGACTTGTTTATATCTTGAGCTAATAGCAAATTTGTTCCGTTACCTGTAATATCTCTTTCAAGCAAATTCCCAAGGCCAACTGAAACTGAGAGTTTCGCGAGTTCTCAATTGATCCAATGCCGTAAAAAACCATCTCTAGGATTGAATTATTTTGAATCTGGCTGTCCATAGGGTTTATGCCCGTTCCTTGTGCTTCTCCGAAGTAGTCCATCGACAATGACTCATCGTTTTCGTTGTCTGATACAGTCTTGCAGTGGTTCTTTGAATTAATATGCTCCTCATTTGCTATTTGCGTTGCCAATGGGCGATCCCATGGCTCATCACTGGCCGACTTACGCCTCTGTTTTCTGCACGAGGGAATGAGCGTCAATTCCACCAATTCTGATAATGTCAGTGGAATAAAAGCGTGGATAATATTGGTATTAATCACAGTTGAGCGCAACATAGGGGGAAAGAGGATTGAAAAAAGATTAGAAAATGGTACAAGTTTTTGCTACCTTGAAATGCCTGATAGAATCTAGACTGCTTTAATGTTGTAATCCTACTCTCCATCATGGTAAGACCCCAGTCGATAGTCCTTTCAGATTCCATTCCTCGAAATCCCGCTATCCTAGATCGCTGACTGTTCTTCTTGATCGTCGGTGGCTTTTTCCCACGCCATCCAGGCATGTTGCTGCTCTCTCTTGTACTTTCATTAATATCGTTATCAAATGGCGTTCGAAATAGAGAAGGTTGAGATAGGGAGCTAGGACTCGAAAAAGACTTCCTCTGTTTGCAGCCCTTTTTTTTGCGAGTAACAAATACAAAAGGCTCCTCACTTGATTCCTGTTCTGTTGTTTGTGTCAGTGGAGGAAGCGATTTCGACTCCTGTTCGGGAATCAATACGTTTGGTTGTTCCTTGAAATTCGACATTGTTGAAGGAGAGATTGAAAAAACAAAAAACAAAAAACCATTTCTCCTAAATATTCTTGCACGTGCGGACTCAGCCACTTGAAAGCAGCAGGACTAGCCTCAGTAGTTACATGGAATGGTTGGACAGTTCTGCTCAGCTGCAAATAAAGCATCTCAACTTGCTAGCTTGATCAAGCATCCGCTTCATCATCATCATGAAGCGCAGCACGCGGGAAGCAGATCAAGGGGGTGGGCGCCAGAAGTACTCACGGCAGCAACAACGTGGCAAGGGCGCAGGATCGCGTACAGTTGTTCAACAGAACCCAGTACTTTCTCTACATAGCACTAGGGATACTGATAGAATTATTGAAGATAGTCATATAGAAGAGCAAGAGTACAGTGGGAACTCAGAAGAGAGTGGAGAGGACGAACATGATGGAAGCGAATTGGAGGAAGAGGCTTCGAACGAGGTGAGAATGGGTGACAGGCTTTCTTTTTTTTTTTTTTTTTTTTTGCGACATACCTGCTAACGGTTCAGAGAATGCGGCAATTGTTTATCCAACAGGAGTTGATGCTCAAGCTTAGCTCAAAGTTTACACGGATGCGGATAAAGGTAAAAATGATTGTAATGAGGATAGGATACTATGATCAATATCACATCATTTTAGGCAATGTTATTGTTGTGGGTAGTGATCTAAAAAAAACTTCCGTATTTATCTTAAACCTCAGGCTCTCAAGCTGCTTCTTAACCGGCTTTCGGACCTCAATAATGCAGAACAAGGTCGTCTTGTGGCAGTCGCTCAGAAGTTGCTTTCGAGCGAAAGAGACAAAGGTGCAAAGGTGTGTGTATAATGTGGTTAATGTTACAATTCAAAATAGTGTTGTTAATTCATTCGTGATGGCGAGCCTCAACTCATATTCAACTGCTTCCGTGTGCCCACATGTCTTAGGTGCTCCTCATACAACTCCTTCAAAATACGCTCGAGGCAACTGGAATAGATGGTCGGAGTGTGGTGGAGCATCTGTTGGAGCAAGTATGCGATTTTCGAGTTTATTCACCTTCAGTTTTTAGGATTTGTATGTTGGCGACGCTTTCGATTCTCATTTTTTAACAGCTTCTATTCTTCTCTGATAGCTTCAGGCGGATTCTACGGAAGTCAGGGTCCAGGTCTATGACGCAATTTCCCACATTATCAAGGTGAATGGCTCGAGTGTCAATTATAAACTCACCTTAACCGACTTATTTTCAGAGTAAACTAATGATGATGGGAAGCTCAACTCTACCAATACCAATTGTTTATGCGAGTAGATCGGAAGACTTTCTCGCAATAGTCTTTCCGATATTAACACTATACGAGCGTTGATGACTATGTCCATCGCTGAGCTTGATGATCGCCATCACAGAATCCGTTCTGCAGTTCTTCAACTAGTTGCTCGTTTAGCACCACTGCTTAGGATAACTGATCTCATAGATGAGACAACACCACTTCAACAGGAGGGGTATTCAAACTACGATATTCAACTTATTGTTAGTAATTATGTAACAGATCCGGAGCCGCGAGTTCGAAAGGTATTGAAATCGCTGTCTACGATGAAGGTCTTTTTTTTTTAATAGTTATGAAAAAATGTTATTGAGCTTGAATATTGTGTTTATGCTTCCACTAGAATGCCTGTAAGGCGTTACTTGAGCTCCATAGACAGGGCTTTAAGCTTGCACTGGTAATGTACGATGTGGCAATTCAAGCACTTATTGACGACTATCAAGAGGTTCGCATGGAAGGACTGGATTTAATCTTGTATGTATCTGCCCGAAGCGTTCTTGCTCATTTTTTCGGCACCCCCAAGTGTGAAAGGATGCATGCGAGGACATAGGCCATACAAAGCACTAACATTTTACATTTGATGAACTGATGCTTATAGCATCCTGAGTAGCCTTTATCCACACACAGCTGTCCAGAACCCATCATTAACGCAACTACAGGCAACGCGGCTGGTGGATGATGCGTTTATCCGAACATGCGATATGGTTAATGATAGCTCTATGACTGTTCGAGCAAAGGTATACTAACGCTTACTTGGTTCTACAAGTTTTAGTGTTTTTTGAAATAACTTAATATTCACATCCAATTACAGGCCTGCGCAAGATTAGGGCAATTTAGGTCAGTTGATTACAAATATTTGTCGCAAACGTTTAGTAAACAAATCATGGCTCACCTCCGTGTGGATGTGGCACCAAAGAATCTCGCTGCTGGACCGGCTCAAAAGGCGGCTCAGGTAACCAAAGCTGTCTGTTGAAGTCTGGCCTTATAGGCAGTTCACATGATCTAATTCTTTTTTTTTTTTTTTTTTTTTTTTAATCTTTGGATGAAAGAGAGCCAAATTGATTGCGACCCCTGAAGGTGATCAGGACGTGACAGCACAACAAGTTCGGTTACTTGACTCCGGAGCATGTGGAGCGTTTGTTCATGGGCTTGAAGACGAATATCAGGACGTTAGAAATGCAGCGATTGGTAAGAGAATCCCTTGATGTTTTTGGAACATCGTGTAGTGCAACTAGTAATGATGTGCTGATATATGATCGTTCTTTTCAACTCTAATTAGATTCTATCCGCGAGCTGTGTCTACATTACCCTGAGTTTTCTTTGCTTGCGCTGGACTACATGGTTGGTAAGTTAAGCGTTTCATGACTCTGTTTCAACTCCATCATTCATACTTTTATCAGCATTTATAGCTTGGGCTACTCTTCCATAGACATGTTCATGGACGAAATTGATTATGTGCGCCTGAATGCTTTGACAAGTCTCTACAAAATCGGGAGCAAAGCGCCTATCACATTCGATACGGAACAGCTTCAGATTACTTTGGGTGTTTTGGAGGATGCAGATCGTGATGTGCGAGAGTCAACACATAGGATGTTGGAGTAAGTATTAATCTTGAACTTTTGTCGTTTCTCTATGGAGTGCCAATATAATTGTGTTAATGAGCTAACCAGGTGCTGAATGTCTGCTTATTGGCTTCAGGGTTGTGACAATGGCGACTGCTGATGGTATGACGTCGTTTTTATCTAGTATTGAGTCGAACATGAAAAGGTTCCCCGAGGATCAGCTCTCCATCTATCAATGTATCAGATCGGTTGGCCGGCGACATGGCGTCTTTATCGGTGAGTTTTGCTTTTTAGGCATGGCTCTTCTTGGCTCATTGAGCCTATAAAAATGTAATCTCATCTTGGACTGTTTGTTGCCTAATCCGCTTATGGCTTTAATAGAATCTATTGTTGCTGAAATGTTGAACCTTGATGCGAAATATCTACCGATTGAACAAAATGTCGAGGATATGCAATGTAAGTATTCGATCTTGCCACGAATAATGGGTCTTTTATTTTATTTTATTTTATTTTATTTATCACAAAACTGACCTTGCTTCTTTTCTTTCTTTCGTTCTGTTTTGTTTAGATGGTGGTCATCTAATTCTAATATTCAATGCTGCAACTACGGATCCTCGTATATTACAGATGTTGCCGAAATACACATTTAAGCACTACGCATATCTACGTGATAAATACCCAAACTGTTTCCCCGAGCCTTCGGTAGGTGGTAGTCGCTTGGATTTATAAATCTGGTAGTCAACGATGGCAATAGCTCTTACTATGGTTGCGGTCGCTATTTTTTACCATAGGAAATTCCATGTGCAGGAACGCAGCCTTTACAAGAGCTTGCATCCGCACTTACAATGACCATTGCTAACGGCACTGAATATGAAATGGATGTCGAACAACCTGGCTCAGATACTACTCAATCTAGACATGGCGTAGCGTCGGCTTATGCCACCACAATCGCGGCTATGAGGGTTCAAACGGAACAAGATGCAGAATCGTTCTACGAACAGGTCCTCACCAATCTAGATCGCATCTACATCCTTTGGAGAAATGAACATGTATCGCAAGGGATGGCAGCCAGTAGTGCCCGTCGAACACTACTCTTGCAGCAGATCGCCGTTTGCCAGCGTGATTTACGATACATTAATAGAGTACATACAAGGCAGGGGCGAAATGCAGAATTTGTAGAGATGTACCTTGAGTGCTGTGAGCTCTTGATTCAGATCCAGGATAGTTATGATACCCCTTCGTTCATTGTACAAGCTCCGATCCTTTCAGCTCAACTTTTCCGACTTTCATACTATATGGATCATACCTTCCTGGGCCTTGATTCCACGGCGAAAGTCTCTGTAGGCTACTTCCGTGTCTTGGCTAATTTGGTTTGGTTTTTTGGCATGGCTCAGAATAAGGCATCGGCTCTGTTCACGGCAGCTTCTTTGTCGTCTTTACCAGTTTCAGGGTCCGGACAAATGAATCGTATAGCAACCAAGGGGTATCTACAGTCGATGCTCAAGTTGGCTATCAAGCGAGTAACAGATCTGCTTCAGCAAATGGACCAACCTGAAGTTGATCATCAACGCATTCAAAGACACAGAGCAATGCTAGGAGATCTCCGGATATCACTGCTTCAAGCATTCGAATCACCTTCAACTGGTGAAATCATCAAGCTCATGTCAAATATTGTGGTAAGCTACTGGCTTCTCTCTCTTTAGGCCTTTAAGCTTTATGGCTACACAGACTAGGCAATATTAATCAACATTTTTTTTCAGAGATTTGTGCCAATGGAAATCGATTTCCACAGTCTTGACCTTCAGAGGATTATTGCACAAATTACCAAGCCCATCTCCAATCGAGATACGCCTCTAGACATCCATCCAATGTTCCCATTCCTAATTAACGTGGAAGGCATGATTAATCATGTAGGTGGTAGTACGGCTGGAATTGCAGTACAGATCACGTTCCCACAGGGTGTGGTGCGTCATTACTATCCACCACCAGATCATTTCACTCGCATGGATAAAGAGGGGAAAGCTGAAGACGATAAGCTTGAGACTGATTCACTATCAACTCAGCCAACACAGACACAGACACATTCATATCGACTTCGGACGTCAATCGAAATTTATCCAGACGCGACCTGGGGCTCAACACCGACAGAGCTTCGCATCACACTTTCACGCTCTTTCCGACCGGACCTTGTTGGCCATGATGAATTTATCTGTCGATTTGCAGAGGAAATTGCATTCAAGAAACGACAGGCACAGCAGGAGCAACAGCTCGAACAGCCATCAAGCCAGTCGTCATTATCATTGTCATCGGGCGCAATGAGCGATGTTGCACATCTACAGCAGCCTGAACGAAGCACAACATCCGTAGCAAGTTTTCGCCGAGGAGCTTCGGATGGGCACTCATTAGTCTCATCAGGTCCAAGCTCGTCGCTTGCTGAACAAACACAGAGCACATTAGATATTTCCAAAAGTGTCTCTTACTATGTTTCCCGTAGGAATATTTTCTTATAAGATCCTGACAATATCATTAATAAAAGAGACTACGAGCAAACACCTTGAATGGTCATTCATAAATTGTTTGTTATTATTATTGTTTAACCCACTTTGATCAGATCGATCAGATCGCCTTTGGGTTGTTTCACTTCTTCGGCAAAAAATTCTAGAAGCCGCTCAAACAGCAGTATTCGGTCGTGATGGAAAGTTTTCAAAAGTTCATCCTGAGAGTCCTCGTCCCATTTACCCGTTTCCTCGTCATATTCGTTTATCATCTCGGTGTTTTCCAACATTAACTTGTAGTCTTCTTCTTCATACTCCTCCTGGCTGTCCTCTGTGTTATCTCTATGCCTAACCTTCTCACCATTGTTGTCCAATCTTTCATGATCTCGACTATGTCCATGACTACGAGTCGTACGTCGACGGCGTGGAGGCAAAGGTCTTGCAGACGCTCTGCGTCGAGAATACATCGGGGGTAATGATGACGGAAAAGGACCTATCTCTTCATCTTCCTCATGCATAAAGGAGTCGCTGTCTTCCCTTCCTGAATCGATTCCTTGTCCGTTAGCATCAAATATTGATGAGGACGATGAAGGCGAGAATGAGGACGTTGATGATAGTGAGGATGATAACGACGAGCAACAATTACAAGCAGGAAGCCACGTAGGTCTTCTAGCTGCGGCTGGAACCGTCGATCGTGTAGACTGCGAAGGGTAAGCAGAGAACATGGGATGGGCATTATCAGTTGCTGGGGATATGATAGGTGATGGTGCTAGTAGTACGCTTGTCCTTTGAGGACGTTCATTATCGCCGAAGGGCCCCATCCCCTTACGCATATTAGCCGATGTGCTTGTTGATGACGATGACGGCGAGAACACACCCAATAAGAGGCCACGAATCAAAGTCCTGAATTCTTCATTCTCTGCCTTGCTGGACTGATCGAGAACGCTGCTGAGCTCCATCTGCAGGAACCTGAGTGCTCGTGAGGACTGGTCTTGTTTATTCTTTGTAGCCCCTGTCGCTGTCGTCTTTCCATCCTTGCTTCCATTCGTAGATGCGGAACTGCTATTGCTATGGTGGTGATAACGATGATGTGTATCAGGTCCTTCAGGGCCAAGTGCATGATGGGTGTATTGTTGCTTGACGGACGAAGAAGTAGAATTGGCCAATACAGTGGTGCTTGTCAATGCTGATGTCTCCGGCAGCTGACAGAGTTCCTTGAACTGTTGCGTACGAACGAGATACCTTGTTCTTCGAATAACTTCTTCTGAATTCGGCCTAGTTTTACGTGATGATAAACATTTGTTGAGTGTGATGCTGTTTCTCCAAATCAAGGAACTTTAAGGTCACATGCTAGGTTTGATGTTTACCTGTAAAGGCGAAGCTCCCAGAAATCATCCAGCCTCTTACTCATATTTCCCTGCTCGCCTGGGTTGCCTCCGAATAAGTACTGAACCTCATTGACATCATCATACACCAGTTGGTGGGCATACCGAGGGACTGGTTCAGATTCATTAGGGTCCCCCGCTTCTGAACTTGAATTTTGAAATATCTTTTGCCACGACCCATGATCACTAAGGACAAAGGCCAAGGTCATGGGCTCCGTAAGAATAATTGTTGGTCCATCCTTTATCGAGGTTGCTGTTGCTATTGGACCATTGTTATTGTTCAATATGCTATCATATTTATGATGGCGATGGTGATGGTCCGAATTGGATGCCAAATCCAATGGCATTGTAGCTTCTGCGGTAAGCGATGTTGCTGTTGTATACAAAATGCCTGGAATGGCCCCTTCCTTTGAATTTGGCGCAGCCCTATTAGCTTCCTGATCCTTAGGCTCGAGATATGGATCGTTCCTGAATCTGGCTGCGACAGATGATTGAGAGCTAGACACTGAAGGTGACCAAGATCTCGGGCTCACTTTTTTCCCAAGACTAGAGCTTCTAGTTTGCATTGTGCGGGTTGGGCCTTGCTCCAGTCCTAAGTTTGTTGATTCGGTGAATAATTGGGGTGGTGCCGTACTACAGCTGTTTATTCGGCCAGAGAGCCATCTCGTAATAGGCCGCATTTCCTGGCGTCCCTGTTGGCGTCCATTACTTTGTTTCCTTCGAACAGATCTAGGGCGCGATATACCATCCTCTATTTCATCCGTGGTGCCGACATCTGCCTGTGTATGAGTGCGAACAGAACAACAACAGGTACGCCCACGATTCATGATGCTTTTGAATGAACTAATGATCCCATCACCACCCGCTTTGCTAGAGTCTTCTAAAGCCAATTGCACATCTCTGATAGCATCCATTTGATCCTTTCCTGGCATCTTGAATACCCAAAAGCTGTTTTTTACCGTCTCAGCACCCAATGTTCTGTCCTTGACTAAACCCGAGAGTACATAGATCTCACGGCATCTGGGGGACACGGTGGCACGTTGCGTGAAGCCAGCTTCAGGTCCACCTTGCTTGTTGTAGTCCTTGCAGACCTCAATCACTCGATCGGCTGCAATATCATACACATAGAAATCAGACAGATAATCCTTGTTCATCTGGCCTGCAAAGATCACCAGGCTACGTGTTACGTTATCATAGAGCATTGAATGTCCAATTCGAGAGCGCAATATTGTGTTTCCATCTTGTCTAGGCGGTGGGTGTCCATCTGTACGAAGAAGTCTCCAAATTCCGGACAAGATATGGTACGAATACAGGCCACTGTAGTGCTGTACATTCTTGTCCAGGTGAACCACACGTCCCCCAAAAACATAAAGGGTTTGTGAAACCGGATCCAAGCACATTTGGTGATCATAAATGAGTTCTGGGCCATTCATGGCCTATGAATAACAACGGTCAATATTTGATTATGAGAATATGTTTCTCGCCAATAATTGATACGTCCTAAATTCAGAATATCTGCTGTTGCTGCAATAGTGAAAATAGATTCAAGGATATTAATGGGCCTTACCGCGGTATTAGCGGCAATCTTTGTCCACCGACCTCGAGGAGGCGAGTTTGGGTCAATATCGAAACGCCAAAAGTCGGAACTCAAATCAACTTTGCTTCTGACCTCAGGGTCGACATACTTGCCCAGTAAAAAAATTGCTTTTTGTTGTGGACTGAAGCAAATTTTATGACATGACCGAGCGCTCGGACCACCTTGTCTGGATTTATCCAAGAAAATACCAATATAGCAATCAGCTTCAAATTGTCGACTTCCAATCAAATAATCAATATCCGTTCCTTACTCCCCACAACTTACAAAGAGCAATCAGCAGAGATCAAGATCCACTTTTGTGATGGTATGTGATATGCCCAAAAATCGGCCAAGTCCCGTACTCCATCCCAGCCACCCATTAGATACACATATCCTCCTTGGGTATCGATGCACATCTGGTGTCCACCCCGATGCCTGGGGCTCTCTTCTGTGTATGGATGGTAGAAATGATGATGATGATGTAGTCCTTGGCGGTGGCTATTAGAATTGAGACGTTTCCAGATTGGTTTATAGTCATACGATTGAATATAGGCGTCAAAAAGACCAAGCTGTGCAGCTTCCATCATGAGTTCCTCCACACGTTTGAAGTTCCCTTTAATCACTAATTCATGATACACTTTTGTGAGCAATGGGTCCTCCAGTTGAACGTTAGTCCGTTGTTGTAATGCTTCGAATGCATCTGTCAAGTTCCTCTGGCGAAAGTGTTTGAGGCACAAACGTACGGATTCTGTTTCACGAAACTAGATAAGATAGAGCGTGCTTTTCTCTCTTTAGTTAACGCTTAATTGTATTTGACTGTAATGGAAACCACAGCGGCGGTTCGCGGAGATTTCTTTTCTTTTTTTTTTTTTTTTTTTTTTTTTTTTTAACACCTACGTTAATGTACTGGAAATATGTTTCTTGAACTAATCCAGGATCTGCTACACCCTTGACCTCTACATGCCACACACTAAAGTTGAAATTGGCGCCCCAAGCCATTAATGGTACGATCTTAATGTACTGACAGGGGAACACAACCGAATTTGTTTTGTGCTTCAACAGGAATGTCTCCGGCTCACTGTCATTCCGTAGCCCTATTTAAAAGATGCCGTATAAGTTTCTGCGGAAAGCGAATAGGCAGGAGATAGATTTTTTATACCACCAAAACAACATGATTCGTTCAACAATATGATTTTATGACTCCTCATGAATATGCGTTGATGCCTGTTAATCGAACCAAGAAACCACAGGAAAGAAAAAGTCCAAGGGAAAAACGGTATAAACAAGACCAATAAAAAGCAGGAACAAGGAAAAAGAAGGAGTGGTTATGTATGACGCGGTACATCTATTTGGGGCTAGAACCCAAAAAGCTATGTAAAGCAAGAACAAAAATAACATAAAAAGAAGGGGGGAAGGGGAGGGGACTGGTGATGCAAATAAGGATAGCGTGTGTGCTCACTTTGCCTCTTGGGAACGAGTTCATCTCTTAAAACGCAGAACTACAACACAGACTAGTTTAGCCTATCTTTTTGGTGGCGCTGCAACATAAATATAAATATCGTGCGGTATCGTTCCTCTGTTCGAATCAGTCGTATTTGACTTTCATTGTCACTTGAAGCTGGAATATGATCAGCCTAGAATGCGGGATTGGTTTTTTGAGAAAGATTCTGTCGTGCTCTAATATTCCAGCACACTCTTACTCATCTGGAGTATTTAAAAAAGAAGGCCCTTTTGATCGACACACCCTGTAGGTCAAAAGAGTAAATGATAACAAAAAAAATAGGTTGCTTGCTATATGTCTCCTGTCCTTTGGATGATCTGGATTACTCAAAAATGAAACAGATAGGTGCAGCCAGGTGCAGATAGGCAAGGAATTGGCGAATGGAAGTAAGAGGAGTGACTGGAGTGTACAGTTGTCATAAGTAATGCATTTAGAATAAATACAGGAGGTATGGGCTTTTTTTTTTTTTTTTTTTTTTTTTTTCTCCCATCAATTCCGCGTCAATGCGCTTCTTACGTTCTCTTTCGGAATAAAATGAAAATGAGAGAGATGGATCAGCAAACACCACACTTCCTTCTCCTTTCCTTGAACTTACCGGTATGCAAGAGCTCGGTCATGTTGGAAGTGGTCAGACCCCCGAAGACCTTGAACTCTTTGAGGTTACAGACATGAACCTTGTGATATTTTCCAAAAGTAATTGAGTCTAAGAATAAAAAAAAAGAAGTAAAAGAAAAAATCCAGCATTATATGATCTGTTATAATTACATACGATCGACACAAGTTAGTTGCTTGCTACCAATTGTATGCCTTAGGAACGTACGAGCAACGGCCATGGAGTGCAGCTTGATCATAATATATTGCATTTGATTGTTGGATCCAGAGGACCATCGGGAGGATTGGTCCTGAGGATTATTAATCTTAATATTTTCTGGCAGGTATGAAGCTGAATACGATGAACAGGAATGCACATCATAATCAAGAACGCGCGGACGCATAATAGCGAGGGCAGTCAAGTATTCGCCTTGCCTTCTGTTGGCTGCAGTGATATGTGAGGGACTTGAGCATAGTCTGTTTTTATGAGCACAGCAAACATTTTTAGACGCCTGCAGACGAGGATAAGAATGCAAGCTGACTTGTGGTCCTGGTTGGAGCATCATTGTGTTTAAGATAGTAATTATATATATATTTGACTTCTTTCTTTCAAGAAAAATGTGTAGGCGTTCAAGTGAACAAGCGAGAAGACGAAGGGACAAAGCAGACAATTGGGGAAATATGCGATGATGTTAGATATTTAAGAAGCAAAAAGAAAAATAAAAAAAAAAGAAAAGAAAGAAATAGAAAGGAAGAAGTAGTGTAAGTGATGTGTCAATTATGATGACAATAGACGCAAAAGCAGAGACAGAAACATATGGAGACAGTAATTAAAGAAAAAAGAATAAGTTAAGCAACTGAAGCCGCCAGTAGGACAAGCACATTCAAATGAACATTCAAGGTAATTACACATCTCCATCATTCCCACTCTCATGATTTTTTTTGAAACATAGAAACGAATATATAAACGCGATGCTTCTGTTTGGCCGACATAGCGGACTTGTTTGAGTAAAATCGTTTAATGTAATGATAGAGTATTATTAGACTATTCAAATCTTCATCCTTCACCATGCAGTCTTCTTCATCTGTAGGTCAAAACTACCGTTCATGCTACCTCGATACAGCTCCCTAATGATCTCGCCTCGTTCAATTGTCGCCTCAACAATTGCCTGGCTATGGCATGGCTCCACTCGTCCGTACCAGACAGCCATGCCTTCATTCTTATGCACAATCACATTGCCTGCAAACTTGTGTCCGCCAATATGGCTCACCATCCAGATCTCGACATCACCTTCACAATCGCCATAGAGGTCCTTAGATCGTAAGACTCGCATAAACTCCTTGCGCAAGATGGGAGCTGTCACACCACAGCGTTTGTCCCGTCGCTTATGTGAGCAGATCATTATGACAGCCTTTGGCAACCAGCGTAACGCACGGAATGCTGTTTTGCCTGCTTCTACTTCAATGCCTTGTTGATTATGATCCGTTGATGTCGTCGTCACTCCCTGAAACGAGATAGATCCAACTGCAGGCCTTAGGAATGCCTCAAAGAAATCATTGCATTGCTCCGGCGTGACATTATTGACGATGATCTGATCTGGTAAAATAATCACCTGCCATCCAGGACCTTCCCAATTTTCTGCTTTTCTCGAACTATTGGTAACTAAAATCTTTTCTGGATCACGGTCATCTGTGTCCTTAAGTCGTTTCTGGCCCTCATCAATGGCTTTGGAAAGATGAAATGCCAGAGAGTCTTTATCTCTATCAATATGCGACTCCCAATCATCCTGGCCGGTCGAGATGAGGATATGGCGTGTATAGGGTTTGACAGAATAGAGTAGAGGTCTATCCTGGTTGATCTTTAGGTGTGATGGGTAGTGCGGGTGATCTTCTTCACGGCAAGGCGTAGCACAACTATGGCAGTCCGCTACAGAAACAAACGGTGATGCTGATAGGTCCAGGTCCTCACTACCTGTAGCCAATTTTTTGACTTGAAGGAAAATTCCCTGAACAAAATTCATTTATATTTTATTTTGCTTTCGATGCTGATACTGAAAAGATGATGAAGTATGCAGATGAGAATGAAATGAATTGCTGCATTAAAAAAAAAAAAAGGAAAAAAAGAATAAAGCAGCGTGCAAAGCTTTAATAGTTTTTTATTTTTTTTTGACTCCAAGGGAGAATGAATTCCCGGCTGTGTTCTTGTGTTAAAACATTAACAAGACGAATGAATTTTGTTTCGCTGCGTAGACGATGAGACGATGAGGCATGCTTTTGCCAAGACAAAATGAACATTGAAAAAGTTAAAAAGGATCTAAAAAAGGAAAAACTAAGGCCAGCGCTACAGAAAGGACCAAATCTGATAAGATGTCTTTGCTACGCTTTGCCTATGGTGTTGTTTACTGTTATGAAGCAATGGCATGCATATTTAATTACGATAAAAAATGCTCATATTCAACACGACTTTTTTTTTACTTATAGGCATAAATTTGGATATAATCTAGTTTTTTTTTAGGCGTTGAGGTGTGCATTGCGGTGAATCTTGGGCTCCACACTGTATACAGTTTCTAGCAACTTTTGAAGCACAGCGTCCTTATTCTTGGCAAAAGCAGCTTCAATTTCAGCGCGCTTCTGCTCAGTTTCAACTTCGACGCGATGAGTAGTTTCATCTGATGATCCAGCGTGCTAATTTTTTTTTTTTTTTTTTTTTTTTTTTTAGATAGATAGATACCCAATGGGTTTAGTTTTCATTGGTAAAAGAATTGTTACCAAGGTTCTATCATGTCAATTCCATGTGTATCCAATGCCTCACCTCTTGCTCGAATCGCTTAAAGTCCTCATTCTTAGCAGCCTTCAATTCTTCAATTTCTTTTGCTGCTTCTGCACGAGCATCCTTGAGTCTCTGAACGCGATCTTTAAAATACATATTACATGAAAGTAGGTCCAACGATAGTTCAGTGAAAATAACTTCAAGAATTTAATGACAGAAATCGTGGGGTTTTTTTTTTCTCTTTAAGAGTTTTTATCACCTACATTGGCGTGCTTTCTGAACAATCTTGGCAGCCTCTTTCTCAGCCTCGAGAAGCGTCTGAATACCCGAAGAGTTTGATGCGGCCTAATTGATTTTCCACAAAAAAAGTAAGTTTTTTTTTTTTTTTCTTGTCCTATTTCATTGGGTTTCATTGCTTCATGCAAATATATGAATGTTGACGTCTATGGACACGCCCTATATCGATTCAGTCATTACCATATAGTTTTATATTCTAACAGATAAGCAAAAGAGAGTGAGAGGGATTATGTATAAAATATGTTGATGTGTAATGATAAATGCAGGTTAACAAGATGGAATTGTAGTAAAAAAGGGGAGGTAATGAATGTCACTTGCTCACCACGAGCGAGGGGCAGAAGGATACGTCACGCTTACATCACGTGAAGACTCTATGAAAGCGAAAATTATTTTATTGCTGCTGTCGTTCATTATGGTTAGCCCTTTTCAATTTGAAAAGGTCTAACCAAAAAGAGCGACAGGCTTGACCCTCTGGTCTCCTTCCCCAGAATTTGTCTCCATATCACAGGTACAACTATTAGCAGTATTGGTAACATCCTCAACATCTGTACGTACTCATTCCAGCACCATTCAGGGGTATACTTCTTTTTAATCGATTAACTGAAGATACAAAGGCCTCCTTTGATGATACAGATAGCTGTGAACAACTTTGCAGATGTAGTAGCCCGCCATAATGTGGTGGTGTATATTCTTCGAATCCAGGTTTTCTCTAAGTCCCCAATCATGAGAAGGCAGTTATAGTTGATGCCGTGCTCAGCATCTGTGCTACAATATAGCCTGGTTCTCGAGACATGTCTTCTGGCTGGAGTATAGTGGGCTTTATTCTTAAATATCTAGGAGTACGTGTTTTATACGACAGTACACTTACAGAGCTGTACCGGTATTTAGATAGTAGGTTTTCATGCTATGGTTAATCGCTGCACTGCCGTATTAAAAGGTGTAACAAGCTGACAACTCTAATAGATGCAGAAATAGCATTCGTTGTAGAAAGGTGGGACGACTGTTCGAACTCTATATGATACTGCCTAACACCTGAACACTGCTACATGTCATTGACTTCTCCACGTCCGATTCTCATCTTCTTTTGTGATGCAGGTCTCCAAATAATTTCGTTAAAGTCTACATGTAAAAGGCCGGGATATTCCTTAGCCTTTCACATTTTTGGGCAACGGCTTTCCACTCATGTAAATAATCCTAAAATCATCCAATCTCTTGCCATCCTTCGAAGCCTCAAAAAGCTTCGTCGTAGGATTAATCTTTGCTTCATGCTTTCCTCCAAAGACTGCATCCAAATAAATCTCAACCTGGTTTCTATCGTCTTCGACTTTCTTTGCTACTTACTCTCCGCTTTCCTTTGTGTCCCTCGGACTCCATTGCTGATTCATCACGATCGTCTCTCTTTCTCTTAAAGGCCTTTGAAATCTGTTTGCTTTTAATTTTTTCATGCTCAGCGAAGCTTTGAAGTGATACTTGAATAAACGTGCGATTGTAAATGAAACCAAATATAGGGTATCCTTTGTAGCACCTCCGTAACACATTTTCATCCACTTTCGATGGCTTCGCTGTGGTCATATCATAAATTTCCGATTGGATACGCAAAGAAGCCTTGGGTCTTCTACTGAGATCTGTTGTTTCAAGAATGACATTCCTCTGCTTTAAAAGCCCATGTTCGATCGCTCTTTCAAACTGTTCATTGTTCCATGTTCCATTTTTCATGGCAAAGGCTATATCTTCAGGAAGAGGTTGTTGTCTTTACAAATCAACAAGGGCAAGGTTGGCTGATGGACATAAGAGTTGGTATACGATCATACCACCTTCTTTGACACGATATAACAAGCCTAAATCCTGGATTGATATGCACTTGGAACTTGCGTACGGTGCAAGGTTTCATTTTCTCTAGGTCAAAAGATGCGTGAAATGGCCTCGAGGTGAATTTGCTTCGACGTATCGTCAAGTTTTTGATAGTATTTCTGGGTAGCTTCTGCAAAGGATGCGCGTCGTTCATTCTCGAATTTTTTAATTTTTTGTACAGTAGTCAAGTGTACGTCTTTGGGTCCAGACTCGTTAAGAAACCCGACCAGCATGTTGAGTCCCCTTGAAACGTTGTTTGTGGCTCTCTTCGCTTCCTCCCTAACACCTTCCTCTGATAGCAGGGGACTTGATGCTAAAAGTTTGTCAAAAATCGTATTGAAGAGCGGACCTACAAACTCTAGGATTGAATCGACGTCGCGGGTGAGTATTATAGTTTCATAGCCAGCAAACGCCGTCACGGTAAAGATCACTCGAGCTCCATTGCTCGCGGGATCCCATAGATGGATGTCAATCAGAGGTCGGAAGAGGTTTGGCACTGGTTTACCATCTTTAAAAAGCTTGCCGTGCTCATCGATGATAGCAAGGGTCTTCTTATCCACCTGACAGACTAGCGATGAAAGGATCCTAGAAGCTGTACAAATCGCAGTGTCTACAGCAGTTGGATTTCTTGAAAACATCTTCAGAATCTCCTTGAAGTCAGCAATTGTCAATCTATCCTTGCTTAAGGCAAAAAACCGCTCGCATATTTCTGTACCCGTTTTACCGACATTTGCCTGAACTAGTTCGCCAGCATCTGTTACGTAGAGTACTGGCCACCCTTCCGCATAGGCTTTGGCAAGCAAGGAAAATGGCGAGATAGGATTTTCCAACTCCCATAGGTCCTGCTAATATCTTCTGGATTGAATACTTGCTCTCTGCTGAAAATTCTTTCCACACTTCAATCATCTACTCCGTAATGAAAAATGAATCCCCTGGAAAGCCTTCGCCAAACTCTCTGGGCTTCTGTCCGATTGAAGACAATATGATTTGATCACCAGCCTTCTTGCCATCAAGAGCCTGTTTGAATCTGTCGCGTAGATGATCACTAAATTAATTTTTTTTTGAGATGATATCCAAAGTCGCCCTCGGTTAAATAGCGTGAGCCGAGACTATTTAACCGGGGACGACTTTGGATTTCATCTCCATAAAAGAATTGGAAAGTCGTCCCGTGGTCCGTGCGCGGCATGGTGGTTTTTGAAAGTATGTGCAATTAACCTCCACTGAGCCTCAACAAGGCGTACATATTTCTCAGAAACAGTACCCATACAGATATATAAACTCTTTGCAATCTATTAAACATAAAGCGCTTTATTACAGCTCTCTATATTGCTCCATGTATTCACTTTATTTTCATCTTACCTATTCATGTAAATGCTAAATATTCACCTCAGTTGCAATTCATCCGAATATGGCGACTGCTCGGACTCCATAATGGTGCTGTATAAACACTTGAACACTGCCACATGTCATTAACTTCTCTACGTCCCTTAAACAATACTCTTTGAACTTTTGCAAGGGATGTGTCAACACTTCGACAAATATGTAGCATTTGATGGCTACGTCACAGCCTTTGAATTGTGGAAGGGCTGAAACGGGAACCATTTGTGTCTTTACTAGCAACAGGTGTAGTTTCAAAAAGGTTGCCTCCAAAGAACAAATCCTATATCCTTCATTGCTCAAAAGAGACAATGCTGTCTTTTCTACGCCCCAAAGCACGCCATAATCCTGTTGAAAGCGTTCAAAGCAGAGGCTCATACCGATGTCTTACCGCTGCCTAGTCCGCTATCAATTACAAAAGGTTTATTAAGTGGTAGGCTTATAATTGACTAATACCGATATCGGTATGAGTCTCTACATGGGGCATTATTTGCCCCATGGTTTAAGAAATTAAGAAGCTCAATCCCCGATTTATCACGTGGTTTGACATTTCACTTATAATGTTTGATTGCGCTGTGGTTTGCTCTTTCTCTTTTCGCTCAACTTAATAAAAATGGTACAACCAACGTTGACAGATATCCAAAACATCCACCTTGCTTTCCATTTATCCATCTATCCATTAATCCACTGATCTATATACATATCATTCCTTGCAATATCTATCCTCAATTGATCAGTTGATCGTACTTCTTGCCTTCGACATCCCCTCTTCATCCATAGATCCTCCAATTGACTTAGCATCATTGATTCTACGATGCAGCAGCGCAATTAACCGATCAATCTTACACATTCTCAGCAAGCCAAGAGCCGCTTATGTGTTTTTTTTATCTGTGTTAATTGCATTGCTATCGACGAGAAGTCATTGTACCTGAGAAAAGAGGCAGACTATCACTATTAAAATATTAATGCATACAATCTAACATTTAGTTTAATCCCTCTGTCCGTTGTCTGAATAGTCTCACCGAAAGTTTGAGAGACCACGCCACGGTTCCCTTGGGTTCTTGCCTCGTAAGCGCGCTGCTCGCCACAGAGGAAAGGCTAAGTCCTTCCCAAAGGATGATCCCTCTAAGCCTGTGCACTTGACTGCCTTCATGGGCTACAAGGCTGGTATGACTCATGTTGTCCGCGATTTGGACCGTCCTGGCTCTAAGATGCATAAGAAGGAGATTGTTGAGGCTGTGACCATCATTGAGACTCCTCCTATGGTTGTTGTTGGTGTTGTCGGTTACGTCGAGACCCCTCGTGGTCTTCGCTCCTTGACCACAGTTTGGGCCGAGCACTTGTCGGAGGAGCTTAAGCGCCGATTCTACAAGAATTGGTACCGCTCCAAGAAAAAGGCTTTCACTAAGTATGCTAAACAACACGCTAATGGTGCTAAGCCTATCCTCCGCGAGCTTGAGCGCATCAAGAAATACTGCTCTGTCGTCCGTGTTATTGTCCATACCCAGGTGCGCAAGGTTAAGATTGGTCAAAAGAAGGCCCATGTCATGGAGATTCAGTTAAACGGAGGATCAGTGGCTGATAAAGTCAAATTTGCATATGAGCACTTTGAGAAGACTGTGGATGTTTCGTCTGTACTGGAACAGGATGAGATGATTGACGTGATTGCTGTCACAAAGGGTCACGGATTTGAGGGTGTCACTCATCGTTGGGGTACTAAGAAGCTTCCTCGTAAGACTCACAAAGGTCTTCGTAAGGTTGCTTGTATTGGAGCATGGCATCCTTCCCGCGTCATGTTCTCTGTTCCTCGTGCTGGTCAGAATGGTTACCACCACCGTACCGAGGTCAACAAGAAGATTTATCGAATTGGAAAGGGCGAGGACAAGTCTAATGCCAAGACTGACTATGACTTGACAGAGAAGGCTATCACCCCTCTTGGTGGTTTCCCTCACTATGGTATTGTCAATGAGGACTATGTCATGATCAAGGGTTGCTGCGCTGGTACCAAAAAGCGTGTTGTCACCCTCCGTAAGTCTCTTCTAGTCCACACTAAGCGCTCTGCTTTGGAAAATGTCCAGCTCAAGTTCATTGATACCTCCTCCAAGTTCGGTCACGGCCGTTTCCAGACCCGCGAGGAGCGCCAGCAATTCCAGGGCACCTTGAAGAAGGACCTTTAAGCAATATTGATCATGTTACTAATTTAACCTGTATAATAAACCTTAAAAAATAAAATTAAATAAACAAGTGACCGTATTTTCATATTGTATTGAAATTTTCACTTTTGACTTGAGTTTTCGCATCTAATAGTCCAAACATTTGAACGATTGTCATGAACGAGGAACTCAAAAACAAGGTGCAACATGCAAAGCTAACTTGAAGCGAGTTCCGCTCAAACTGACTCGGCTAGAAATGCTTTTCGTAAATTTTTCAAGTCTAATGCGATGCTTTTTTTATTGCTGGTGGAAGAGTAGATTCATGAGCTTGACATTCTTACTGAAGAACTTTCATCTTTGAGACCAAATGCGGTATGCGTGGGAAAATAAAAATAAAGCATACCATTTAGATATTTTCCGCAAAGATTAACTTTTATTTTATTTTATTTTATTTTTCCCTTTTAAGACGGTATATGCTAAAAAGGTACCATCCTCTAGGGTCCTGTTTCGTGAAAATAAGACGATTTTGACCGAGATAAAGAGGAGTATGTACATGTTAATGGATCATTTTTCTGTTCCTGCTAATTAGAGGCGTACAGTGTTTAATACGATTTCTGTTTTTTATCGTTATAGAGGAGCTGGTCGAGGCAAAAGAGGCTTTGGTAGCAATCCCAAACCAAGCACATGCATAAACACCTTTTTAAAGATATACTTCCATACTTTCAGACTTGGACAAAAACGCAAGCTCAATCATGGACCTATGCTCCTTTAGAATAATAAAGATATAAAGATACTTCCCGAGCGACAAATATGAATAGGCTCCTTTATTTCTTCGTTTATTAATAAAAATATCGAATGGGACAAACGTCTTCATCGTAGCGATAGATAAAAAAAAAGTGTCTACACGTTTTTGTCGCCCGATATACCTTCCCGTGCAGCTTTTCGTGCAAGCCGTTCCTGTTTTAAGCGCTCGACCTCGTATGTCAATTCCTTTTTGTCAATACCGGTGCGTGTCTGAGATCAAGGAAGCAAGTCTGTTATTTTTCTTCTTTTTCTTTCAAAGCCTAAATCATGGCATATTCATTTCTCACTTCAATACATATTTCCCCCCTTACGTTGACAGTCTCTGGAGCAGGCCAGAATTTTGACTAAAGTTTTAAGTAAGTTACAAAAGATATAGGTGCGTTAATAAGGAAGTAAGGTAGGGCGTAAGTTTAAAGACAATGTGCACCGAGTCCGACCGTCCCACTCTGATAACTTACGCCTCGAACATGTTTGTCGTAGAATTCGGGTGCGCCTAAAATTATTGTGCCCATTCGGATATAACAAAAAAAGGGAGGTTCTGTTAATGACATATTTCTTTTGAGGCATTCTTCTAAAGTCGTAAAGGATCAGGCCTAAACTTATATCCAGTTTATTACCAAAGTACACCATGAACATGACTGGTGTGAAAATGTAGACACCGAACTGTATACCGCCATTGAAAGAGTTTCCGAATAACGAAAAAAAAAAAAAAAAAAAAAAAAAAAAAGAAGAGAGTAACGTTGAGTCAAGCGGTTAAGAAGAAAAAGAAAATATTGGTTGCTGCATGCATTGTTTTTTTATTATTTCATACCTTAAAAACTTCGAGCCTTGGACCTCCCATTGCAATGCGTTTGGTTACTTGTTTGGAATAAAGGAATGTCAATGAAAGTTGCTCAGAAAACCAACATTCAAATTAGCATTCAAGATATGCAACCCAAATTCCGCCCGTTGATTGGCTAGTCATCCATATGACATCAATTGAGCAAATAATGTCGCGGAATATTGAAAAGACCGTCCACAGCCGCGTCTTCGTGCGTGGGTGTGTGACGCGTCCCTTCATCGCTATCCATGCTAATTTTTAGACACCAACTGTTCATTCTATTCATTTATTCATTCATTTTCCCTTCAAAAAGAAAAAAAGACAAGTTCTTGACATCTCCACTAACTAATATATCCTAACCAGAACAAGACTAGGAATCATGGACCATTTTCCAACGAACTGGGGAAACCCTCGCTCAGAGGATGTCGATAGCTACAACACCTATCCTATCTCATCGCACATTGGAAAGGTCCCTCACAGTGTCACCCAAATTGCGGGCTATGGTCACACCACTGGTCATCCCACATCTCATACTCTGTAAGCTATAATTCCCTGGTGATAGTCAAGATAACCGTAAATCAATGTTGTCCGAGTAGCTAATGATAAACGATGGGATCTTCTTCTTGAATAGGCAGCCAGTAGTCACAGGAACGTCAGTGCTTGGCATCAAGTTCAAGGGGGGTGTGATGATGGCTGCAGATAACTTGGCCTCCTATGGGTCTTTGGCCCGTTTCCGTGACGTCGAGAGATTGCACCAAGTGGCCGACTTTACTGTCCTGGGTGCTAGTGGTGACATTTCGGATTACCAATACGTCAAGCACCTTATCGACTCGCAAATGTATGTTTTTTTTTTTTTTTATTTTTTTTTTTTAATTCTTTTCCAGAAATATTAAATCTTTCTTAATTTTTATAGGATCAAGGAATACAACGCAGATGATGGCCACACATTAGCGACACCCAACATTTATGAGTACTTATGGCGTGTCATGTATAACCGCCGTTCAAAGATGAACCCACTTTGGAACACTTTTGTTCTTGGAGGCGTCCACCAGGGCAAGAGGTAAAAATATTAAAAAAAGAAAGATGCATAGTAGCGTCTAAGAGAAATATCTAATATTTTAAATTTTATCTTATTATATATTTTATTTCTTGTCTACCTTCAAATGAATAGCTTTTTGGGAGCTATTGATCTGAAAGGAACACCTTACCAAGCACCATCCATTGCCACAGGATTCGGCTCTCATCTTGCTCAACCCATCTTGCGCAAGGAACTTGAAACCCGTGGAGGCGAGGATAACATTACGGAGGAGCAAGCGGTCGAAATCTTGAAAAAGAGCATGAAGGTCCTTTGGTACAGAGATGCTAGAAGCATGAACAAGGTATCTATTTTTTTTAAAAAAAAAAAAAAAAAAAAAAAAAAGAAAAAAATATCAATACAAAGGCAAGGACTTCTTTTGCTAACATTTAGCATCATGAATCTTGATTTAGTTCCAATTGGCAAAGATTACAGCAGAAGGCGTAACAATTTCGGAACCCATGTCTGTGGAAACAGAGTGGGCCTTTGCCGAGAAGATTCGCGGTTATGGTGCTTAAAGTCAGGAAATAAAAAATAAAGAGGAGGTTGCACGTCTCAATAAACTCGTCAAAAGTTTATCAAAGAGTTTTTTTTTTTTTTTTGTTTTTAATGTTCAAGGCTATAAGTAAGCATTGATAAGAAGGGTTTGGGATATGAAGACTTGCGACCAGATGCTATATCTTCGATCTATTCTACAATGGGATCATGGAAAGGAAGGGAAAGGGAGGAGTATGTGCAATAGTGTAGTTCCGCTGCCTAGATAAACTCGCGAGGACGAGTGCCAGAGCCGCAAGAGTTGTAGTCAAAGACAAGTCCACCAATCCTGAATGCGAGCTCATCCGTCTCAGGGCGAGTGGCCGCCTCAGCATAGACACGAACCACATCCTCAGTTCCAGAGGGACGAACAAAGGAGCGTCCATCTCGGAACTTGAGGACGATGGCGTCAATTGCATCCTGCAGTCCAGCGGGCTCGACCAACTTGCGCTCAGCATCGACGGTCTTGAAAATGGAACGATCCTTAACGACGACCTTGACCAAACGATTAGGCAGGTCAGTGTATGCCTGGTCCCAGACCTTAGGGGTCCATTGTCTCTGTGTCAAGATGGCTTCAACAAGGAGAAGATCAGAGAAGGCATCACCAACAGCTTGGTTAATGACCTCCGAAAGCGCACGAAGGGAGCGAACGGCAACAGCTTGAGCTGGGGTGGATCCTTCAGTAGAGTAGATAGTTTTGAGAGCAGTGGGGCTGAAGAGAACGGTACCATGTCCATTGGCCTCAAAATAGACTCCGACATCGTACTTTGTGGCTTCATGATGCAAATACTTGACTCCGGTGGGAACGCAAGAGACGGGCACATTCTATTAATACAACAAGAACAAAGAGCAGCAGTAAAGTAAGTTACTAATGATTATAGCGAGCCCAATAAGCAATAACAACCTTATAACTCATGCCATTCACATACCAAGGTGTTGCGGAGATATTGAGTCGAGGCTCCATTGGCATAAGCAGTTTGAACAACACCAACGGAAATACTGTCAATACCTGCAGCCTTAACGATGTCGATGATGAACATGGCGGCAAGGCCTGCAATCTTGTCACCATCCAATAGCCTGAAGGTGCCATCTATAGCAAACCAAAAAAAAAAAAATCAGAGAAAAGCCAAAACAAAGAATTCAGAAATAATATCATTAAATAATTTCAAGACATTACCATCATCCTGATAATAATAGACAAGACGATCAGCATCACCATCAAAGGAAGCATAGCGCTCATTAGGGGCTGTCTTCAGTCCGACGGGTGCACGCTGCTGGACTTTGACATAGTCAGCTCCAGCCTAAAATCATGAAATGGAAAGGCAGATTAGTTGTTGATCTATTGCCTCCAATAGCGCGATCCCAAAAATATAATAGCCCTAAGCTGTGCTCCTTGTGTTATTCATATTGCATTAATACATACATTGAGGTTCAGATTGACCGGGTTGTCAATATCGTCATTCACAATCTTGCAGGACAAGGCATCACCCAAGTAAGGTAGGAATTCTTTGAACTTGGGAGCTCCGACTCCATTGGCACAGTCCAAAATCAGAGGCGAAAGCTTATTCTTACCCTCAACTAGGACCTTAAAGGCTGCGGCCAACTTCTTATAATACCCTTCCGCAGTAGGTTCACCATATGCCTCGGGGGTTCCAGCGGTGTTGAGGCAGCGAGTGATATAATGGAGCTGAGGAGTGGTGAGGATACCATGATCCGTGTAAGTAGCGTCAAGGACTTTAAGGCCGTCAATGAAGGCTTCAACTAACCCCTTTCCACTGGGGCGTGTATCGCGTCCAATAACGACATTGGCAGGCTTTGTAAGATCGATCTTCAAATTGTTGACCATTGTGTGGATATAGTCGATAATTTCTTCGTTTGACTCTGCGTTCGCAATTGCAGTACAGTGAGCCTCCCAAGAGGATTCGAGCATCTCGCCCAAAGGATCCACAAGTTTAATACCATTGTCCTATAATATTTACAAATACATGAACATCACAGACAAAATAATGCATGCAGGAGGAAGAATGAGATATCGAGAAAGTATTAGTGAAAATTTCAAGTAAACTTTTTTTTATCTTGTGGGCCTCCAGTCCAAAGGTGCATGAAGAAAAGGCTCTTACAGCAGCAGGATTGTGAGAGGCAGTTATCATGCATCCAATGACTTTTCCGTCGAGTTTCTTGGAGCGCAAAGCCGCCACAATACCGGAGCGGAAAACGACAGAGTCTAAGAGCTCAGCCCTATAGGATATTGATAAAAAAGGGTGTCAGTAATCATTCTCGATGATAAACGTTTGATTGTTCATTGATCCTCTTGACCTGGTCCCTTTTTTTTTATCTTTATTCTCAGGATATAGTGAATCGAATAAAGCTTTTTTTATCGCTCATTCATTTGGCCAGAAATAAGCGGCTCAAGAAAATGCTGGAAGTCGTTTTGAAATATGACGAGTATGTATGAATGACGACAAGGATAAAATGTTCATACTTCATACGAAATCCTGCAGTGCCATAGCCGAAGCGATAGCTAGGCTTGGGGTACTTCTCAGAGAGCACCTTGAGACTTTCGACATTGATAGCAGCCATCTTGGTATGAGTTTGAAGTTGGTTAATGTTTCAAAGAATGAATGTCTGAAAGGAGGAAGGAAGGAAGATGGAGAGATGAAAAAGAATGGAAAAGAAAGATGGAAATTAAATGCAGTTTGCTTTATTGGACGGAAGCTATTTTTAATATTCCCACAGAGGTGCATTGATCAGGAAAAAAGTATGGGCTCCTCACAAATGAAGCATACATCGGGTAAACGCGTCGCCTGCTTTGGCACATCAAGAACAAACCAAGTTGTATTCAACACTCGCACGTATATCACATATGCCCATGATCTACAAATAGGCGTGACGCGTCAACCCACATGCGCAATGAACTCATCAAAAAAAAAAAAAAAAAAAAAACCAGCAAACATTTAATATACTGAACTTGTTCTTTAAAAACCTAATTTGACCACCTGTTCCGAGACGAGAGATGGAGATAAAGGCCCATCTCTAGACTTCATTCAGCTCTCTTAACTCGCTGCTCTCTGTGTAAATTGGCAATAGTGGTGAGTACTTGAGTATCAAGAGTGAATGGGAGAAGGAACTGGACGTGAGTAAATGGTCCAGTAGGAGAGGTATCGGGCTGTCAACGTCTGTGCCTGCTCCTGTGATTGACATGAACAGGCTAGCTCGTTTGTTCTCAAATAAACCAAACTAATCCACCAATCGCTCTTCGTATTGAATCTGTATCTGGAAAGCATATCGACATTGTTGTCTCAGGAGCAAAGCAAACCTGCCCTTGTTATTTTTGTTGGACGAAGCGAAGGCTAGGAAAGATGTCACCCCTTACAGATTCAAAGGTGATAAAATACTTGTCCATGGGAAACAGGATGACGCGTTGCATACGCCAGCTTGCTGAGAAGGATATACATTGCTTCGACATATATCTCACGTATCTTTATTTGAGTACTTTCTCATCTTTTCCATCCTCTAACGAAATAGCACTGCTTTTGCTTTTATTGGGGATACATTTACAGTCCCTTACAGATGAAAAATTGCCTTCTATCATGCCTGAGAGAAGTAGTCCAATATAAATAACATAGCTCTAAGCAGCAGAGCAGCAGACTTTCATCAAATAAACAAGAGTGCGGTTGGCAGTCCGCCATGCCTCTACAGTTACTTATGGTCAAAAGCATGAGCAGAACAGCTAAGCTTACGACATATATAATGGCTACTCTAATCATCGATCTAAACGAGGGATTCAGGTTCGTCAGGAACGCTGTGTCGGGTGAGTAGAGAGGATAAGTTGAGGACATCTGAGTAAGATGTTCCGATCTCTATGGCGCACCCATTCTGAAAGCCACTAGTAAAGATTCTGATGCTGTTTCGAGGTTATCAGCGCATGGGTGTCCTTAAAAACAGATAGTAACATCTCTTCCCGGAATTGCACGTTAAACAGAGCATGGTAAACTCAGATATATAACGTCTCCCATATTATAAGAGACTAAGAAGCTGCCAGGCCATATGTATTTCATATCCATGTTTACTAGAGACTTCAACTTGCTATCTACTTCCCCCGCAATCAGCAGACGCAACACTGTAAAGCCGCCTTTGTCAGCATTACCAAATAACCACAATGCATAAATAAACTTGGCTACTCAACGCGCTTTTTTTATAAAAAAAAAGACTCTAGTGGGATCGCATGGAACTATGCCATGTTTCTACATACTAATAGTATTTATGCTTGCATTGACAATATCGTAGCCTTTCTTTTTGGCGGGTAACGGACGATAGGCTGATGCTATCATTCTTCAAAGTTGAAGACCATGGCAGTTAGTTTCCTACGCTGTAGGTTGGGCCGTTAAGACAAAGGCACGTGCCTTGGTGGGTGGCTGAGCATTTTAATCTATTCAAGCTTCTTTACATCGTAGCCCTGACACTTCACCATTAAATTGATCACATATAATCTCCACCTCGCCTCCAAAAACTAAATCAAAAGGAAAACCAGCATCTAAATAAGAAATAAACTCAAATGGCAGACAGACAAAATCGTGTTGGATCCAAGATTGGAAGTGCCGGTGTGGCCGGTGCTTCGGAAAGCAATGTCGACAGAAGAGAGCGTCTTCGAAAACTGGCCTTGGAAACCATTGGTAGACTAAATGCATCACTATTGTATTTGGTGATGATTCACATTTTATGCACAGGATACATGAGCGCAAACCGGAGTTAATGAACTAAATAAAGAAATGGACTCTTGTCTGTTTTTTTTTTATGTATATATATTTTAGATTTGGCCAAGGACCCATATTTCATGAGGAATCACTTGGGATCATACGAATGTAAACTTTGCTTGACATTACATACCAATGAAGGATCATATCTTGCGCACACACAAGGAAAGAAGCATCAAACCAACCTGGGTCGCCGTGCAGCCAAGGATGCGATGGAAAAACCTGATAGTATGGCACCATTGACAGCACAACAACAACAAGCACTCAAAGGCGGAGCAAATGCTGCACCAACATTCAAGCGCAACATCATTAAAATTGGTCGTCCCGGTTACAAAGTCACAAAGATCCGGGACCCAGCTTCACGTCAAGTTGGCATGTTGTTTGAGATTGCGTATCCAGAGATTGCACAGGGCGTTGAGCCTCGGTACAGATTCATGTCTGCATATGAGCAACAGGTTCAGGCACCAAATAAGGCATATCAGTATCTAGTCATTGCGGCAGAACCCTATGAGAGTATTGCATTCAAGATCCAGAGCAGGGATATCGACAGAGCCGAAGAAAAACTGTGGAGCCATTGGGATGTAGACCAAAAGATGTTTACCTTGCAGATGTTCTTCAAGAATGATCAGCGCATGCTCAGCTCGAGTCGAATGGAGAACGCACCAGGGTATAGCGCACCTGGAACACAAATGGCCAACCCTTTGAATCCTTTTCATGCACCCATGCGCACAGCTGCATAGATTTTTATTTTGTAGGAAAGAACCTTTTCTATTTCTCAATAAAACAAATAATAATATAAAGACTATAAAGACTAAAGACTGTTTGCTCCATTTCTCTCTACTTTCTTTTTTTTTTTTTCCTCTTTTTTTCTTTATTGAGCAAGATTAAACGAAGAACTAGTGAAGAATAATTGTGCTTGCGATGCTTTGCTGTTCGAACCTATGTGTATATACATTATCGCAATTTAAGAGATGGGAACAACGCTAAAAACCACGTACTATTTTTTTCTCCTTCTATGCGTCATCATCATCCTCATCACCTTCTCTAAACCGAGGATTGGCTTTTGCGCGCTGCTGCTCATCGTCATCATCATCATCATCATCCCTGGATCTTTTGGTGTTTGATTCAGCTTCTTTGCGGTCTTTATAATCGAGATTAGCACCTTCAGGAATAGTGGTGATGGCTTCATAATTCGCTTTTTGATCCCTTTCACGTTCAGCCTCCTGTCGTGCACGCACATGGCCCCAGCCTCCACGACCAGCATCAAACTCCAATCTGTACTCATCACGTACTTGACCACCACTTCGACCGCGACCAAATTGACGTCCTTCTCTATATCCATGGTCCAAATCTGAGCGGACAATACGCTCATCTAATTTTGAGCTGTTGATATACTTCATACAATCCAGCGCATCTGAGTGGTGATAGTATCTAGGTGAGTAGAAAGGAGAAGGAAAAATGGAAATGGTAAGATATCATTTTATACTTGATGAGTTGATGAGTTTTACAAAAAAATCATAATAAATTTTAACTTACTCAACAAAGCAGAACCCACAAGGAGTCTTTTGATTGCGGTCAAGTCCCATGATAATGCGTTTAATTTCTCCACATTTGGAGAACAGTTCGTAGATCTGTTCTTCTGTAGTATAGAAGGATAAATTTCCGACATAGAGCGTGGTCGAATTAGCTAAATCTTGTGCCAATTGGGTGGACGTGCCTTGATATTGCTGATCCTTGTAAGTTGAGGGGACTGAAAGCGATTGAACGATGGATGCCTTTTTAGCAGGTAAAGAAGGAAAAGAAAAAATGAGAGAGAGATACAAGTTTTTTTTAGTGAACAGAAAGTATTTCTGCGGTTTTTGAATTCATTCTCGTTTACTGGGGCTACTACTCCAAAATGCATCCAATTAGTCGCTATACATTGTTGTTTAAGAATGTCCCAATGAGCGGATTGCTAAACATGGTTCACTACTTCCTTCTCTTCTCCTTAATCTGACTAGGCCAGATACATCGTTGTAATTCATTGTCTTATTACCATTTTGCAAGTGAAAGTTTAGGTATATGCGTGTGTTTTTAGATGAGTCGTTTCATCGCGTTTTCATTGTGGAGCTAAAATGGGACTGTCATGTGGCTTGGATTGACAACTATCCAAAATGTAAACATGTCTTTAAGCAGGCACTTTTTTTTTCTTTTTTTTTTTTTTTTTTTTTTTTTTTTTTGCATGTCCTAGTCGTCTCATTGTGCAAAACTTGTTACTATTGCTTCGTCGTCCTCATTGCAAAAGAGTCCATTGCATAACAACCTCCCTCGTCCGACTATAGCCTCTAAAAACAGAAACTCAACATACCATTATCATTCTCTCAACTGCCCACAATTCTTTTTTTTAGTATCATTCAGAGAGTTTTGAAAAGGAATATAGCAATATCCTTGATTGATTAGTATGGTCAAGGCATATCAGCGCTACACTCCACGCACCACCTTCGGTGTTGTGGCCAGTGGGAACTCCAACATTATTTATGACATTGAAGGAAAATACGCCATCAGCCCAGCCTTAGAAGACGTTTGCATCTGGGACCTCAAGAGGGGCGAGCGAGTAATAAAATTAAAAATAAAAAAATTAGGGCTTAATGAATTGTTGTACTTTTGACTTTAAGAAAGATATTAATGAATTGAAGCTTTTTATTATTGTATGTAGGTTGGAACATGGCATGATAGCGATAATAAAGCAGAAGTCACATGCATTGCACGCAACACAGATCGGAATAGTTATGCTGTTGGTTATGCGAATGGTTCGATCCGTATTTGGAGTATGAAAGATTCAGATGTCCTTGTCACATTTAATGGTCATCGTTCCGCAGTGACAGCTTTGGCGTTTGACAAGTCTGGGAGCCGCCTTGTTTCTGGATCAAAAGACACTGACCTAATTGTTTGGGATGTTGAAGGTGAAGTTGGACTCTACCGGTAAGATAAAGGCTCATTTACAATTATTGAAAAGCAAGTTTTCTTTATTATACAACGTACGAAAGAAAATGGGAATAAACTAATTCCTTTGAATTTTTGATAGTCTTCGTGGCCACAAAGACCAGATTACTTCTGTCCGATTCTTGTCACGACCTGCACTTGTTGAGGGCGGTCAACCTACGGATGAATATATTTTATCGGGCTCGAAGGATACACTCATTAAACTTTGGGATCTGTCGACTCAACATTGTATGGAGACTCTGGTTGCTCACAGGAACGAGGTTTGGGATTGCGACGTCAATTCAGATGAAACTATTTTAGTCTCCGGAGGCGGTGATCCTGATATTAAAGTCTGGAAGATCAATGCTGACGCCCTTAGAACTGGACTGGGCATTGGTGAAGAAGCTAAGGAAGTTGGTGAGGACTCACATAATAATGAACAGAGTGAAAGTTCAGGCTTGGTCAAGGCTATCACATTCTATGGATCTATCCCTCGTCAATCAAAGGAACGTGTAACAACCCTGAAATTCCATTCGTCACAAGATTTTTTGGGCTGTCAGGCCTCAGACAAGTCCATTGAGTTGTTTAGGATACGCTCGGTTGAGGAGATCAAGAAGAAGATGTCACGCAGAAGGAAACGTCAACGTGAGAAGCAGCAGGCGTTGTTGAAGAAGGGCGATATTGAGGGTGCTACAGCAGAAGAGCCTGTGGATGATACAATTCAGGCAACAGATGAGATCACACCTTGGCATGTCCTTCGCTCAGCAGCCAAATTCAGGTCATTCGACTTTGCACCAGCAAAGGATGTACAGAAGCTAGGACATATCCAGTTGGTGGCATCGTTGAACAATAATACTGTGGAGGTCTGGTCAGTCCCTCACCCTACTGCGACTAAGAATGAAGAAGTGGCGAACGAGCCCAGTAAGGCATACACATTAGAGTTAGCCGGACACAGATCAGATATCCGTGCGGTTGCCCTTAGTTCTGACGACGAGCTTTTATGTTCTGCATCCAACGGTAAGGACCCGGTGCTCTTATTTAAAAACCGAGTCATCGCTAAATAATTTAACTACTATGCTAATGTGTACGTCGTCACTACTGACATCCATACTCCTCTTTTACTTTTTAGGCTCATTGAAAATTTGGAATGTCAAGACAACATCATGCATTAGGACAATGGATTGTGGATATGCCCTATGCTGCGCTTTCCTGCCTGGAAACCGTCATGTAAGTGACAAAGATTAGCTGACACGGCATAGCTAATATGGTATTTGGATTCTGTGCTGACTTTTTACTGAGATATACGCGGATTTTTTTTTTCTTTCTTTCTTCCTTTTCTCTCACTTTTTAGGTCATAGTCGGAACCAAAACAGGTCATTTGGAGCTGTTTGATCTCGGATCCTCCTCCATGATTGAATCTATTGAAGCACACGAAGGAGCAATCTGGTCTCTTCAGGTCCGCCCAGACAGACGTGGATTGGTTACAGGAAGTGCAGATAAGGATGTCAAGTTCTGGGACTTTGATATGGTGGAGGAACAAGTTGGTCAATCGATCAAAAAACGTCTATCCTTGGTTCATATGCGTACTCTTAAAATGTCAGATGATGTTCTGTGTGTTCGGTACTCGCCTGATCAAAAGATAGTGGCGGTCTCGCTATTAGACGCAACTGTCAAGGTCTTTTATCACGACACTCTCAAATTCTTCCTATCACTCTATGGCCACAAACTACCCGTGCTCTCTATGGACATCTCATCAGATTCAAATTTACTTGTAACTTGTTCTGCTGACAAAAACGTAAAGCTCTGGGGTCTTGATTTCGGAGATTGTCATAAGTCTCTGTTTGCTCATCAAGAATCAGTTATGGCAGTCCAGTTTGTGTGGAATACACATTACTTCTTCACAGCCTCCAAGGACAGGACTGTCAAGTATTGGGATGGAGACAAATTCGAGAACATCTTGAAGCTGGAGGGCCATCATGGAGAGGTCTGGGCGTTAGCTGTGGGCACATATGGTAATATTGTGGTCTCTGCTTCACATGACCGCTCATTACGTATCTGGCAAAAGACTGAGGATCAGGTTTTCTTAGAGGAAGAACGTGAGCAAGAATTAGATGACTTGTACGAGGCGACCTTGACAGCCTCGTTTGAGAAGACAGGGATGGTGGACCATGGTGAGGGAAATATTGGAGCGCCATCTGCCCATAACGGTGATGAATTAGCATCAGCTGGCAAGCAGACCATGGAAACCCTTAAAGCAGGAGAACGCATTATGGAGGCTCTTGAGCTTGCGGACCAGGAAATCAATGCCTGGAAGGAATATAACGCCGGCATAGCTCGCGGTGAGCGTGGCTTATCGAAGCCTCAGAGATCACCCTTATTGATCTCGATGCGACAAACACCAGAGCAACATGTCTGGTTTGAGCTGGAGAGAATCCGTCCTGCAGAATTGGATGAGGCTCTGTTGGTTCTACCATTCTCAGCTGTGACAAGTCTCTTGAACTGGCTAGATGTCTTTGTGCAGCGTGAATACAACATCAACCTTGTCTGTAGAGTCTTATTTTTTCTGGTCAAGTCACATCATAACCAGATTGTTGCCAATAGGATCATGCGACCCATGCTGGATTCTGTGCGACGCAACCTGAGGATCGGCTTGCAAAAGCAAAAGGTAAATCTCCTCGCATACTTACAGGCATTCTCTTTCCATTCCAAAAGAAGGTTAGCGGGGAGCTGTATGGCATATTCATTGATTTATTTATTTGTTTTTTATGCTTCTAGGACGTCGTTGGTTTTAATGTAGCTGCACTCAACTATATTCACCGCGACTACGAAGCCAATAATACGTCAGAATTCTTTGACGAGGACGCGATCCGTAAAGAGGAAGAGAAGAAGCAAGAGTCAGAAAAGAAACGCAAGTTTTTAAAGATTTAGAAGCTACAAACATTTCGAGACAAATTTTTCCCTATCATTTTGCATCATACTCTCTAGATTCTCATTTTTGCCTCATCATAAAATAATACATAAACATCAAATATATATTGTACCTGTACTAAAAAATAGAAGATTAAGGAAGTAAAGGATGACTGATAGTCCATTGCTCCTAATATTTTCTTTCATTCTTTTTTATCCACTACAGCTGACACAAGCTTCGCGGTTGTCAATTGAACAAATCATAGCTGCTTCATTGGCAGCTTGATTAGCAGCATCCGCGCTCGCTCTCTCAGCCTCCTTGATTTTGGCGATCGAAAGCTGATCAACTGTAAACTTGATAGCATCGACAGCTGCACGGGTTCGTAGGTAATACATCCCGGTCTTTAGACCCTTCTTCCATCCATAAAACGCCATACTTGTCAGCTTTCCGAAGTTTACGTCCGACATATGAATGTTTAGCGATTGAGATTGATCGATATAGGCCCCACGATCCGCTGCCATGTCAATGATGACCTTTTGAGAGATTTCCCACGTGGTCTTGTACAAGGCTTTTAAATCATCTGGAACCCCAGAGATATTTTGGATAGAGCCATTCTCCGCAATGATCCGGTTCTTTAGAGAATCGGTCCATAGACCACGATCGACCATATCTTTGAGCATCCAAGGGTTCACAATCTGGAATTCACCCGCGAGAACGCGTCTTGTAAAGATGTTGGAAGTATAAGGCTCAAAACATTCATTGTTACCCAAGATCTGGGATGTGGACGCTGTGGGCATGGGAGCTACAAGCAACGAGTTCCGGACGCCATGCTTCGAAATGTTGTCACGAAGGGTGTCCCAGTCCCAGAGATCAGTTGGAGTGACCCCCCACATGTCTGGTTGCAGAATACCCTTAGACACTGGAGACCCTGGATAGGTCACGTAGACACCCTCTTCTTGAGCAAGCTCACAAGATGCTTCGAGTGCAGCATGATAGATGGTCTCAAAAATCAAGACGTTCAATTTGCGGGCTTCAAGCGAGTCAAAGGGCATGTGCATTTTGAAAAAGGCGTCTGCTAGGCCCTGGACTCCCAATCCAATTGGACGATGACGTTTGTTGGACTTTTCGGCCTCAGGAACTGGGTAATAGTTTCTATCAATAACCTTATTCAGGTTCCGAGTTACGACTTTAGTGATCTTGTGGAGCATCTTGAAATCAAATACTGGAATGCCATTGTCACCAGTCATGACAAAGGTAGGAAGAGCAATACTGGCCAAGTTACAGACAGCGACCTCATCAGGGCTGCTGTATTCGATGATCTCTGTACAGAGATTACTACACTTGATAGTCCCCAAGTTCTGTTGATTCGACTTGCGGTTACAGGCATCTTTATAAAGCATATAGGGCGTTCCAGTCTCTGTTTGAGCCTCCAGGATTGCGAACCACAGCTTCTGAGCCTTGATAGTCTTACGAGCCCGTCCTTCCAGCTCGTAGGTCATATAGAGTTTCTCAAACTCTTCGCCCCAGACATCTTGTAGACCAGGCGCCTCAGCAGGACAAAAGAGACTCCAATCGCCATTCTGTTCAATTCGTTTCATGAACAGGTCAGGGATCCAGAGTCCCAGGAACAAGTCTCGAGCACGAGTCTCTTCCTTGCCTGTATTCTTGCGAAGGTCCAAAAAATCAAACACGTCCGCATGCCAAGGTTCCAAATACATGGCAAAGGCTCCTGGCCGCTTGTTTCCACCTTGATCTACATATCTCGCGGTATTGTTAAATACCCTCAACATAGGGATCAATCCGTTAGAATGACCATTCGTACCAGCAATATATGAACCTGAGGCTCGGATGTTATGGACATTAAGGCCAATCCCACCAGCAGTCTTGGAGATCATGGCACAAGACTTGAGGGTATCGTAAATTCCTTCGATCGAGTCATCCTTCATAGTCAAGAGGAAACAACTTGACATTTGAGGCCTTGGGGTCCCAGCATTAAACAGGATCGGAGATGCATGCGTAAAATATTTTTCAGACATGTAGTTATAAGTTTCAATGGCCTTGTCGATATCCTCACCATGGATCCCAACAGCAACACGCATGAGCATTTGTTGAGGCCTCTCTACTATCTTGCCATCGATCTTGAGGAGGTATGATCGTTCCAGGGTCTTAAAGCCGAAGTAGTTAAAGTTGAAATCGCGATCGTAGACGATGGCTGAGTTGAGCTGATCGGCATGTCTCATAACAACCGCATAAGTTTGTTCACTGATCATGGGTGCAGGCTTGTTGGTCTTTGGATTGACGTAACGGTGCAGGTCCTCGATCACTTGCGAAAAGTCATTTTTGGATTGCTTGTGCAAGTTTGAAGCCGCAACTCGGGCTGCAAGGATAGCATAATCGGGGTGCCTTGTGGTCATATACGCGGCCTGTAAACCAATAATTCAAGTTAAAAAAAAAAAAAAAAAAGTTAGCGATGCGATTCTAAGCTTTTTCTTTTTTTTTTTTTTTTTTTTTTTTTTTTTTTTTTTTCATCTTTTAAAGGTAACTTACAGTTTCTGCTGCGAGATTGTCGAGCTCAACTGTTGTGATACCCAGATGCACGCCGGAGATAACCTAGTGGAGGGGAGAAGATAACAAGGAGAAAATAGATGAGTCAATGAAGTGATAGATGAAAAGCACTATAGTAACTGATTTGTATTTTGTATTTGATCAGGTGGGATCAGGCCGAGGTAAGCTTTTTTATATATTTATTTACCTTTTGAGTGATCAGGACAGGGTCAATGTAGTTCATATCAAGGCCATAGCAAAGTTTGAGAAGACGTGAAGTAATCTTGTCAAACTCGACTCGCTCTTGTCGACCTGTTTTATACATAAAAGAATAAAGGGAAAAGATAGATATCGGTAAAGGTATCACTCGATTAGTCATCTAATATCACTTTGCTCGATTCATTCAAGTACTGCGGCTTTCGTCTTTCTCATGAGGTCCCTTACCGTCTTTCGAAGAGCATAAGGATAGAGGGCATTAGAGGGATGAATATGTGGATGGATATGTAAGAGATTAATTTCAGTCATGGAATTTTTTATGTTAGGTTCAGCTTTATAATCAACTAGGGATAAGAGTGTTCTTACCACGCTTGTAGACAAACATTAGAATAAAGGAGTAGGGTTAGATCGAGTTTAGGGTATCTCTGTGGTTACAGGTATCCAGCAGGAGGGAATGAAAGGGGAGGAGTGAGGGAAGGAGAAGAAAGAGAGAGAAGAAAAGAGACAGAGGAGGATTAATGATGACTATATAAGGACAAATTAAATAACCAAAATACAACGCGTCCATGTCGTTTCTTCCTCGCCTTTGTAATTAAGTAAAAACGGTTGTAGATAAGCTAGCATGTAGATTTCTGTAGAGCCAGTTGACGCGTTGTTTACTTTTTAACGAATCTTATTTATTTATTTACCTTATTTCGTTCGTTTTTAATCGTCGCACCGTTTCAGTTATTTGAAATGCTTATTAAGTAGCCGTCTATTAACTTACTTTAATTCAATTTTACCATGCAACGCGTCACTTCACCTTCTTAATCCTTCCTTTGGTACGCGTTTGCACCTTTTTTCTTCTTTTTCTAACCCGCGTCCAGATTGTGGCTTCTGCTAATAACTCATATCATATCGCACAGCCATGCTATGGCTCGTAACGCAGCACAAGCTCATTCCATCTCTCTTTTCTTTTATAAAGAAATAAATAACATTATAGAAACTAATCTACAAAGAAACTGTACATTGCCAGCAGAGGAAGAGAGAAAGAGAGAAAAGGGTAATATAATAAAAAGTAGACATGTCATTTGATCATCTTGAAGAGGCTGCCGCATTAAAAAAGCATTCTTTCATCAGATCTTGGACCTGCTCCCCTTTGCTGTCATACACATGCTGAGTTAGTCGCTGCTTTGACCGCTTGGGATTGGAACTTTTTTGCACCTCATTTGAGCTACCACTGGCTCCAATAGTCATAATCCCCATATCATCCTGTTCTGTACCCAGCGTCGTTGTTGTCACTGTTGTTGATATTGTCGTGTCCATGACTATTGGACTAGATGACTCTGTACTGTCCATTTCTTGATCAAAGTCTTGATATTGATGAGCAATTGAAGTAGATTGCAATTGAGAGCCTTGGCCTGTTGCCATGGCAACTGGTATGAAGTACTGAACTGGAGTTTGACCGTGCATACCTTCATCATTTTTATCATCATTGTGGTTAGCACCCCCATTGCTTTCATTCACACCTTCATCCTCGTCCTCATCATCATCGTCCCATACTGCCTTTCGCTTGGAGTTCTGTCTAGGCTGAGGTAACTGGGTTGAATAAGAAAGTTGGGAAGGTTTGCTGCAAAGTGAGGAAGAGGAGGATAAGAAGGAGGGAATTGAAGCATGTACGGGTGATGCTCGATTGGTCAAAGGAAGAGTCTCACGAGCCTCTCTTGAACTACTTGGCTGCGTGCTATTGAGCAGCAAGTGATGACGTGGATCATGGGGGTAGGAGTGTGAGAGGTAATATTGACGTTGGGCCGTTGGATGTTGAGACGAGTATGGTAACTGCCCATCTTGATCCTCGGATGTAATGGCGTTCATCTCTTGATCTTGTTGATGAAAGGAGGTGGCTCGAGCGTGATCAATAGAAGCTGGGGAAGAATAGTTGGCGGATAAGTAGGCGTGAAGGGCTGCTGTAGTTGAGATATTGTTATTGGATGTAGAGGATGGTGACGAGACAATAGGAGTTTGCGAGTGTGGGGATGAGGAAGGAGGTGAGGGTTTAGGAGAGTATGCAGTTGTATTTTGGATCGATCGCCAATGTGGGCCGACAGCGTGTCGGTTGAACTTTGAGTTATTGATTAATGTAAACTGATTAGGATTGTCGAGTTGGATTGTGCTATCGGTACATGAGGTCGTGATTGCTGGCCCAAAAGTAGGATACCATGGCCTAGTGGTGCTGCCAGGCATGGCCTGTAGGCGCTGCATCAACTCCAACTGCTCTAGATATAGCTGTTGTTGACGTTGATTTTCATGGAATTGCTGGAGTGCTCTTTGATGCTCGATCAAGCGATTGGTGGGAGAAGAGTCGCTGTCACTGTCTTTTACGGAAGTCGTTGACTGTAGTCGTTGTTGTTGTTGCTGCTGCTGGGTAGAAGAGTTAGTATTTGACGAAGAGATGGCATTAAGGTAGGATGAGTGAAAGCCCTGCTGCATTCCAGGCGCTGGACTCGATCCCGGCCCTGTACGCTTAACAGAAGACCATTGAGGCCCGACAGTAAGCCTCCATCCAGACTTGGGATGGCTGGTCATCAGCGTTTTTTTTTTTTTTTTTCCTTGCTTTATTTGGATTGTCCTGTAGGACGGAGAGAGGATATGGAGTGAAGTGTTCTGAAAATGCTTTTGGAGGTGGGCAAATTAGGTGGCTGTGTGCGCTAAACGTATTAGAGACCGCAGTGCAGCTGCAGGAACAGAATGAGAAGTTCAAAATATGTTATTTGAATGAAACAAAAAGCACAGAGGGATGTTGATGTGGAGAATGTCAAAAAACAGGAAGACAGGTGGCTAATGAGCCTGCTAATAACAGACAAAAACGGAACTTAGTGATGCGTATTTTGAGGAAGGGAGACAGAGAAAGAAATGAGTTGGGAGTATGAATGAGAAGGAGCAATTGAGGCGAGCAAGAGAATGAAAGGCAAGAAAGAGAATGAGAGAAAAGAGAAGGTAAAATAGAACTGTAAACAATCCTCTTTTTTTTTTTTTTTTTTTTTTTTTCACATTCCCCCCTTCCTTCACCCCAAACTAACTCATTCATTCTTTTCAGAGTGTATCCATGGGCAATGTTTTCAAAAAAAAAAAAAAATAAAATAAAAGAGCATGGACAAAATCGACAGAAAATAAATATTGAGTGCAATGCATTCTCTGGTTGCAATCTGCAATATTAATGCCAGGCTCTCCTGTTCTGTGTTCTGTGTTTCTGTGTTCGATGCTCTGTGGATTGTCTCTCTGTCTCTGTCTTTACAAGTTCGTGTCCTCAAATCGAATTCGATTCGTTCTTTCTGCATGTCCTATTATTGCCTTTATTCAGGCAAAATTTTGCCTCCATGGTAACACAGCAAAAGACTGTCAAATCCTGATTGATTGTCCAAGGAAAAATGTGCTTTTCTTCTTTGTTATTGCCAATGCAACATATCATGCCCGGCTGACACATCGTTGGCTCTCTCCCCCCACTTCACTTCTAGGCCCTTGCATGCATTTGCCCTCATGAGAAATAGCTGAGCCCTTGTGGGGAGAGGAGAAAACAAAAGGATATGTTTATCTTGACACACTTTATTTTACATCTGACTTTCCTCTTTGTACTGATTTTCAGGGCCTTGAACTTCGGTATGGCCCTTCTTCCGTGCAAACATACTCTAACTAGAGGATGTTAAAGAATCTCAACAGCCCTTACTTGCTTGTCTCGCCTCTTTCATTTTTATCACTTTACAAAGTCGTAGTTGCCTGTTGTGAGTTTTCAGAAAAAACGCTTTGTTCAACTACGCCATTGTAATGCATGAAATATCATGAATATCAGGGCGAAATCACAACAGACAAACTTGGTATTTGTTTGGTTTACGTATGTCTTGACATAACATCATAACATGCCCATGAAATAAAGTGCAGAGTGCAAACCGCAAAGCCCAATCAGGATAAAATATATACCACCACCCCAAGTTGAACAAATAATTCCATTCTCTTTCTTTTCATTACAGCATCAGGACAGCAGAGAAGTTTTACAGGAAGAAGCATTTAAGGATACAGGATCAGATATAGAACTGGACTGAGTGTTTATCTCAATACTTTTTTTTTTTTTTTTTTTTTTCCCTCTTGTTCATTCAATTACATCTAATCAACCATGTCAAATGACATTGAATTTACTCCGCTGGCAACATCAGAACCCTTGGACGATGAGCAGCCCATCACTACCAATACTAAACCAACAATACCTCGCTTACGAAGACGTCCTACACTCTCCGCACGAATAGAACAACTGACGGATGTGGCCATTTCTGGCCTGGGGCCTGTCCTCCTGGTTGTTGCATTTCTATTATTATCGATTGTTATCTTTTGCTTCTTCACTGTTGTATTACCATTCCACTATACATGGAAGAAAAACGAAGACGAAGAAGGAAGCATAGGCATTCTAGACAACCTTGCATATATCCTCCACTTTGTCTGGTCTTGTTATCTAGTCTGGGGAATCGCTGCAAACTATTACTATGCAGTCCGGACACCACCAGGAAGTGTGCTTGACGGTATCTCTAGTACTGTAAGTGTGACATTGATTAATCCTAGCGTCTATCAATGTTTATCTGTGGAAAGCGAAATAGCCTTACCATTAACCACTAACCACTGACCACTAACACTGCTTTTTTTTTTTTTTTTTTTTTTTTTTTTCCCTCTTTTAGGGAGATGTAATGTTCCAAGATGTCCTTCAACAGATGGAGAGTATGATCATTTGCCATTTTCTTTATTGTGCAGTTGACAAGAAAAGGGGATTCTCGGCTGACATGATCCTCTCTCTATATATATAGCTTATACAGAGGCTCCGCCAACATGCAAACGATGTAAGATAAAAAAAAAAAAAAAAAAAAAAAAAAAAAGAATCGAGCTGGGCTATCAGAATAAGATGGTTATGTCAAGGAAATGATGTATTCATTAATTACCTTTTTCACTTCCAACATTCATATTTCATTTTCTAAGGCCTTCTTCCTAAACCTGAGCGTACACATCACTGCAGTGTTTGCAAGCGCTGCGTTCTCAAGTATGATCATGTAAGAAACTTTTTTTTTTTTTTTTTTTTATACTTTTTTTCAACTAGTTCTTTTACTCACGTTTGACTTTTTTTTTTTTTTTTTTTTTTTTTTTTTTTTTCCTCACTAGCATTGTCCTTGGATTCATAATTGCGTCGGACACTTCAACCATCGGTTTTTTCTCATGTTCTTGACATACCTGTCAATCGCCTGTATATACTATGTTATCATGGGCGCAGGACCATTCATGTTGGCAGCCGACATGGACAGTAATGTATGTTAGGAAAGCAAGCAGCAGGATTTTTATTTTGGGATAATTTACTATAGGAAAGAAAGGCTATCAAATCCTTTTGTTTGTCTGATTTAACAATCATTTCTTTTACTTGTTTTTAGAACACATGGCCTTACTGGCTAGATCGATCTATTGTAGCGTTCGGAGAGGTATTGGCGGTGGCGATCGGTTTTGCTGTTGGAGGCATGGCATGCTGGCACTGGTACTTGGTAAGTCTCTTTTTGTGTATTTATTTAATTGTATAATCTTATGCTTTTCTCCCGAGCTTCTTCTACTTTTTTTTAATACATTCTATATTACTCTATTTAATTTATATATATATATATATATATATAACACACACACACACACACAGGCATTGACGGCGCAGACGACTTTGGAGCAATATAACAATTCTTATATGAAAAAGATCTGCAAGAAACGAGGCGAAAGTTTTTCCAATATGTATGATTTCGGTATTGTGGGCAATTTTCAGGATCTGTTCAATATTGGACCTCGTGGTCATTACCCATGGTATACAGCTCTACTCCCGCTTCCGATCCCTCCCATTGGTAATGGCAAACGCTTTGAAAGAAGCGGGCGTGGATATATCCTCGATTTTGGTGAAGATGATGAGGATATGGTATAAAAAATAAATAGATAAAAACAAAAATAAAAACAACGAAAAAAGAGAAATGGATAAATCAAACTTGCTTTAGAGTAAAAAGAGATTAAATCCTGTTACATTAAATAATAACATCTTTAAAATTTAAAAACAATACAATTGGCTCTATATACGATCCTGAAGGAGTGTCAGAAAATGGTCGATAGCTATCACAGAGTCGATGAGGATGAGGAGGAAGAACCTCTAGAAGTGTTTCCAGAAGACCGCCGCCGCCGTGGGTTGGGTGATGTTGATGATGTCGCAGCCTTAACATGCTGTTGTTGCTTCTGCTGTTGTAATAAGGGTTGTGTATCGGTGACAGGAATGATATCAGATACAACAAGCATTGCGGGACTGTGCAGCAATTGACCCTCACACTCGTTCGTCAATGCGGAAGATAAAGACGATGTTACACCAATTTGGTTCATCAGCTGTTTGGAGTCGAAGAGATCATCCTTGTTTTTTTTTGTATCCTGCTGCTGCTGTTCTTGCTGGTGACAATCCTGCTCCTGTAATTGCTTCTGCTCCGATTTGATATTAGGTTCAAACTTTGTTGATAACTTGACGGATGATGATGCAAGGATGGCATTAGCTTGCTCAATTGTCATGGCATCGATTTGCTTTGGCGTATAGTCCATCAAAGTCAAACGAACTCTCTCCTCAGCTGGTATCATGGATCGAGTCCGCTTAATAGTAGGAGGAAGTGAAGGGGTTAACTCGGATTCAGCTGTACTTTCCGGTCTGTGGTACCCAAACATGGAACGAAGTCGTACAGGAATATATTGGCGTCTTGAGGTGGCGTCGGTTTCATATTGAAATTGCTCAGCTGACTCTTGGTGTTCATTCAGAGATTTTGGAAGTCCTTCTTGAGGCTGTTCATTAGCGTTATTATCATCACATTTCTTCTTTTGCAGAGCTTCTTGCTGCTGCTGTTGTTGTTGTTGTTGTTGTTGTTGTTGTTGTTGTTGTTCTTGTTCCTGCTTAGCTCTTTGTTGTTGTTCTAAAATGGCATTACGATGTTTAGCCAATTCTAACTGAAGTTCCTGTTGCTGCCGCATCCGTTGGCGTTGTTCTAATTCGATCTGTTCCTCCATCAAAAGTTCTTGCCGACGTTGTTTTTGTTGTTGATATCCTTTAGCTTGCTCAGATGTCATAGGCGGAGGTGGGGGTGAATAACACGCATGTTCATGGCTAGTGAACGGGACAATTGAAGCCCAGCGGACTGAATTATACGATAGTGAAGACCGCGATAACCCCGACGAGAACGGAGGCTGAATAAATGATAGGGGCGCTGGATGTAATGACAATAATGGCTGATGCTGCCGCCTGACAGTCTGTCGAAGAAGGCCAGTAGCAGCCGTCGACCAAGACGCTGAAGGTGCCATGAATCTTTTTTTTTTTTTTTTTTTTTTTTTTTTTTCCTTTTTATTGAAAAGAAGACAGGAGTGTGTACTATTTGTTTTATTAATGAAAATTAGGATGCAAGACTTAAATAGAGAGAAAAGAAAAAGAATGTGTAATGGAATGAGGGATGAAAGATGGGAAGGAGTTTTGTTTTGTTCAAGGACGAAGAGTGAGTGCAAAGGTGAAAGTGAAGTGACAGAGGCGTGAGACATCGAGAAAAAAGCTCTTTTTTTAGAAAGGAGAGTGAGCGCACCTGACCTTGGCCAATTGTTGTCCTTTGTTCTCCACAAAAAATACCCACAGGCTCAAAAGCTTTCCCTTCAAGCCCAAGTCCCGTCACACATCTTTGGCCATGGCTCTCTAACCATTTCGACTACACCACCCAGGAAGATAGTCTGCCCTTTGTGGAGTCTAAATCATTACGTGATTACAATCGTTGGTGTTTTCTAGGACCTAGGATTTGTCTGTCACGGTTGTAGATCAACCAATACCTTTTTCCCATCCAAACCAAAAAAAAAAAAAAAAAAAAAAAAAAAAAGAAAGCCATATATGGCATTGACAATACGACAATACGGATAAACTAAAGGACATTTGCAGATTACTTCCTGTTGCTAATTTATTTCAACTCACATCATCAGAAGAGACGAAAAAAAAGAAAAGAAAATAGTCTTTTTTTTTTTGTCTTTTTATTTTATAAATATTATTAAATTTAAGGATTTAAGGGATAGACAACAAAAAGTTAAGGAGAAAAGCATGTGCTTAGTCTCAAGTGGTATTTGGCATTGTACATCCCATTCTCTCTAATGTTCAAGTTATTGAAGAGATGGAGACGTAACAGATAGAAATATATATACAAGATTCGGAGCTAAGTATACATGGTGGAGGTAGAAGGGATAATAGGGACGCTAATTAAAAACTAATAACAGGATTTTTTTCTTTTCTTTTTTTTTTTTTTCTTTTTTTTCTTTCTCCTTCAGTTTCTTATGAGAACGAAAGAAGATCTGAAGTGCTGTAGTTTTGAAGGAATGGCGTGAATGCAGCAAAAGTCTTGTTCTTATCACCGCGACCATTGTGGCGATGAATACGGATATGCTGGTTCAAATTGTCGCTCCTTGAGAATCTCTTGGGGCAGTTCTGGATAGGGCATTCAAATGCTAAATATTTTAAAAAATAAAATAAAATAAAATAATGTTTAGCAATGTGTGATTTTTTTTTTTTTTTTTTTTTTTTCGCATTGATATAGTACGAAACTAATGGAAATGGAAATGCAAGACTTACGTTTTTCCATGGTGTGGATGGAGCGAACATGGCGTTTGAGATGCTCGGATCGCTTGAAGATCTTACCACAGTCCTCAAAGCGGCAAGTAAAGACCTTGCAGCCAGAGTTATCGGGATTGCAGGACACACGACGACCCCTTGATCGCTTGGGTGTAGGCTTGATCATGGGTGTGGTTGTACCATTGGTGCTGGACGAGCCATTCGAAGCAGAGTTCATGGACTGGAAGAATGGGATTGAGGGTTCGCTCAATGTCCTGGCAAGTGGATAAGTTGTAGTGGAGGACATGCTGCTGCTGGAGAAGGGCGAGCGAGGGGACAAGGGGAAGTCTTCAGAAATGCTTGAAAGTGGGCTGGTAGAATAGCTGTGTTGATGATATTGATTCTGAGATTGTTGTTGGGAGTATAGGTTGTGCTGTTGAGCAGACATGTAATAATCATCGTTATAGACGACCTGGCTGGTGGTGTAGCCGAGAGAGGAGTGATACATGCTACCGGTGGCCTGGTTCAAGGCAAGTTGGCTTGTGAGCGCAGCGGCGGCAGCGGCGGTGGAAGCGGAGGAATCAAAAGTCATGGTCGTGGGGGAATCACACATATCTGAGAGCTGGCTGTCAGAGAAGGACCGGGCCATGGACATCATATATGTGGAAGGGACTGTGGAGATGGAGTTTGCAAACTGCTCGCCAGAGAGCTCGTTCTTGACACGCTGCTGTGAGTAGTAGGCAGCACTGCTGCTATACTCATGAGCAGCTTGGCAGTCGTCGCTAGTGGGGGCAGTCGAGTAGGGCATGAAGGTCTCGTTCTCGTAGACGGATTCTTGATAGTCCTGCTTGGTATTATATTCAGAGTCTGCAAAGAGGATGTTGGCCCGGGCAGGCGTGAATGGGTCCTCGGGCAAGTCAAGGAAGGTACAGGCAACGGGAGAGACGGGGTGATTGCCAAGGATTTGGAGGTGATGATGTTGTTGGTCGAGTTGGGAGGTTGTGGGAGTGAAGCTGTGGTGAACAGGGAATTGGGGAGAAGAGGAAGAAGACGAGCAAGAGGCAGCGGGTGAAGGAGCAGACGCGACTGTAATCGAATGTGACTGCTCGATCTGGTCCTTGTTGGTCTGTGCCTTGTGATGAAATCCTACGTCGCTGGCATTAGCGACGGATGATTCTGAGAGTGCAGGAGAGGCAAGCGCAGAGACAGTCATTTTATTATGAAGGAGATGTGTATGAAAATTATGTTTGTGTCTGGGGAAGGGATAAGTTGGGTATAGTGTGTAAATTAGTGTCCTTTATATTATTATTTTTTTTTTCTTCGTTTTTGCCTTGACAGTTAATCAGGAACAGTAGAAAAGGACAAAAGGTGATAAGAAACAGATCGAAGACGTAACGAGATTGAGATGAAACAGTTTAAAAAGAGGCTACGAATAAAAGACAGATCAGACTAGATTAAGAGAGAAAGAGAGAAAGAATCTGAAGATGAATGGTAGAGAAATAGAGAATAATTGTTAATGAGGAATAGAGAGAGAAATACAAAAAAAAAAAAAAAAAAAAGAGAAAGGGAAAAAGAAAAGGAAAGGAGGAGAAATGGAAGTCCTTTTGTACCATTTTTTGTTTTTTTTGTTTCTTGCGGAGAGAGGGTGTGGATGGGGGGAACAAGAGGCCTCAATAACAAATTCATCATGAGCATGGACATGGCGTGTGTTGTGGATGGGCATTGGGTGAGAAAGTGTGCAAAAAAGTATAAAAGAAATACTCAATCTAATTCAATCACGTAAAGTTCAATGAGGCCTAATTGAATTGCCACATTGTATACTTCCACCAATGACAGAATAGTAAGGAATTCAATTGTCTCGTATATGCGGCTCAATAGTCTGTGTATTCAATCACTCTATATCTCTATTTACTATTTTACGCACTCTATTTTATTTTATTTTATTGGTTTGTTTTATTTATCTTAGCTATACGTTTGTTATATATATAATATATATATAAATATATATATTATATATATATACATTTTAATTATATATATATAACATGGCATTGAAAATCACTTTTTATGTATATATATATTATTATTACTATTACTATATACATATATATATATCTTTTATATACATTCGACTCTATCGAATCCATTTATTAAATACTATTGACTGTTTTAGTTTATGTTTGTTTAGATACACACATTCAACATTCAAACAGTGATTGTTGTTGTTATAGTTGTTATTGTTATTGCTATTGCCTTTGCTTTTGCTTGTCTTGCTTGCCTGCTGCTGCTGCTGTTGCTGCTGTCGCTGTCGTTGTTGCTGTTGTTGTTTTGACCTGTCTACTTGTTGTTGCGGTCGTGACAGACTGAGTGACTGAATGACTGTCTGACTAACACTACCTCGTTCTTCGGTCATCTTGGAGGACAGGGCGGCTAAACAAAGCCCTTCCATACTCCGCCAGGATATGTCCATTGCCGCTGCAATCGCCATTTAACATCGACATTGATACTAACATTTGTCCTGTCCCCATTCTCTTTAGCATTTGCCTTTGCCATTGGCGTTGCAAATCTCTTATCCACATCCCATATCAATCCGTCTGCGCACTCTCTAGGCTTCGCACTTTTTCTTTTTTTTTTTTTTCTTTTTTTCTTTTTTAATATTCTGTCCTAATTGCTCAATCTGCCTCTATCTCACTGACCTTGCTCTTTCGAGTCAAGAGTCATTTAAAGTCGATAATAAATAAATAAAAATAAACGTCATCTTTTCTGTTCATAGTCGAATTGGCTGTATATACTCTGTTTTCTACTGAATGTGACCCTGTCAATGTCTCTCTGTCTATCGTCTATTGTCTATCAGAGCATGTCTCTTTTATTCATTTTTTTTTTTCTCCTTTGATATTTGCTCGTTCTACCTTTTTGGTCTTTTGTACGTGGACAAACAAGATTTCTGGTCTATTTGGTTGAAATAGTCTGTCTTCTCCACAAAAGAGAGAAAACGATAAAAAAAAAAAAATGACCAATCAAAACGAGCCAAACCCGAAACAAAAAGAAAACAGCTGTAGATAATCGTCCTTAGACAAAGAGCCGAGCTTTTCTTTTTTTTTCCTTTTTTAATGCCTTGAAAAGAACAAAGGAATGAACCAAGAAGGAGGAGCTCAGAATAGTACTGCACCACACTAACTTTCATTACAGGACATTAAGATATATATGTTGTTTTTTTTTTTCTTTTTAGAAAAAAAAAAAAAAAAAAAAAAAAGTCTAGACAAGCAATACAAACGCGCAGAGCCGCATAGACCATGTTCAAGCATTTGAAAATGGGGTTCTAATCGTAGATAATTTCCTCCCACTCCCTTTCCCTCAGCCCTCTGCTTTCCAACAAGAATAAAAACAAAGACGCACGGCGGCAGTGGCGCTCAAGCCAACTTTTCTTTTTTTTTTTATTTTTTTTTTTTTTTCAGCCAAGTGGACCATCATCTCATCTTTTTGCGTTTTCCCGCGCAAGTAAAAAAAAAAAAAACGAAGGTCAATAGACCAGACCGGGAAGAGGAAGCGAACTGGAACATTAGGACAAAAATAAAATAAAATAAAATAAAAAAAATAAATAAAGAGCAACAAACAAAAAGCCAGCAAGCTCTCAAGATGATGATGACAATAGGACAGACAAACTGTAAGAGACCGCATAGGAAAGCCTCGTAGCATATCACGCATCACATTCCTACTAGGATAGTAAATGTCTCATAGACAAAAAAAAAAAAAAAAAAAAAAAAAGTGCACATGTATACAATATGCATTATGAACACTTTTAACATTGCTGATTATTATTAATCTTTATTACCGATTTGGAAAGTGGTCAGTGACTAGTGGGTCCATGGTCTAGTGGTCAGTGGTCAGTGGTTAAAAAATGTCTTTTGTCCTGATTTTTCAAAAGATTGTTTCTCTGTGCCTTTGTGTAGAGTTGGGTTCGTTAAAAAACAAAAAAAAACAAAAAAACAAAAAAACAAATATTTAATCGACTCCTACCCAGCTTAAAGGGAAAAGGCCGTTTGCCGTTCTCTTCTTTTTTTTTCTTTTTTTTTTTTTCGCGTAAGAAAGAATTCAAAAAGCTCTTTGAGCAATCAGTCTCTTTTTTTTTTTTTTTTTTTTTTTTTTTTTTTGCTCTGTTCATCAGTTATTACGCACACATATTACTATCAACGTTAAATTAGAGACGTCACGAGAAGAGATTGCAACAAAATCATCATTGTGTTTATGTCCATGCCTGGCTCATACGCATAATATCAAGTGAAGTGGTCATTTTTTTTTTTTCTTTTTTTTTTCAATAGAAAATATAGAACAGGAATGGACCCCTTTTCTATGCTCAATGCTTTACTTACATTAATAATGTTACTCTTAGTATTCTATTATTTTTACTATTAAAAAAAAAAAAAAAAAAAAAAAAAAGGAGACAGACAAGGCGACGGGCTGGCAACATTATACACTAATCAAAATGTCCTATGGTGGCGGTGGGGTCACTGACACTTTATCTTTTTCCTGTCAAAGCATTAAAAATAGCAAGAAAAAGTCGGCAACTAGCTGATTGACTGGCTCGTGAGGCTATCATGGGTGTCATATCAAACGCGTGTGTAAGATGGCTGTGCAGTTTTGAGGCAAAATCGGTGGCTTCGATCATATAATATATACTATATAGATATTATATGTTTGTAAACAAGCTGGTGGAGACCTCTCTGCACGTGTGCGCGTGTGATATGACATTTTTAGTCCAAGGTTCCAGCCTTTACTCTTTACTACAACAGCTTTTTTAGTAGCATGAATTGCAATTGGGCGAAGACAAGAAAGTAAGCAGATGACGATGACGATCAGGACACGGGCCTTTTCCTTTTTACACCTGAAACCCCTCATCCTCCTCCCTCTTTATGCCTTGCCCCGATTGGTCTATTGGAGCTAGGTACCAACACTAGAAGCCATGTGGTGTCAGTAATGACTATTACTCTTTGACTATTAAAGTTCTCTTTCCGAAAGAGAGAGATAGAGACAGAGTGGGCAGAGAGAAAAACAGAAAGAGAGATAGTTTGTCGTCCTGCAGGCTAACATGGATATCTAGACTCTAGACTCTTGGTCCCGTTTCATTTCAATCGTCAATAACTGGTGCGTATGGCGGGCCAACCTTATGCCTATGATAACCATCTATCTGTCTATCTATTTGTCTATATGAGCGTTGAAATAGCTCGTTTTTTTTTTTTTTTTTTTTTTATTTTTTATTTTATTTAATTTATTTTGGTTTATTATATTTTAAATAAAGAGAGCATGACTTTTCCCTTTCTCTTTCATACTAGACTTCCATCATGCTCTGCTCTACTCTAGACGACCACCTGGTTGGTTGGTGTGTTGCTTCTGCACGTTGATAATAATAAAACGTTTTCTCTTATGAACTACCTTGGTGTAGGATCATGTATTTCTGCATTTGGTTGATGCATGCAGCATGAATCTCCAATAAGAAAAGGGATCATGTCAATTACAGGAGAGGAAGAAGGCTGTTGTGCTAATAATTAATGTAAAGCCAATAAACCAGTGAAGATCTTAATTCCGCTGAGTTTGCCAAGATCTTTTTTATCTATCCATGTATAGATTCTATTAATGTACCTTGAAGCACAGGGTTCTTTTAATAATAATAATAATAAAAAAAAACGCAACCGAGAACCTGACAAGAACAACTCAATTCTATGATAAGACTTTTTTTTTTTTTTTTTTTTTTTTTGTCATTGTCATAGCAAATGCCTTCACGTCCTGATTTTTTTTATTCGTTATCACACTGACGATCTTCTTTTTTCCCTCTTATTCCATTATCACTTTTGTCGTTTATTTCTCTTTTTCTTTTTTAGCTTTTTTTTTTTTTTTTTTTGTTTGGTTGTTTGTTTGTGTGTATGAGTCGGCTCGTGGCATTGGAGGCGAAGTTAGGACTCGGACTCGGTATGGAAACATACAGGGAGCTTCTTGCTACTGCGATTCAATTTGATCCTAGCAAGTTTGCGATACAATGTATCCCAGACTCCCATTCTACTTTCTAGTCATTTTGACCTGATGATATTGACCGCTTCGATCTTCGGAAGAAAGAAAAAAAAAAAAAAAAAAAAGAGGTCAATGCTCGATAGAAACAAATCCAATGTATGCACATCTCACCAGCTGGAACTTTTTTTTCATGCTTTCAATTTTATGAAGAGTATTATGACGTATAATGATGCATATTATATAGGCTTCCTAGCTTCCTTGCATGAGGTACATGTATGTGGAGTCGAGCCAAGGAAACTGTCGTACACGCGTGTACCGCGCACATTGAAGATAATCAAATTGAAACCAGAGTGAGGGGTTTAGGATGCAATTTTTTTTTTTTTTATGTGGAGACATTTCTGTGCATTTCTGTGCATCTCTGTGCATAGGAACGCTTGTGCAAATAAACGAGCGCATCAAGGTCGCACAAAAGAGAGCACTCTCCGAAGACTGAGCATTTGCATTCTTTCTGTTTCATGATTTGGGACATTAAAATTTCCGCGCGTCCTAGGTCTATAACACGCTGCCTACATTTAGTAGCTTTGCAAGACATGACTTGGAATAGATTCTTTTGACCATTGGCCTATAGTAAAAAAAAAAAAACATGTGTATATGCGTTCATACTGGTTGGATGAATGATCGAGACTACTGCTGGTCTTTAAGCTTTGTATTTGACTCTTTTAATGATAACCACCTTGTCGGTCTTGACATAAAGGCCCAAAAAAAAAAAAAAAAAAAAAAAAAAAAACAGGAGTTTTTAGAAGAAAGCAAACAGGAATAAAGCAAACAGGGACTCGAACATATCAAGATTGGAAGGAGTCTTCGATTATTTACTGCAGGATCTACGAAAGAGATGTGCTCAATAGGGTCCTCTAAAGGCAAACACAAAGGCTAGATTAGGCCAAGACCAATATTGGACTAATTCTTTTCAAGAAAGGTAAAACAGCAAGTAGCCTTTTTTTTTTTTTTTTTTCCTCGAAGGGGGGACAAAATGGATGAGTAGGACTCAAGGCTGTTGTGCTTCAACATAAAGGCCTTGCCTTTCCTTAAGAGTGACTAATCGTGTAGATGCTTCAGGAGTGGAAGTAGAACGAGGTCAATTGCAGCCAAAAAACCACATCAACCTGGTGTAGTTGGTTAGTCTGTCTGGTGTACAAATATTTATGTCCATGATCAAGATTGCTGCACAACCCATAGAATGTGTATCCTTTCTCTCTCCCTGCTTCCCCTTGTCCCTCCTATTTCATCATTGCTATTTATTATTATTTTTTTCAATCTCGCTTTTTTCTTTTTCTCTCTTTCTCTCTCTTTTTTTTTTTTTTTTTTTTTTTTTTTCCCTTGCTTTGTTGCACTTGGCTATTCATCATTTGT